TAATACAGTGCTAATTCTATTTTTTCCCGTGAATCATTAGGTTATATTATTATTGTCATACTGTTTATCCAATCATTTCAGTAATAAAGTGTGTACAAACAGCCTATATATCTTTACCAATTTGGTGTTGCAATAACCCATCTTCCATATTTATAGGATGTTGACCGTACTACACTGTTAAATGTCATCTCCCTATAAAATATTGTTCTTATTCATTACCTACTCAAATATATATATATATATAACATAGTATTGTACTATGGTAATTTATCATCTATACCCGTATTTAATATCAACTATAAGTATTGGGGAAAAAAATCTTTTTTGCATTTTTATATTGTCTTTTGGCATGTAACATAAATAGTGACCATTCCAAGTAATCATATATTAATGTTCCCTGATAAATCAGATGTGTAATTCTCTTGTACATACCACATGTATTTATGTACAATTCATTTGCCAATATTACTCCTTCTATTCATGTCTTATGACAATAGAAGGCACTAGCTTGTCAAATCTCACCTATGCATTGCAATTGTTTGCCATTGAAAGAATTATGATTATTATTGTTCCGGAGTTCAATAGCCTATTGGCCTATCTATTCTATCTTGTATTATATTTCTGCATTTAGTCGAAACAAAATTTGTGATTCATCTATTTTCTGGTTTGAAACTAGCATGACTAAATAATGCTAAAAAAATAATCTTTAGGACTGGATCATTTTCACACTGGCATACATTCCGCTTGACATGGCATTTAAAGGATGAGTTTCTCAACTCAATCATTTTGCTATCTCGTTGTTGCTCATCATGATAGTATTAATTTTTTTTAGCATTGATGTTGACATAGTGATCAATTAGAAATTTCCATTGTGTTCTGTTTACATATAGTATATTTGATTACTGGCTTAAATATGTTAGTAATTCTACTAAGCTGCATTTGATCTTTTGTCATGCTGGTGATACATTTTTACCAAATTTTTCGAGCTCACCATCCAATAATATACAGCATATATATATATTTCTTTATTTTTGCAATTTTCATATATCGAATGTCTGTATATATTATTGTTTACCGTCATCTAGAGACCTCAGAATTTTATTGTTAAAATGAGTTTTCAACAAAATATGCCCTCTTCCAATGTGAAGTTTTTCTGTGATTACCATATATCGAATTTGTTAAAGTATTATTTTCCAGACCAACTTTTCTAATAGCCATTTTTAATGTGAACCATGATCACATCAGCAAATAGGGTAGGAGTTGACTTCGATGACCGCATACCGCATGGTCGTATCGCTCCCTCCTGTCCATCCAAAGCAATTTTTATTCTAATTTTGCCAAATCTTTTTCGTAAAATTGACTGTTTGTATTTTGGTTAACAAAATAAAAAATATCTTTCTCTTTTCTACACGGAACCAGGTTCTGTGGATGGGATCAGTATTGTACTTGATTAAAGTGTAGTATAATATATATACAATTTTTACACATGCCCTCTGAACTATAAAATAAATCTAATGTAAAGTGTTGAATAGTAGAAAAAAATTCTTTTATCAGCCGACTCATTCATTCATTTTTCTGTCTTTATTTTATAATTTCATAGTGTGATAATCCATGCTGACAGTTTGATCACGGCGTAAATAAAACGGTCGGGGGCCTCGGTGACCCATAAGAGGTCTCGCATACTGACCATCACATTTCAATGTTTAAACATCCACTGCACTGTATTTTCATAAAAATCCGTACTATTGTCCTTTTTTAACATTGTTTTGTGAAAATAAATTTCTCTCTATAAGAATACGTGCCTATAGGAAGTATCGTTAAAGTTTTGGAATCTCATCTTCGTGAACCTTTGTACTCATTTTGAGTTCTTAACTGAAGTGTGTTTTATGTGGATATCACCCCGACATACTTATCATGGACAATGTCGCATTTCACTGTCCCATGGCTACAATGAAACAGAAATCAATCTTGTAAATTGTAACTAGTTTTAAAGAAGTGTAGAGATGGATATTTTAATGTCGGGTTATCCGGGGCAAGTATAACTTAAGTTCTTATCACAGGTTCCAAACATGCTGTTTTGAGCTTCTTATATTGGTCGCCACAAGAAAAGGTCAGATTCTTTCTACAACACAAACATAAGAAACCATCTAGAAAAAATCCTTAAAATTAAAAAAAAAGACTATCGTATATCTGAAGATCGAATGACGTAACATCTTACTTAACTAAATCAAAACCAAAAAAGTTACTGACGTGGCAAAACAACTCGGCGCGTATCTAAAATTGATACCATTTTAGCGATTATATAAACATGGAAAATGACGATCAAAAGTTCACCAAGGCATTCAAGATGTTCGGGGGAGGTTAAGGAGGTAGGGCTTCTGCAGTGTGTCCACATGGCGTAGTACATGTCATCAAGTTTGTTCTAGTACAAGGCTGCCCAACCCGCGGGCCGCATGCGGCCCGCCTGACTGTTTTTTGCGGCCCACCCCATAAAGTTGTTAGCAGACTTTTGATGTTTTTACTATATGTTCCATATCAATATATAGGTTAAGCATGTTTCGTGATTTTGGTGTGACTATTGCTGTCATCTATCTGCATTCAAATGCCGGTTCTTGTTATTACGTATGTGTCAAGTCTTGCACCCTGGTGGACATCGACGTCATTTTTTTTTTATTCCTCGCAAAACTGAGCGTTCTGTTCGGCGAACTCAAAAGATATTGTGCGATCATTGAGGACGAACGCTGAGCGCAATTATAGAAATGAATTTGGAGCCTAAATTTGCAAATTAATTTCATTCTGATTGTTTTATTACGTGTCTGCTTTGATCGTCTTTATCACCAACAATATATTTGATACTGGTCCCGGGACTCGTCCTATTATGTTTTTTTTATCAAATGTTTGGGTTAAATTAGATTTCGGAAATGTCGTCACTGCGTATCCGTCAATAATTCTGATGAAATTGACATTGCTCAGTATATGTACAATCAGTATAGATAGGGTATTCGTCCAGAAATCTTCGTAATATTACCTAATTAAATATTTGTATTGGCGTCAAATTTTACGAAACGGCCAACTTAAACTTGATATTCCCGCGACATTTGCCCACATTATGCCCATTTAAACATTGGGACAGTATCAAAGCTAATGAAAATGAATGAATAAAAACACTATATAATGCAAATATAACACTCAATTTCGACGTGATTTGTGTTCTCTCGTGTGGTCGTCAAAGAACCACAAGTGTCATGTCCACGCCCCGTGTTACCAGATATTCGAATAGCAAACTGCTATTCTAATATTCGACTTGATATTCGAATAAATTGCCAGCTCCTACTCAGTAACCAGAAAGCAATTAATAAATTGTTTGATTTGATGTTAAAAAAATTGCATTTTATGTATTATGTAAATTACCTACGCCGAAATCAGGGCTTAGCTGGTATTATTGATTGGTACAAACGTTTGCGGCCCGCAACGAATTTCGTAGCTTGAAAGTGGCCCGCGAGACGAAAAAGGTTGGGCAGGTCTGTTCTAGTAGGATGTAGTAGGATCTAGTACCTGCGTGGTTTTGTAGATATTTTACTGCCAATGAAAAACCAATCAAACATCACTGTCATCGACATAGCGAACATGGTGGTCGATCACGGCAACAACTGAAAAGATTGAATGTTTCATTCTTATAACGGTATGGTTGTAGAAGCGACAGAGGAAAATATAAGACTTGCTCGGAAAGGTTCGCTACGGGTGTCATTGTCTTGGATCATCATATATATACATATCTGAAGTAAGAGAAAATTTATCGGACTCTCATCTGGATACTGAAAGCTCTATTCGTAACTGTTTATACGATACAATCTACGAAACAAACGTAACGAAGAGGCATACGATTATACGTCGGGTAGAAATCATTAAGGAATTTCATAGCACATTTTACACCCAGGTCACAGTTTTCAGCTGAAAAATATGATTGCCGATTTCTCAAGCAAACGAAAGCCAATAAACACATTTTCTCCGTTAGTTTCATGATCGATATACAAAACGGTACACTGCACAACTTTCAATATTGAATAATACAAACCAGATTGAGGGAGAATATAATACAAGGTGGATGCAAGAGCTATCTTTGACAGAGAGTGATGTTCATATTTTAAACAGTAGGACGTGCTCGAACGATCGACTTGGAAATAGCCATCTTAGACGTTCGAATATCAATAGCCTAGACTATGTGATTACTGAGCCAACGTATGGATTTCGCAGAAACAATACTGTTCTCTATTTCATTTACATTTGAGATGTGGGAACAAATCATTGGATTTTCAATTCTAAGTTTTATCGACGGACAAAGAATATGTAATATATATACGACAGTTGTGCAAAGTAGTAACAAGAGCACACCGACGGCGTTCATCACTCCAATGACGTTTTCTTCTTGGGATATGACGTCGCGTTGTTTCTGAGAAGAAGCCTACAGGAATATGTGCCTATAGGAAGTATCTTAATAAGTTATGAAATCTCATCGTCGCTAACCTTCGCCCTCACAGACAGTGATAAATGTCTATTTTTTTCCCTAAGCGAACAAAACAAATTTCAGTTGTATTTTATGCGGATATCACCCCTTACTCATTATAGACATTAACCACAAAGTCGCATTTTACTGCCCCTTGACTACAATGAACAGGAAGAAGGTGATCTTATCTTGTAAATTGTAACGAGTTTTGCGGAAGTGTAAAAATGGATATCCTGATGTCAAGTTATCCGGGCCAAAGAGAACTTAAGTTTTTATCCGAGGTTCCAAACATGCTGTTTTGGTCTTCATATATCGGTCGCCACACGAAAAGGTCAGATCTTGTTTCCAACACTAAACATAGGAAAGCATCTAGATTCTAGAACAAATCTCAACAATTTAGAAAAAGACCATCGTATATCTGAAGACCGAATGACGGTACTCCTTACTTTATTCAATCAAAATAAGTTACTGACGTGGCAAAACAACTCCGCGCGTATCTAAAATTGATACCATTTTAGCAATTATATAAACATGGAAAATGACGATCAAAAGTTCACCAAAAAGTTCTGGGGATATTCGGGAGGTAGGGCTTCTGCATTGTTTTCACATGATGTATTAAATGCCATCAAGTTTGTTCTAGGAGTAGAATACCTGCGTGGTTTTGTATATATTTTACTGTTAATGAAACACCAACGAAACATCACTGTTATCGACATGGCGAACAATGGTGGTCGGCCACGGCAACAACAGAAAAGATGAAAAAATGATTCATCCTTAAAACGGTATGGTTGTCGAAGCGACGGAGGAAAATATAAGACTTGCTCGAAAAGGTTCGCTACGGGTGTCATTGCCTTGGATCATCATCGACATATCTGAAGTAAAAGAAGATTTATCGGACTCTCATCCGGATATTGGAAGCTCTATTCGTAACTGTTCATAGTTTATACGATACATTCTATCAAACCAACGCAACAAAGAGACATAAAATTATACGTCGGGTAGGAATTATTAAGGAATCGCATAGCACATTTTACACCCAGATCAAAGTTTTCGGCTGAAAAATATGATTGCCGATTTCTCAAGCAAACGAAAGCCAATAACACATTTTCATCGTTCGTTTCATGATTGATACACACAACGGAACACTACGCAATTTTCAAAGATTGATGATGCAATTACAAAACAGATTGAGGGAGAACATAATACGGATGAAAAGACTATCTTTGACAGAGTATGGTGTTCATATTTTATTTTTTCCTAAAACAAATCCCAATAATTTAGAAAAAAGACTCTGTAGCCTACTATATCTGAACAGCGAATAACGGAACTCCTTACTTTACTCAATCGAAACCAAAAGAAGTTACCGACGTGCCAAAACAACTAAACATATCCCGGTGGATCTAAAATTGAAACCATTATTATAAAAAAAAGTTCGCTAAAGCATTCAAGAAGCTCTGAGAATGGTTGGGCTTCTTCACATGGTGTAGTTACACAATGTAGTATATGTCATCAAGTTTGTTCTATGCCCATAAAGTGTGGTTCTGTAGATATTTTACTTGTCGAAAAAAACCAACTCAACATCGCCGTTATGGCGACCATGGTGATCGCTCACGGCAACGATAGAAAGGATGGAATGTTTACCCGGACCATGATTGTTGAAGTGACAGAGGGAAATTATGAGCTCAGTAAGCTAAGCCCTGGATCATCATGGGCAGATCTGGAGTAAAAGAAGATTTATCGGACTCTCATCCGGATACTAGAAGCTATATCCGTAGATATCTACACGATACCTTCCATCAAACAAACTTAACGAAATGACATAAGAGCATCGTTGAACGATCGACTTAAAAATGCTCCCATGGTCCTTCTTAGACGTCCAAATTTCAATGGCCTCGGCGATGTGATGACTGAGCCAACGTACGGATTTCGTAGAAACAATTACGCTCTCGACTTCATTCAAATTTATATGTTGGAACAAATCATTGGATTTCCAGTTCCAATGTTTTTTCGACGGACATAAAGTATGTAATCTACGACAGCAAGAGTTGAGTATCAGAAGGTCACCGAAATAAGGAGGACGAAGACAGAATAGGCTATTTAGTGACCCTAGATCCGGCAGCTTGCAGCTTTGTCAGCTTGAGAAACGTTTAGAGATCCCAGAAAAAATTCTAAAAACAAAATACAATGTCCCAATATCTTTATGATAACTCAGCAAAATGGAGGAGATAATTGCGGGCTTTTGGCTGTGACGTTCGCCACAATTTTAAGTCGTGGGATTAATCCTGTTTTTCGCAAAATAAATCAAGAAAATTTGCGCCGTGTCCTGCAAGCGTGATATCTGAATCGTTCAATGGAACATATGTTTCGTCATCACAGTGCTGAAAGAGAAGGAACTGGAAGTCCAGGTTCGTCCGGTTCTGTTACGTATACTGCAGTGCGACATGCACAACTAATTTGTCCCTTACAGTTACACAACCATCGTTGACGATTACTTTGGCTGGTCTAAAGTTAGAGTAACAAAGGCAATGTCAGTAATAGAAATCCATGGATTCTGAAGAGCTTGTCTTTATTTAGATAATCTGTATTCGATACCTGCGTTCCGTCGCAAACAATGCAGATACCACCAAATGTCCCGGAATCTGATGCAGATACCTACAACCAAATGGTTCGGAATCTTTTCATTGCCAATATTTTGCCGATGCTTGCTTGCCACGACTGAACTACAATTATTCATATTGACAGAGACCGTTGAAAGGCGGATCGTTTCCATGTCATTTGTCAGTCTAAAGACGGCTTACGTTTCCTAAGCATCAAAACTCTTCGAGCATTTTCTGTGTTGCTTCTGATGGACTCCCGCTATGAAAAATGAGAAAATGCAAATACATCAAGTAGGCATTCGCATTCCAAAACCCAACTTTCATATATGGATAATACAAATACAAAATAGATTGAGGGGGAATATAATACGAGGTGGATGCAAGAATTATATTTTTGACAGACAATGATGTTCATATTTTAAAAAGTGGAGCGTGCTTGAACGAGCGACTTATATAGTTCACTGCGATGATCCTTTCCAGACGTCGAAATATCAATGGCTTCGACGATGTGATTACTGAGCCAACGTACGGATTTCACAGAAACAACAATAAATAACGTTTTCGATTTCATTCAAATTTGACATGTTGGATCAAATCATTGGATTTGCATCTCCCTTGTTTTTTTTTTTCTACGGACAAAGAATATGTAATCTACGACAGCTTTCGGGAGTTAATTATTATAACAGGAAGATGAAGACAAAATAAGCTACTCATTGATCATAGATCAGGCAGCTTTCGGATAGGTCCAACCGAATGAGAATCGTTTAGCAATCAAAGTAGCTGACGTCACCCAGCAAAATGGACGGAATGATTGCGATGGTAACAACGGTATAAACGCTAATTTGAAATCAAGGTACCGTCGTTGACAATTTCTTTGCGCGGTCCCTAGAACAAAATCTAATAATTTGGAAAAATACCATCATAGCCTACTATATCTGAAGATCGAATGACGGAATTTTTTACTTTACTCAATCAAAACCAAAAAAGGTTACGGGCGTGGAAAAACAACTCGGCATATCACCGCGCGGGGCTAAAGCTGATACCATTTTAGCGATTATAAAAAAAAATGGATAGGGACGATCAAGTCCATCAAAGTATTCAAGAACCTCAGGGGATGTTCTGGAGGTTCAGCTTCTGCAGTGTGCCCACATGATGTAGTATATGCCATCAAGTTTGTTCTATGAGCAGGATGCCCGCGTGCCTTAGTATATAATTTACTGTCTATGAAACACCAAACAAACATCACTGCCATCGAAATGGATGGATTAGCATTTCCAATGTTTTTTCGACGAACAAAGAATATTTTTCTACGACAGCTTTCAAGAGTTGAGTATTGTAGGATCGGAATGTCACCGAAAGCAGGAAGATGAAGACAAAATAAGCTACCCATTGATCGTGGATCAGGCAGCTTTCGGATTGGTCCAACCTAATGAGAATCGCTTAGCAATCAAAGTAGCAAACGTCACTCAGCAAAATAGAGATAATCGTGGGCTTTTTGCTGTGGCTGTTCGCCACAATTTTGAGTTGCGGGATTAATTCTGTTATGCGCAAAATAAATCAAGAAAACTTGCATACGAGCCAGCCATCGGAATCTTTCAATGGAAGCCCATCTTTCGCCTGGTTCTGTGACGTCTACTGTAGGGGTAGTTCCACAGAGACTGTCTCAATGAGCCGACTTTAGAAGCAGAAAAACTAATTTGTCCATTGAACAACCATATTTGGCGTTACTTTGGATAGTCCATAGTTAAATTAACGAAGGCAATATCAGTAATTGCAATTCAAGGATTCTGAAGAACTCGTCTTTATTTAGATAATTCTCGCAAACAATGCAGATACCACTAAATCTCTCAGAAGTGGATGCAGATACAACCAAATGTCTCGGAATCATCTAGCCAATGTTTTGCTGATGCTTGCCTGTTGTGATAGGCTTTTTTATCGTGTTTTTCATCCTTTTGTTTTGATTAGTGCTGTGTTAGGTGATGATTACCGCCGAACGTGGAGACAAGAATGGATCATCTGCCACGCTTTGGCGGTGAGATCATAGTCAAGTTTCGTGTGAGATGTTTGAGTTCTAGTTATTTACTTTAAGTTGCATTATTGCTGTTTTGATTTAAGAATAAAGCCGCAGTCGAACCACGGATCTCCTAATTTTATCGTAGTAGATGTTTTGAAAAGATAGGACAAAAACCTGCGACACCTGCCACGTCTGAATTCCAATTATTCACCTCGATATTGAGCGTCGTAAGGCGGATCGTGAATATCTTTTTCCTAATAAAAGCAAGAAGAGACCCCTCAGTTCAAAGATCTCGATGTCCCTTTTTGTGAACGACACCCATCTTCTGATTTTTGCTCTACAGTATTATACTCATAACATCTCTTCGTCAGAGTTGTCGCTATTGTAAATCAGTGTCCGTATGAATTCTTTATTTTCAGTCCGTAATAACATGCCCCGTGCATTCCCTTCGTTTGGTACACTACTCTGGTTTACGTCTCTTATTTTTTAAGTCAGATGTTAACCCCTTTCAATACTCGAATTCGACTAGTGTACCTAAAATGCAAGCCCATGCGGGAGTTCCGTTTGTACTAAGGGTAGAAAATAAACATTGATATGAGCGGGGATCATTATTCCGGCGTCTTCCTTTGTTATCACATCGCGTGCAATTTACTCACAAACAAAACATTGAGTTGATTAGCAGCTGAACAAGCGTTAGATGAACGGTATGTTTACAAACAATCGGAGTAATTATTTCCAGATTGAAATCTAGTTGACCTAAATTTACGTGTTTTTCGAGGGAATGCGACATTCTTACCCATGACATTGAGTAACTGTAGCAAGGTCAATATAAATTGTAAATAATGCAAGGAACATATATATATTTATATGTTAATTTCTAGCCTAACATAGCCAAAACAAGAATTTCCCATCAAATATTGAAATTCCACTCACATCACATATAATTTAAAGTCTTATCGAGAAAACTTTCATAAAATTTGTCATGTCGGAAACAAATAATAATTAAATGTTAGTCAAAATGCAGAAAAAATTGATATCGTTGTTTCCCCTCAAAATACTGTGCCTACATACCACACAGTTGGCAAAGTTCATTCTAACATTCTTGGGTAATGTTTCGTGCTTGGTCAATAGGGTTTCATGCTTGTCATTGAGTCCCTTTACCATTGATATATGTGCTATGAACACGTCTTTTATAATTTCTTCCTCAATGGTGAAACACGAAGCATGTCTTACCAACTTTTTAAATCATATATAAAATATATTCTTATCTACTTACATTGAAAGTTCGTAGCATTCCAACATATTTGTGACTCTTCTAAAACAAACCTGGGGAGGAAAAATAATAAATAAATGGTTATTGACCCAGTGCTGCAGTGCCCAGGCCAGGTACTCATTGAACTTTGCATTCAATTAAGAATGTCGATTTCATGACATTCTCGTACAATTTGTTTATGATTCGTTTATTTTTTCTGTTGACCATTTTACTTTTTTTGATACTATTCAGTGGTCTCGACCAAGTTTAACTTGTTTCTGTGAACCAACCTTATGTCCCCACTATTTTAAAGCATTGACTCGAATGTATCACAGCATTCACATTTTTGCTTACGTCTGTATTTATTAACTCCGGTAGAGTCCAACCTAAGACTAATTCAAATTGGCCTTCAATTTATGCTGTAATTCGAAATGATATATGATGTTTTTATTACCTGTCTCCCTGTAAAATTTCTCCATATAGGCTATCTATTAACGCATGGCCTCCAACACACCTCTTTTACTGATAACTCGGAACAAAGGACTTCAGTTAGTTGTGGTAACTTCACACCCATTCCATGCGCCATGCTCTGTCATAATATTGCTTAATCGGGGAATACCCTGTTAGCCTCAAAGCAGGCCGAATGTTAATTACATGTACAGTAAATTGTATTGCACGATGTTGGTTGTTTAACCGTAGTAGTATATATTTACGGTTTAACTACCAAATCCTCGCTCATCACTAATAACAGTACTCCGATAATCAAAATATTAGAACTTGAAATGTTTAATTAGATACTCGAACCTTGGGTGTCGCTGCTCGATAACCAGCTTTGGTTCCCCGCGGCTCCCCTTCCCCAGTGAAATTTGTATTTAATTAACACTATTTCTTTAAACTTTGCATGTTAATTTGTACTGAATGGAAAAAATAAACTTGACCAAGATTATGACTCTTATGTTACGAAATAATCAAAGTATTTTCGACCATGCCGTATTTGACTCCCCTTGCTCTTGCCTTAAATACTCGAACTCGAGGCAACTTCTGTGTTGAGAATTTGTAATCTAGTAGATATTTATTTCGGTTATATTTACAGGTAACAAGATAGGACACACCAATGGCATATCTAAGAAGATCTGTAACTGCAAGCGACAAGTTGATCTCATATACACGCGGCAAAAAGATTCGCATCATCATCACACTCTTCCCCTATCGCAAAGCAAGATTTTGCAAAATCACATTCGCCGTTTACCAACGTAGCCTATCATTTGTTGACTATATGGACAAACGACGATGTGAGACCTGGTGGCAAACATTCGCCTGGAAGCTGATCTGAGCGTGCCAGCAGAACTATCGAGAAGCCAAGGCTGGCTGCGCCTATGTTCGACAGGATTATTTTATTTCAATTTCACATCGCATTTCAATTAAAACAATTTGTCCTGTTGTTTGCATTTAGGCGAGAAACGTTCAACACTGTCCAAAGTGCATACACTGCGGAGAATGACGAATTCCTCATGCCAAGCGTAATAAAATCTCTTCGATGTGATTATTGTAATCGCTAATTTTTCTCATGTATTACAAAGGTGATTGGGGCCATATATCTACCTCTATTCCTAACAACAACTTCGTGATACTTCGTCACCCCTAAATACACTGTGTTCAATAATTTATCATTGAATTGATAACTCATTCGCAACTTCTTCAACTACCAAACAATTCGACGTCCGCGGCCCTTTCATATTAGCACTCTAACTTATCAAATTTCACAGGTGGAGGAATAAGACCCTGCCGTCGCCGGTGATCTGTATGTAATCTTTTGAGACCTGTTATCGATGTTCTATTGTTTTCTAAGTCGAAATTCTTGATTTTACAAATGACTTCAGTTTTCTGCGTTCACTTGACGTCAGACGATGCAATCGGCGATACATTTTGTTACATTTATCTGCTGTGCGTATTTTTGCATTGCGTCTTTGTTACACTCAAGAAATCATCCATTTTAAAGTATGTTAATAACAAGTTTGACTATGCAATGTAACTTTTTCTTTTCTAAAAATGCGCATGTGACTTTAGGTAATAAAAATTCAGTTTTTGGTTGGAAATGTCATTTGCGCTGTCATTTGTTTTCATACATTCATCTTGGATTGGTCGACAGTCTACCAGACATAGTTTAGCCTTTCAAGACATGTGACAGGACAATACAGTGATTTTTAATAAGATTTATCACAGAAAATGAAAGATTAAAGAGCAATTCAACTAGTTTAAAAACTTGTCGTCGTCCAATAAGGGTATACATTTACAACGGCCTTGTCGAATGCTGCATGATATTCACTTGGGTGTATATGTATATATTAGTCATAGTCTGCCATCGAAATTATCCGACCGTTAAGCGTTCACTCTAACAAACGCTAAGCCTTCTTGCAAATCACCCTTTAATGCAAGCTACTTGTTTACGGCCCTTCTTTGGCCAAGCGTTAATTTTAAAACTTGTGGACCAAACTTTATTGAGCTTAGACCTAATCGAGATGTATTACAACCCAAATTGATGTTAAGCAGCAAATTAATCTTCGTTAACAGCGGGAGAATAAACAGAGTGCGGCTCGCCTCTACCTCAATATGTAGACACAAGGCAACTAAGGAAGAGCATGTTGTGTTGCGTGTGGCTTATCTGGATAGAAGCATTTAAAAATCATCCGACTTGAACGTTACCGATCTTTAAAAGGGGTAATCATACTCTGACAGGTAGATTTCCAGCTAATGCAATTTGGACGAGAGAGACATAGTATACTACAGTATTTTCAATCAGCTATCTGTAGCTGATTGAAGTCCGTGAAATAGATTCTGGTACGTAGTATAACACGGTAGCGGGTTTGAGCAATTTTAGAACTAAGCGCTCTGATATAACAAAGTAAATTTTATTTAATGCTCATTGGACTAGTGTGACATTCAGCTAGTGTAATCTCCATTACGGCTAAGTTATGAGCAGCATATTATATTTTGTTCCATGTCTGAATAGTAGTTGGCAGGATTCACCAGAATAATAACATATTAGCTTGCTTGCTGTTTCCAGCTGCCTTCTAAACTATGAGTATCTCACGCCACCACGAGTTTGATCCAATATTGCACTTTCAGAAAAATCTTCGGCAGTAATGAATTTCTGCATAAAATATATGGTACTTTGCTTATTAAATGAAAACTAAAGAAGATAAAATGTTTTACATATACGTCGAAACACGTTTCGTATTATAGTCAGGTGCATCGATCACGCCCTTGTTGCATAGCACAAAAAAAGTAGCCTATCACTTTTTTTATAACTATATACACACATTTCTATCACTGAACCATTTTTCTTTTTATATTATTCATGCCTTAAGCGTTTTCTTTAACGAATCTCACTAATCACTCTGCCGTACATGCAAGTATTTATTTATGAATAAGCCTTGTTTGATTAATGGATGCCATTTTCTTGCGGGCTGTACTTGATCCAGCCTACGCCCGATAAAAAATGTATTGCAGGTCAAACTGATGTGAAACAACGAGTGAACTTTTAACAAGATAAGCCTATACAGACTGTGGTTATGTTATACACCGGCATGTACTTGATTTCGCTACAGGAGTTTGAGTTGCAGCGAGAGTGTAGTAGAAGCTATAATCAATTGCACATTGTTAGTCTCGAAAAGCCGGTTTTCACGTTCTTGCTATGAAAGATAAATATTAAGGAATTGAGAGCGATAATCATGTCGCTGATACAGGTGACTGGACATTTATTGCTAATATTATTTCAAACTGATTTGTTAATATCCATGTGGCAATTTTTAAAATTGCCCAAGAAAACGATTTGTCGTTTTATTAACATACTGCTTCAGATTGAAGGTTAAAGACTGCCAATTTCCTGTTCTTAACCACGATATACCCTTAGATATATAACCCATCTTTTTCACCATTTCTTTCACTCTGAGCGCAAAGTAGTCGCAAAAACTACTATTTGGAGCGTTATGAAATGCCATGTTTTTATCCAAATAATATTAACAATAGGCAATTGACAACTTCTAAGAAATGTAAAATGAGGGATAATGTTAAGGTAATGTTATAAGATATCGACAAAATAATTCGGGTCAAAGTATTTTCAAACGATTACACATAAATTATAGTGAATTCGCTTATATACTTTTGAGTGCTGCGACATCGCGCTCCACTGACGTCGACTCATACTTAGCAGTGTATAATTCAAAACAAATTTTCTGAGGTTGTGGTCACGGTATTCGACTTTCAAAAGGTGAATCAAAATATTCGCTTCAATTATTGTTTTTATTCTCTTTATATTGTACTCCTGTACAGATAGTCGTGCCATCATCACTGAGGCATTATAGTTACGTCTCAAAGGTCCTACGTGCGATTTACGAGCATCGTATCGAATTAATTTACGATTTTCAGCTTCGACGTTTTATTGGCGAAATGCCGTTATCAATTATTCATTATGTAGCCTGCATCTCGTCCGATACAACACGACAGTCAAGTGCAAACAGGTATCGAAAAGCGAACGCGTATGAACTCACGTGTTTTCACCTCAGTGAAAGTAGCAAGAAAGAATTTAGTCAATGCGAGAGCAAATGTATTTTTATCGGTGTTGCCAGAAATATATTTATGATATAGATAACGGCATTGTCCAAATGTTAGTTAATCTATATTGTGTTGTGGGATCCATGAAAGCAGCTGAATATAAGAGTAAATATAAGTATGTTGTGATTGATTTATCAGCACGGTCTTGATAAGTTTACTTTTTACTAAACGTTGTGAAATTCCCGTTCCGGTAGGCTAGAGTAGTTTGTGTTTGATGTCTCAACCTATCTTTTGTCGAGACCTTCTAAGTAAACAGTACTTGGAAGTTGACAGAGTAATAAATGATTTGGATTTCTTGAAGGGAATTATTATTTATAGGGTAAGGTATTTGGTAACAGGCAGTCTTCATTTCTTTGAAAATTATAATTACGTACCTAATAGATGACCATGTTTTTCATTGTCCAAATTAGTTAGCATAATACACGTAATTAATGCACATGTCAGCCGATCAATATGGACAATAACCGAATTGTAAATGCTGACCAAAGCCTTCCGGATTATGAGATCGGCAGACGTGTAAATCAAGAGAATGGATTTGCAACTTCGGTGAGTTGGGGTAGAGGATAATATTTTTGTTTCGGGATTAAACCACGTAGTAAATTCGCCAGGTACTATGATCGCTGAAGGTGTGTTTACTGTTTTGCTATATTCTCTCAATAATACTTGAGGTTGAAAGATCTATATTGGTATAACCTATACTGGCAACCAATCTATTAACCACTTATTTAATTCATCCATTGGAAACATTGAATATCGGAGCCAGTTGATATTAGTGAAAGAATTTAAGTACTTGAATATTATTCAAGCACTTCGGAGTATTTGGAGATATTAAAGTACTTTCAGGCACTCGAAACTGTGGATATGGTTTCATTTGAGAGCCATCACTATAAATAATTTTCATGGCGGAATGTTCTATTGACAAAACGCAAGCAACGAGTGTTCCTTTTCGGGTCTACTAATTTGTTTTTGAATCAAATCAGTGGGATTCATTTTGCTACCGAATGGAGTCATGACACTATCAGGCTTTTCGTCGATATTTTTGATTTTTGTAACCACCTGTCGTTATACCAGCCATTATTACAACGACACTTCGGAACAGCTGGCGAAATGTTAAAGTCCAACCAGCGTTCTCCTCGCCACGCAACTTTATTCAACGACGACATATTCTCGTGACTTGGTCAAATCTTCTATGTTTAGTCCCCAGAGACCATATTTCCTCTAACGTGCCCTATGCGCGCGTGAATAAGCAATAAACTCTTGAGTAGTGTGCGACGGTCGTTCATTATTTCATTTCGGGATGAAGTTTTGCTATGTTTTAGTCACCTATCGATTTGGGGGCCAGGTAGGCTACAGGTGCGAATAGCTGTTAGCGATTTGTTTAGATTATATTATTTGACCTAAAAACAGTATATTACGGCATAATGTTAGAAAGTGACACTGTTTATTTGGTTTGCAAAATGGTTTAAGCAGCGACTACAGTACAAGAGCAGGGTTACGTACTGTATTTAAGCTAACTTTTTGCTCTAAATCCAATTTCATTCTTCTTGTGTTATCAGTCTTAAATATGTTATATATTATACATGGATATTCTCAAGGACTTTGAGCTACCTTTTCAAACAACTCCGCTATTTTGCAAAAATTATACTTCAGTACTTTTGTCTGAAATCTATACCTATACACATATCATTCTTCCGTAGTTTTCCGTGGTAATTTGAGTGTCTCTCGTGTGGGTGCGTTTTACGAATCGCTATGCTTTCAATAAAAGAAAAACAAGTCCGACGTGTAAAAAACCTGCGTTGCCAAGGCAATGATAATAAAACGAAACCATGGGTAAAATTACCCAAGCTATAACAGTTTCACCTACCACCCATAAGCTATTGTTGAGATATACGGTATGGTAAGGTAACCATCAATCTCAATTAGTGAAAACAAACAGTGTTTGTTCTACCGAATGCCGTGGATGAATAAACAGGGGTGACTTTTTATAGAAATGATATTCATACACATACTGCTAATTGGTCTCATTTATTATATGCACTTTTATATATAATTATCGCCAAATGGGGATATCTCTTCTTGTTCTTATCACCAAATACGGATATCTCATTTTTTATTACTTACCTTTATGCAAATAAAACATGTACATTAGTAATAGATGTGTAGCCAAATCGCATTCCACATAATACAAGTCTTACCAAATATCCGGGACATCATCAAGTTTCGTAACTATACCTGACAAAGTTGAACTATATTTTTATTTATTATCCTTCCAAAACCCTAAAAAAAGCATATTTTCTTGTAATAGCTCGCCTACGAGGCTAGATGTAAACAGCCTTTGGAGAACCAAGTATGGTGATTCTTTTATTAGGCGAACAAACTTTTACTAATCATCAGTGTAACCCGAATAGTATACATTCTTGATGAGGTAGAAAGAATATTATGGTGGGACCTAGCTGACAACATAGATAATCTTTTAATACTATTTGAATGACGGTCAAGCAAAAATTTCGATTACTATACGAGATAGATACCTACTTATATACACATATATATATATATAAATATGCTAGATGATGCTTCGTTTTAAATTCCCAATTTTGTCATGTCTATACTATCCGCAATGCTAATATTCTTCTGTGTTTTGTCAGAATATAACAACTAAAAACGAAAGAAGGTACGAGCTACAGCAAAAAATAGACCAAGAACTGCGAAATCTCCAACTGGCAGAAGAATGCGGTAATAATATGGAAGAGGAAAAAACTACACCCGAATTTCCCAACAATGACACAGAGACACTAAAAGGTAACAACAGAGCATGGTAAAATACTCTTAAAAACGTATAAGATTTGTCAGAAATGGCCCCAATTTTAAGAGCGCTTGTTGGCGGTGCGAAAAATGTGTTTTTTACAATCATAATATGTATACATAAATGTTAGATTATGCGTTATTACATTTAAAGCGGGCTTTCACTTACAATAAAAATGTCTTATTAACGAAATGTATGAGCACCGAAAAAAAAAAAAAAAATTATGCTGATGGCAACCTTCTGAACGCCTGCTTAAAGCAGGCTAAAGTTGCTGTTTATTCAAACTTATTAGAGGGTGGGATATCCATCGTGTATATTAGTTTACGTGGTTGAAAATCGATATCGTCTAGCCAATTTGTTCCATCTGGTTGATTATGGTAACGAGGTTGAAGTATAACATGAACATAATTTTAACAGCTAATGGACCCATCGTTGAGTCAGAGACAAGCATTGACACTCAGTTGGATAATAACAAATTAGACTCGTCTATCGATGCGGTAGCGAACCATGACGATATTTCGGAGCAATCACTCTCCCAAGACGCCTTTCAAGCAGATGCGCAAGTCGAAATCGATACTGTGCAAGCAAGCGTACCCCAAGAGAAAAAGACGATATCTAACTTAGTTTCGACTGAGGCTGACGGGACTGCCGTTAAAACTGGACAGGAACCTGATATCTTAGTCGTGGGAGAACCGTCACGTGGAGTTACGCAATCGTCTAGCGCGGAATTGGATTACGTCGGACATTCGTCAAACATGACGTCACCTACAACGACTACTGGGACTTACACCCTGCCTCCACTTTCTCCTGGAACGGAAGAAGGTACTTATTTTTTTTTTGGAAATAACTTGAATTAGGTTTTCAGTCCATATCTTACTATAAAATCGTGGGGAGTCATATACTGATATTTCGAGAGATTATCGATAATACGAAATAACATACAATTCATTACTATTGCATACTTATCAGACCTTATAGTGCCCTAGCAAACTATATTTGTGATTGGGATTCGAAGGAAGACGTCTCCAGGCAACGTTGTTTTTGTTTGTACATCGAATTCCTTAATTTGTAAACAAACTTGCCTGATAAACTCTATTACATCGTGTTTACTGAACCTCCAAGGCACAGATTCACTAATTTTAAATTTTCAAAATACCATCCGCACTGACAGAGTCGGGTTCAATATTTTGCAATGTCGAACTATTTCCATATCAACACTGTATTGACAACAACACCGTGTGCTCTGCAATGTGATTAAATAAGTATGCCTTCACCCAGAGATGATATGAAAATCATTTCCTACTGAACTATTTAAAGTAATCGGCCTAATATTATCTGTGGCTAGTAAGGCTTCATCATATTCATAGGTGTAAGGAATGAACCAGTTTAATGCTTTTTACATAAACGATTTGGCAAAAAGCGTCCCCATATCTAAATGTTGACTCTTATCAATCGTGCTGGATAATCTGCATTCCATTTGTGGTTAATTGTGTCAAAATATATTCCACCTTGAGTAAATCAGATTTCAATAACTTTCACATTGATGATTTGTACAAGGTCACTTTACTTTAAAATACTGATGGATTTCACGATTTTCGTCACATTGTTTAAGCACCGCATTATTACCTATGTAGATTGGTATGCTCTCTCGCCGTGCGGTTAGCTGGGCGTATTCCTGAAACTCCATTGTTATTAGTTATATTTCGAAGCCATGCTACTTTCGCACAGCGCAAAAGCCTGTTATTGCTACACTTGAAATTGAGAACATTTGTAAGGTGCGTAAGCAGCGCATAAATAATTTCTAAGTCTGCCTCCAATTTCGAGTATCAGTTCCCGAAAGATATTTTTGTACAAACTAAACTTGAATTATGTCGTATGGCACAATTTTCTAAAACTACAGCTTTGAAAGAAAATATTTCTTTCAATTGGTTAGGTTCACTCAACTTTTTTGCCTACCCCGGAGCTTTGAATCAATAATTTCTCGACTTATCGGGATTGTAAATAAATTTTTTGGCCGTGACCAAACAGTAAGGTACCCCAATTATATATCCATGATGAGCTCTTGCGTTGGCTGATTTCCATGTTAGTTGTATCATTACAGCAATGGAATAATCTAATCATTGTAAGCACAGCCTCCCTAGCGTGCTATGTCGGTAATTACCGAAAATCTATATCTTGCCATAGAAATTTATTTTTAATTTTTAATCGTATTGTATTTATTGAAGTAATTATAATACCTCACCAAATATTTATTCCATTTTTGAATTATCTATTACAATATTGAGTTTGCTACTTCGTACGACCGACTTCTAGAATCGTTTTTTACTATCTCGACAAATAGAATTTCTTCATTACAATATATCGCCCGATGTTGACGTTAGAGAGCAAAAATTATGAAAAAAATGAATTATGAATGTGTGTAGCCATTGAAGTGTCTTCGGTTGAGCGTGTGGTGTTAATCAGCCCAAAGTTTATGAAAAATCAAATCTAATGCTAATGGAGGTGTCATCCAACCTTACCTTTGTATTCAATTCGATTAAAGCCAATTTTCAAATGATCTTCTTAAAATTTCGTACAATGTCTTTATCCAAAAATTATTCATCGCGTCAAAGCTACCGCCCAATATTATCAAAGTAATTGAGGGGCTTATTTCCTCGCAATTCAAACAAATTTGGACATTAACAAGGTAAATATCTTTAAAACCTAATAAACACATAATTTAACACCGTACATGACAGATGTGCACTATAATTTAGGAGTATGTATAGAAATACGGGCCCAAATATCATTTGAATGATTTTTTCCGCAGCGGGCATATAGGCCGGCCATCTAGATTCTAGAGTTAGACAGTGACATCCGAACAGAAAACTTTTAACTTTCGACATCAATATTGAAATTCCAAAGCATTTTTGTATAAGTCGCAATGACAGTTTTCAGTATTCATAAATAGCTTCATCTAAGCCATGCAATCATTTTCATTCTCTGTTTACAGATCTTGCTGATGAGATTTTGCCAGACGATCAATATTCTTTCCGAGATCAGCTTGATCGCGTTACATCATCATCGTCAACACAAGATCCCAATGTCAGCGAAATATCTTCAGACGTTTTTCTTGGACAACAAGGGCAATATGCTGATATAGAAATTGTTGATAACGAAAATCAAGCAAATACGCAGCCTGTTCTTGACCCTACTCTAGATATACCAACCTCGCCAGAAGAGGAGAAAGATGGAGAAGTAACCAATAGCGGAATTCCAGAAGAAGTACAGGATACCAAATCAGTAGAGGAAGTTTCCACAAATGAAATGGTGCACCAAGGGGATCAAGCTACCGAAGACGAATCAAAATTATTACGCGAAGAGCCGGTCCCCGATAATGGCAATATTAATTTAGATTTACAAGTCGTCTCATCTGAAGTACTTGTTCAAGGTAATTGTGAATGCCAATCGTCGAGCACCACAGACGATATTAAACCCAAGAGTGAAATTGACACAATACAAAACACAGAGCCTGTTGCCACCAATGAAATTGAAGTGCGTACCAGTGAAATTATTGAACAGACGGAGGATATGCCGGGCGTTCAGTCAACTAATACAGAAGATATGAAACAGCAAGAAGACTATGTTGAAACTATTGTGAGTGGTGAAGATACTGAACAAGAAATCACCGATTCACACGAGGAAATTGCTGATAGAAAAATCAGTACAGACGAGGATGAGTATTCTGGTTACGATATCGACATTTGCGAGTCTGCTTCTTATCAAGGTGACGTCAGCATTGCTGAAGAAAACCTGCCAGAAGACGATATCGTTCTTGGAGAACATCAAGTCATAGAAGCGTGTGACAGTGAAAACGTTCCTATTTTTGCTGATGTTAAGTATTCAGTTGGTGATCAAATCACTTCATCTGAACCAACAACAAGCATAGAAAACATTAGCGATAGTCTGACAGATGAAAATATGAAGAACGAACACCCCGAAATTGTACCATGGGGAAGTGATGGTGTTCTGCAATCCACTGAAGTTGAAAATCATGACAAGAGCGGTGAATCTTTTGCGTCTGATAAAGCAGATACAGCAAGCTCGGGGAGCAAAGAAACCATGTCTTCTGATCTCGAATTTACATACGATGTCGAGGCTTCCGATAAAATTGCTGAAGAAACTGTTTCAACAGCGATCAAAGCGGCTTATGAAATTGCTAGTAAAATGCCTGAGGATGAAAACGTCACGACTTCGGTCGACGATGTGACCGAAGACACTCGCTCAGTAACGCCTTCCCAGTTGTCAGAAACTACAAAGCCCGAAAATCAGAGTGCGGAAAATTTCGCCCCCGTTAACACTGCCGGTGATATCTCGGAGAATGTTCAGAAAATCGGTGAATCTAATTTAGAAATCGAGGGTGAAAAATCAGACCTCAGTTCACCTCATGAAAACGTCCAAACGAGAGAAAATGACGTAACGAATAACGCAGAGCTGAACGAAAAAACTACTGAAATTGAAGTCAAAACTTCAGAACCCGTTGCAGTGAGCGCAATCGAGACAGACGCAGTCGTGAACACTCAGTCAATCGATTCGGAGCGTGAGAATTTGGAATTACCACAAGTTAATAAAGAGACGCATGACGAAGTGGTTATTGGCGCTTCACCGGAAAAAGATATTGAATATACGAAAGTAGGTAACACCGAATTGGAGGACCGTGTAACTGTCGATGAAATACTGGAATCTGACAATCAGGAATCTAAGGAACTAACTACTCAATTAGCTGATGAGGTGAACCACAGCGCGGAAGAAGATAAAATGGTTAAAGTTAACGAGTCAGAAATGTCGAAGTAAGAATTCGAAATATAGTTTTGCATAAGTATACCGACAGTGGAAAAATTAACTCGTTGTGCTTTGCGTAATTTTATTTCAACTTACTTGCACAAATGAAAATTTGTTACAGTTTATTTGAAAAAAAATTATTTATTTATCAAATTTCGAAACGTAAAAAATTGTATATATGGTGGATTTGAGTTGCGGTGGAATAATAAGTGTATAGCATTTAAGATCGAAAATAATCTGTAGGAATTCGATTTGATGGAATTAACTGACATCTGCCTTACTACTTCCGCTATCTTAGCAAAATCATCATGAAATTTATTTCTTTTTCATCTATTGTGAAGAAATCCACTCGAAAAGATAACCTACAACCCAGCACTTAGTCAACGTAATACAGAAGCAACGAAATGGTTCGGACAATCGACTTCCGAAGATAAAATTTGGATGAAACCGTCCGGGAAAGTTGACCAAAACGCAGAACAGTAAGTTTCTGTCAATTAAATCATTTCATCTCGAATTTTTTTTTTTTTTTTTCAAGTTGTGAGGTTTTTTCGAAAGCCTTGTACATGCCGAAAGTGGGAATATTCGTTTAATTACATTTTTTTAATGTGGTGTCTTTTTAACCCAGATTTACGGTAATTTTTGAAGAATCTGAGTTCAAATAATTTCTGCTTAGGATGAAGTTGTTAATATTTTCAATACTATCAGACTTTAGTGCTGACTCAAGTTTATTATATTATAGCTACGTTCTAACGAAAATAATTACATTGCGTACACAATAGTGCCGATTGTTCACAGCCTTTTTAAAGCCACGACATGAAAAACATCAAAGAGAAGTATAATCGAGGCCAAGATTTCAGTAGTAAAATTATACGAAAATCGAAATATAGGTCTGAGTTGGAATTTTATATTTTGGTAGGTATCCACGGACGAAGGTGATTACTCGAGTTAATTTTTCTTCTAGTATTTAAATAATCACAAATCAATCGTTATCAAATCGTATAAAACTACAAACCAACATATTTTCAAATGAATTCTTTTGGGAAATTATTGAATAGTAGTGCGATTTACGTTTGATATAAAGAAGATTCATGTACCCCATCGCATTAACGGATATAAGCTCTTCGGGTTTGAAAATGATTAATTTTTATTGTGTTGCCTCAAACGTGTATGTATTAAAGACATTTAAATGCATAAAACTTTATATTCTCTATAAAACACGTAATGAGAATTTAATAACTATAATAATTTACGCTGAAATTGTGTTATAGATTTATGGCTATGGCCTTGCATCTAAGCGGGGTGGTCTTGTTGGCAAATAAATGACTTTCGCTATGGATTATACCTAATGTGATAGGGGCCATCATTCAGCCTAGTTTCACATTCTACGCGTGAATAAGATTACGGTGTGTTTTTATAAAGATATTTTGATACAGGCAACTGAACTTGTTTACAAAAATTGGATGCATCTTTATATTTCCTGAACGCCTCATTAACAAAATCAATACACAACTGCAGTATTAGATACTTAAAAAGGCAAAGAGCCGCACCGGTACAATAATTAAAACCTGTAACTTCAACACAAATTCGATATATCATTTCAGATTCTCTCACATAAAACATTGTTTTATATTTCACTAAGTGCTCTGAAAACAGATATGATGACCGACGTTAAGACAGACAAATATAAAGTTTTTAATTAAGAATAATCGATATTTTTTGGTATTCTGGGATCTTCATTTCAATTTAAATTATTTTTCCTAATTATACATCATTCAGTGCCAAATGTCACGCAAATTTGATATAAATTAGCGTTTTGCTCAAGGAAAGTAAATTTTCACATAAATCACAAATTTTAAGTATTTTAAATACCTGAATATATCTATTCAGAATATAATAAATTCTAAAGTTTGTTTGAAATTCATTGTACGCCAATAGCAATATTTTTGACATTTAAAATTAGTATTTTCATATGCATAAAGATATTTTGAAGTCCTAACGTATTATAATCTTATGGCCCCTCAGGCGATGATGAGTTATTTGTTTCCGCCAAAAGCTACATAACCTCAGTGTTATTTGTTGTGCTTTCTTAAATATATACAGATATATCATAACCAGCGCAAAATTAGATATGAAGGAATTTATGTCCATTAAGTTAATAAGTGGCGCCGGTCCATAATTTGGTTTATTCGACTTCAAGCTTGATCATGTATATTCAAGTTACTAATGCATTCACGGCCCATTCTTGTTGTGCCATGGCCATGGATAATCATAAAAATGATTTTTATGAATAGCCCGAGACATGTATGATTGAAGTAGTTTTGAATTACCACTGTGGATAATTTGCAATGAAATCGTCAGTTTTAACACGTTTTGCTTAATTTCAATCATATCACACAGCACAGATGAATAACCACTTGTTGCTGCCAATCAACGCCTATTTTAAATACCGATCAGTGCAAATGTTTTTTATTTGATTAAATTTGAATTCCACACATTCCAGTAATAATGTTATTGATATCCTATGGCATACGTAGAATACATTTTAGTCACTTGCTAATGGACAGAATTTCCTGTCCATAACATTTCTGCTATCAACACATATGGATGGTGACCAGGAATTTCACGAAATATATTTTCGATGATAGTTTATTTTTACATGCAATATGTTACATAATATTCACTTCGGACAAGGCTCTCTACGAACAGCCAATTCAAAAATGAAAACATAGTGGCTCCTCGCGCATTTGCTTGTCTAAAGCTTTGTTATGAGTGGTGATTTGAAAATACCCTATAGATCAGGCCTACTCAAATGGCGGACCGCGGTCCAAATCCGGACCTTTCGGGTATTCGATTCGGACCGCGCCTAATTCTTTTTTTTGGATCATTAGCCCCACTTTTAAAGTTTCCTTTTATAAAATCCTTTTATAGATTTAAATATATATGAAAAGAACTATAACGCCATAATAAACAATCTTGATTAGTTAATAATCATTAGTCGGCCGAGAAAGTGCGTGTTCAAGGATGTTCCGAAATATAATTTCTAGAAAGACCGGACCCAAATATTTTTGAAGTTTTGTATGCGGATCTTCGGTAAAAATAGTTGAGTAGTCCTGCCCCAGATAGTGGATTCTCTGCAATAGAGCCTGTAGATAGAACTACATTTCTGCTTCCTAAAAATCTTTAATTCTTGTTGCCTAATTTTAGAGAACGGAGAAGATTAATTAAGTCAATGACGAGAAAGCACAATCCTCATTTAATTCCGAAATGGCAACCACCAGTAGAAAAGGATCCCACTGAAGATCTGGACGAACGCCAGAAATCTAGTCTAAAGAAGTGAGTCATTCATAAAGCATTCACCGTGCTTTCATCGATCACACAGACATATCGCTTGCTGTTAATTTACACGTAACATGAAATTGATTCATTCTAATTACTTCAAGTTAATAACAATATATTTCTTATTGCTTTTCTATTTTTGATGTGATTTTAAAGCAACACAATTTGATTTGTATAGAATAATGAGATTTGCTTCGGTAACGAACCTCATTAAAATATATACCGGTATATATATATATATATATATGATGAATGGGATCGAATTTGTTGGATATCCTTTTAATACAAATTTCGCGTTTAGGGCGTTTCAAGAGGGCTAACATATTTTATTGAATAGATTAAGGCGATATTGGTTTTATTTCAAATTTTTTTCTTCACTAAATAACGTACGAGAAAGTTTCATTCAAATGCTTATGTTAAGAAAATACTTCGCATTATTTGATAATCATTGGTTTTCTCAACAAAGCTATACAAAATTGATTTAAAGCCCGAACCTCTGTTTGTTTATGATTGTAATCAAAAGTTTAGTTGTCATGAAGTCTCCTGAATTTTGTTCTGTGTCACCCTGCACGGTATACCATCGAAATACAGTCAATTTTTGACAAAGTATAATCATTGAGGCTTATTTACAACCAAATAGGTGTATTTGAGCGTGCGAACCGGGGCCTGTCTTCAAATAACCTTTCATTTTCAGATATGAAGAACGTCGACGTTCTCGAACAGATTCTTCAATAAACAACGAAACATATGTGAAACCACAGTCTATTCCACCCGTCATCAATGAAACGGAAACGAAATCACCTCCGCCATTGGTAATATAAATTATAATGAAAAGCCCACAAACCTGTTGAGGTTCATATTAATGTGCAATGACGTGTATTATCATCTTTTCTGAGCTAAAAACAACATATATATGAAGTTTATACAAGCCACGTGCGGTATTGAAACACGAATCTAAATTCTATTGTTTCCAAACCGCGTCTTGTGTACACTTTTTGGCGTAATCCTTGAGAGATAGATGCCACATTTTTCCATTTAGTGTCGAAGAAATTAAATACTTGTTTGGAACCATCTCAAATGTTATCAGTGGGCCAAACATTATTTGCAACATTATTACATTACGAAATATTTGTTAATCTTGATCCCAAATGATGGCAAAATTTTGCAACTGTAAATGTTAATAATTTTTTTATGTTCAGAGAGAAAACATCGTAATTGAATCGGTTGTCCATAGCAAAGATGCGATAGGATTTTGGGAAAGTAGATTGAATGAAAAACAACAAAAAGAAGATTTGGAACGAAAGAGGCTCAAAGTTGGCAAAGAAAAATAGTGAGTCCCCTTTTCTTAAAATCCATAAAGTGATCATATGGGCCAATGTTTTATGGGCGAGGCGATAAGAAATGTAGTGTATATACGATATGTGAGAATAGAATGATGCGTTTTGGTAAAACTGTGGTTTTGTATTTATCTATTCCACGTGATTGACCTGCCAGCTTAATTTTTCACATTCATTATTTGACAGTAAAGTAAAATTGCAAAAAATATTTAAATTAATTTAATTTCAATGCACTCTGCGACAGTTGAAAATTGAATATCAGTCAACATGCTCGAAAAATTTATTCGTTGTGCAATCAATGAATTCTAATTATTTACATATTCAGGTTGCTTATTTTATGAAACAAATGAAATAGTTTATTGTATTTGACTATTTTTCCATGTAATATTCAATCAGATATAATAAACCATTCTGCAATTTTGTATACTGGGAAAAGCAATTCTGTACTCTTACAAATTGATTGCTGATGTTTAGAATTGTTCTAAAATGATATATTTTGGAATCGAGTTGTAAGTTGACGGACACTGCATAAGCATCAACTATCGGCAAAATTAGAAGCATTTTATAACAATTTTATACCAACTGATACCCAAACTTGTTAATTAGCTCAAACTTAATTTCTTACATGATACGAATTGAATGTTTTCGTTTACCTGGGGACTTCGTGTCGTTAAAAATGTTTCTATTTGCAGTCAACGAACAAGAGCGGCATCTGATGTCTCGCGACAACGAAGTGATTCTACTTCGAGTACAACTTCTAACCAAAGCGTAACATTGCCCCCGTCAGAGAATATTCAACGAGAATCGATGAAAATTTCAGAAGTACGAAATAGGTAAGGGCCGAAAACTGATATCCACGTTTTGAACATATCAGTTGTATATTAGAAACACCGAGGTTATTTTGAAAAAGTACGGAACCACTGAGCGTTGGACTTGCAAAAATCTTCGTCATTACTTACTGTATCCATATGTCTATATATATTTGTTCTGTATCAATATGTTATCCAAGACCTTGGGCGAGGTTCTTGTTGTAGGCTGACCGATTTAACCAGCTTCTAAAATCAGTGCTTTCAAATATTGACGCCGGCATAATTTAGTCACTAGCCAAGATATTCGAATCCGTTTTGAAGTCGTTGTTGTTTTATTCTTTTTCCTTGATTTGATTGAATATTATAGCTATGTACCAAGCTTTTGAGTAATAATTTATTTGGTTTTCATATCTCACTATTTGGATGCAGTTGTTCCAATCGTGATGCAATACCGTCATTCTTTTTTTTTAGATGGAAAAATATCGAAAAGGAAAGTGGGAAAACAGAGCCGACTACGCACATCAAAAAAGATTTGAGCAAACGATCGAAGTTTTCTGTTAACGCGAATATCACTTACAGATCATTTCAAAGTCCAGTCCCAGCGTTAGCGAAAGAGCAGCCACCAAGACCAGTTGTCAACAAACCGCTCACTATCCCAGACTATACGCAATCGGCTTCACACAAAAACGAGAGTTTTATCGATCGAGAGATAAGAGAAGCGGCGGAGAGAGAGGAAAAATGGAAACACGAGCAATGGGAGAAAATGTCAGGTGCGGTGTTATGACGTCAGAATGCCGATACCTTGTAAAATGATATGCTTGCATAATTTTCCACTTTTTACTGTTTTATCGCGAATACAGTGTTTCCCAAACTTCTATTACGCGCAATCCACGTTGCATGTTGCCATAATCTTGATATGCTATTTTCATCAGACATGAGAAAACCGCTCGACCGATGTGGTACATGCACCCATTACGACCTCTTTGCGAGTCTGAGTACCAAACACTACGGGATTGGACGTAATTTCTTACATTCTAATAATTCGATTTTTATGATATCTCTAGAATTACCTATGAAATATTTTTGTTATGGAAATTATTGGTACTCGGTATAAATCACACTGGTTTTCTTTCTAAACAGAGATCTCAGTAGCGTCATCAGAAGATGTGTTTTCGGAAAGCTCGATTCCCCCAATGGGAAATAACGATCCCAACGTGGTTACCACCGTGTACACTGGCTCTCTTCCTACTGCAGACTTAATAGGCCAGGATATTAAAAAGGATTCAGATCGCGAAGAATCGTGGAAGACACAACACAACAGCACGCCGAACAAAAATGGCACAGGGTATGTTACCGCCGTCAAAACTTCAGTTGAATTTGTTACAGATTACTTTAATACAGCTCTTTTCATAAGTAGGGCATTTTTTTTCAAAGTGGTAGATATTTTGTGAATCAAAAAAAAAATTGACCTTTTTGAATTCAGATTTTATTGAATGTGAAAATTCGGTCTTTATATGTAGTACTGTAATATTTGCCTCCAATCTGAAAATCCATTTAATAAATATTTTATTTCCAGCATTATGAATAATTTTTAATGTAATCCTATTGTTTTTTTTTTTATATTTTAGTACCATTAAAAATGATTCTTTTTCCACAGAAAACTTGAATTCGCACCCCAAGGAAATGTAAGCAAAGCCAACAGTATATCTAATACTTCGCCAAGTACTGGTATCGCCAGTCCCGAATCGCTGTCAAGTTACGGAAGCTCTATGACCAGCAGCTTTCTACCCTCTCCGCCGCCTCTTGCGTCCATAGCTCAAGACAAAGTTATTCGAGACTTTGGCTCAAAATCACCATCTGAAGACGAACGTCAAGTGTTTGAATCGAAGAATCTTTCTTCTGTACAAGGGAAAACCATTGGCGTTGGATCGGAGGTGGGTGAATGTCTGTGCATGTGAGATATCATGAATGCAACAAAAATGATATTGACTTCTAAGTAAAGTCAGTTAAGTACTCCCGTTTTCATACCTTCTCTTTTGAGAAAAAAAATGGTTCGAAACGAAATAAGCTATTATTCGTATTCGACTTGTGATGATCTGGCGATAATTTTTATTTTGAATGCTCTTATTGTTCTTGCTTGTCCCCCTTTATGAATGCTGCCTGCTTGTTCTCTGTCCTTTCCAGTGCACCGTGTCTTTCGTTTATTTCTAAACTTTTTTCATAATTGAAAGTTGCTGAGGTAGAGCAGGCTTAAAAAGAGCTGAACTGAAATAAAATTAATACTTCGCATATACGTGATTTCAACTTTCGTGCATAATCTATAATAATCTCTTGTTACATGACTTATCTGTCATCCCTAGCAATTGGATATTTTGAATTTTGTTAATTGTTATCCGAAGCAACTCACATGCTATCGTATGGCTAGGCAGTCGAATTTTACATATAGATGATGTTGGACCCTTAGTTCGTAGTATAAAATGGGTAGCATTGAATCAAAGAATCATAATACCCACTCAATTCCTATAAGTGTTTTGCATACCTTTGTTACACATGGAGTCATAAGCCTCCAGAAAACAATGAACGGTGCTCATTTGAAAACTTTGATAACTTATATATTTTATATATATTTTCATAATTTTTCAAATTACCCTGCCCCGCTGTTTGTTAACCCGAATAATGTATTCAAATTTCCACCGCTACTAATGAATTTATTTACACGATATTAGTATGTAAAAGGATGACGTCATGCAATGACGTATAGTGCGTTTTTCTTCTATAAGCAGGAACGGGAAGAAGACATGCAAGCTCGTCGCCAAAGAATTAAATCTCTCACGAGTGCTGTAGCCCCTAGAGGTTGGGAACCAAACAAAGGCCGTTCTGCTGGACCTGTCTCTCCGGTCAGCCCGGTTCATCGTAGTGTTCCCAGACCCGAGGTTTGAACCATTTTTGTTGGTGGTGTTCCCAATCAAAATGTTCAAAGGTTGATCATAGTTATTTGGTAAAAAGTAATACCAATTCATCTATGAAAAATGCTTCGTTAATTACAAAGCTTGTCATTGTTATATACTGACGTTTTGCAGTGATTAACACACTAACTATTCCATTTCATATTTTTCGATATTCTGACAATATTTGCGATATTATCTTTAAAAAGCGGGAATTATTGCCGTTTTGTGTATGCTCCGACAATGACTTATCATGTGTTTCTTTTCATGAGTTCTTAAACACTTTCGTCCTTTCAACGTCCATGAGTTCTTTTCCCCCCAAAATTGTGTAATATGGACAATAGAGTTAATTAAAACTTGGCACTCCGTAAGAAACTAATATAAGAAAGGATATATTTGGATTCGTACCTACCATTATTCTTGGAAGGCTGGAAATGCCGTTTATATTTTCAATAGCAAAATGGTCAAATAGGATAGTCGGAAAGTTTGAAAACAACTGAGAACACTTTCATTATGAGATCTGAAAAACTTTAGATGGATCTCCATCTAACTACTTCTTCAAACCCACTGATTCTTGTCGTATTGGATATTGGATAGTACTAATGATTTGTGTTTTATTTTGGCATGGTGTTTTGGGAAATTTGTTGCATGGATTTTTTGCTCATGTATTTCGTTATGATTGATTATATTCATGTCTTTGTGACGTTTATTATTTGTTTTTAGAATCAAAAAAGGCCCCTATGTTTGCAATGTGTGTGATCTTTTTTAAAAAAAAATCGATAACATATAATCAATCGTGTTTTAAACAAAAATGATTCATTAAATAATTTCAAACTTCGATCGAATTCGGCTCAAGATATAAAAACTGTATTCGATTCACCTAGACGAGACGCATATTTGATTATTTGTGCATAATTGTTATTCGATCCGAACAGTACTGATTGTTTCGGCCTTTGGGCTACGGTTATGCGATAAATAAATTGCATTAGGTGAAACACACACACGGTGTGTTTGTAACTTATTTTTATTTGTATGGAATAGGTAAAACGTCATCAGACATCAACGTCAACAGTCTCACCCGTCAAAAGCCTTACAACATTGAATTCAGTCGTCGAAGTACCTGCAATTGAAGTTACAAACACTACCTTCCTCAACACAGCCCCTTCTGCATTTGATGACGTTACTGACAGCAAAGAAACGTCTGTTATACATGAAATCAAAGCCGAGCCATCGAAAAAAGCTGAACAAGTAATTCCACCCAAATTAACGGTAGAGGCCTCACCCGTAAAAAATTCTTACACAAATGAAACGGTTACAAATACCGCCAGTGAACTACCAACTAAATTTGAGTCAGAAAATCAATTTGAAGCAAAAAATCAAGAAGAAAAGCAATCAAAAGCTGACTACAATTCACCCATTGTTGACTCTCATGAAGAACATGGCAACGAAATGAAATCCGTTTTGGAAACCAATCACGTGGAACATATTGAAAAATCCACACCGAAGAAAAATCATGAAGTACCGAATGTCATATCTAATGAACCCCATGTCCAAAAATATGAAATCAATCAAAAGGAAAAAATATCAGGACCTGTTGTCAATGCAAATCTCCAGTCGGCGAAGACGGAAGCTCCGCAACCCCATTACAATCAACAAGCAGCAAAATCGCCAGAGATTGTAACTGAAGTACATAAAGATGAGAAACAGAAATCTTTGCATAAGGGAGGGCCTGGTAAGGCTAAAAATTCAGTCTATAAGTTGTAATCTTTTTTGACATTCGGAGATTCGAATGAATCCAAACCTCTTGGCACATTTACTAGCCTAAAAAATCCATTTGGAAATATAATACTCATAATACTGTCATTTCTATTGTCTTTGTGAGGACATGTGTATATATGAGTTTCTTCTTGTTTTGGGAAAGTTTATCTGCCAATTTACCCGAATAGTGTAATATCTAATATAAAACAAATTTCTCCCGGTTAGCACCGTCTAATTCATTGATTATATACAGTATAATAATAATTATAATTTCCGTTCGTTTCAGTTTCAATCCCTAAAAAAGGCGGTCCTGTATTCAATAAGAAGTCCGGGCCTATCATATCATCTAGCAAATCTCGCTTGGAGGCTGTAATGGAAAAAGAGATGCAGGAAGCAGCGGTGACTATTTTTTTAATTAATATAATTTTTTTAGAATCTCCTGGACATATGGGGTAGATTTCATATCTAAATAGTTAGGTATTCTGCTCTGAAAAGTCTAATATCTTCTAAAATTAATTAATTTTTTTACGAATCGCCCTGTCACAAATGAATGTAATGTTGTAGTTGGTTCAATTTTTTAAATATTGGGATGCAAAGAATCTATAAATATTCAATTTTTTATTTTGTAATGTTATGTGTGTACACGAGCATACCTAAGAATAGGAACGTAACCCCATTCTCTGCCAGGGTGATCACGTTTTATCTACTCGCATCAAATTTAATTCCCAGAATGTGGCAACATTCGTCAGATAGACAAAGTGAAGTATCAACATCAGTGATTACAGTACACCAGAGCCTCTTTGTAACCCAATGCCATAAAGTTGATACAATACTTCATTTAGGCAAGAGAAGAAGAATGGCGTAGAAAACAAATGGAGTTAGTGAATCAATCGTCCAATCCTGCCAACCAACATATTGTACATTCTTCTCGTGAGATTAGGACACCTGTGACGTCTACACCTCCTCCTCCAGTAAATGCCGGAATGCCATGTACGAGAAGAGATTATGATATACTTCAATGAAAGTTACTAATTTTAAAATTAATAAAGGATTTTGTTCTTACCAACTGTATTTGTTTTTACAACTGTATTAACCCATATTAAACGTTTCATTGATTTAAAGCCTTTGTCCGTTGGTTTAAATGTCGCATGCAACAAACTGACTACCTAGCTTTTTTCGATAAAAATTATAATTCATTTTACAATAATATATGTCAAACATACTTAATACGTATACTACATACGTATAGTTTTCCCTTTTGTGAGACTGATGTACATAAGTGCGTGAAGACACCTTGGCGCGATCTAAAGAGGATGAGAATTATAGTGATATTAAATGAAAACAATATGTTAAGAGACTATCAAAACCTAACATAAACAGAAAGATTCCAATTGCTATGTAACATAGAATATATTTAGACTTAAATTGTCATTGACTTCAAGCCTTTGTTTTCAGCATCATCAATGGTAAATCTGAGGCCAAAGGAGGTCAAAAGCCTATTTGCTGATGACGAAGAAGAAAAAGTCAAACCAGTAATTCAAAACAATGCATCGGATGAAGTCAAGAAACGATCGGTAATAAATGAAATTCTTGTTAAAACCAAATTGGTTGAACCACATATCCCGTTACATATCAAATTAAACAGCGATAATAAGCCCGCTACGAGAGTTATCGAGAACAAAACGTATGTTGTCCCGGTACATTCTAGACCGCCACAATCAAGCTTTCTTCATGATATATCCAGAATATTAGAAAATAAAGTTTCTCAAACATCTGTACGTGACGCCAAAGCATCAACAGAAAGAACACAGCCAACACACAATATACAGTCACCAATTTCACCTAAATTTGTTGGTACCAACACCACACCACCAACAGAAAGAACACATACAACACACAATATACAGTCACCAATTTCACCTAAATTTGTTGGTACCAACACCACAAGATCAACAGAAATACCACATACAACACGAAATACACAGTCACCAGTTTCACTTGGATTTGTTGGTAACACTACCACAATCTCACCTACACCCAAAAGTAATTTAACCACCTCTAACACAAAAAATGGAATGGCCACCCTAAACACTTTGGAAAAACGCCAAGAAAATGGCACTGCACGACAGCTATCTAAGGACATCGTCACCGTCAGAAAAATCGATAACTTGCCTACTAAACCAGATTACTCTGTTAAACACATTAAAACGGAACGTAAATCCGAAGAAATCAAAGATACTGAGATAAAAAGATTGACAGTTCCACCAATCGATGTACCACTTTCTGTTATCGGTGTTCAACCTCTCGACACATCCGATTACATCAGAAATGCGTTATCAGTACCCAGTTTAGAAACAACAAGATACGACCAACATTCCGCCGTTGAAGAAAGGATTGCCAGGACTCCCATATACGAGAAGCATGTCACACGAAAGCGCGATACTAACAGGTACAGTGGAAGTACGTTTACGGTGCACCCGCACGTTTCATCTGAACCTGATTACATCGAGCGTTCTTCTTCTATGCCCAGACGAGAGGCGAGATACAACGGTCACTCGAGTATGCAACATTCGAATGATCTGCATAGATATGATAGATATCCCGATTCTATCCACTCGATAGAAGAAAGAAGATATGATGATCAATATTCAATAAACAATTCTCCTAGGTCGAGATACAGTTTAACAACACCAACTCGTGAAGTAACTGAATATAAACCATACTCTACTTCAGTACGAACACGAGAGATTACCGGATTTAGTGGGCGGGCTGCTACAACAACAATAACACAAACTCGAGAATTTACGTAGGTTTTTGCAAGGTTCATAGCCTGGGTGTAAGTAACTAGAGCCTGGTGGTAAAAAGCAATTATTAATTTGGTGAAAACGATTTATCATTGGTGACTTTTATTTCAGTTAATTAAGCAACGTTTTTTCTGCTAAATATATTCGCTGTACTAATTTGTAATAGCAATGCCGTTATGTTACTTAGTTATTTAAGTTACGCACTGACCAAACAGTAGCGAAAACGTCTCCGTGTCGTCATAGAATGGTGCCATTTACAGCAATATTATATATATATAAAGTAACTATTTACCGATTTATTCATCATTTAACCTTTAAAAAAATTTCATTTAGAATATTCTATTCGACTGATTTACTACACGATCTCATTTATGTATAAAAATGCACCGCTAAATAGTGCTCATGTCCAATTTTCGCTACAAAAATCGATGGTAATGTATATACCGCATCCCGGGCGGTAGCCTACATGCCATTTTCTGCTGAAATAAAATTAGTGTCTCATGGTGTTAACAAAAGACGCTAAAAATTATTATGTCCCTTTAGATTTATGCTGTTTGAGTTGCCAAAGCAAACTTTTCTTTTATTTTCTAATTCGTGGTGTTTGTATGCTCGGCCCAAGAACGATGCTGCTATTTCTCCGCACCGGGTCAATATTTTTCTACCTGCGCTGCAGTTAATTTTCATTGAACCTGGACTAAGGTACTGGGCGGCCATTGATTGCCCTGTCGCTCTCGACGTTTCGTCATTCCAATCTCATACCGAAACACATAATGCGTGAAATTTTGTAGTCTTTATGTCCGACCTGAATGATGTTTGGACTGTAAACTCAACTGGCCCACACCCCTTCTCGAAAAGTTGAAGTATATATCCTGTATGGGGTACAAAAATCTGTTATGCTTCGTCGAATAGTTTATCAATAAGAAAGGGTCGTGTCGTGTCGTTTATGAAAAATTTATTTCGTTATTTTGTTTGTGTAGGTTGTCAAGGCTGTGAGAGTTCCAAAACGAAAAAGCACTCTAGCAATGAGATGGGAAGAAGGAAACTTTCAAAATAATCATCACGAAGATGAAAACTGAAAAGACAGATACTAAAGACATCGTGGCGCCCTCGCCTGAAAAGATGCCAGACATCGACCAAAAGCCACCCATATGACCCTACAGTAACATATGAAACGAATAATATAACAGTAATTTGAAATTATGACTCGACAATCACGTGATCATTTTAATTATTTGATAATGCATGTCTGATATCCAATAAAGTCATTGTCATCCCTCAGTAATGCCACATTGGGGGGATATGTGTGAAATAATCTGTGCATCATGATAAAGATTTACGGTTTTTTGTTTTATTACTCCATGAACACCCATCTTGGGCTTTAATTTTAAATAAGTTTTATATTCATTTTAAACTATTAGACTTAAATATGATGCCTAGTGTTGAAATCCATCGTGAAAGGTTGTTTCCCCTCGGGATGGAATAGGGAGTTCTACTGCGAGAGAAAGCAGCAAATAGGCGTCATTTTATACATGTTTGATATTTATGTCGCCAACTTGGATTCGTGTAGTGTAAATAGTCGTTACTGTTTTTTGTTTTCTATTTTAATGCACAAACATCATCCTAGTAAACTCATTTTCTTGTTGGTACAAGTGATGTTTCGATTATTGTCATGCAATCTGACTTCTTTAACTTATTCAGTGGAAACGTATTCGAAATCGGAAGTTAAAGATTCGTATAACTTGGACTTCTGAAATTTTGCTTTCTAAAGAATTTTTATCTTGGCTATGACAAACGGTTTAACAGATTTATTAGGTCGATTTGGATTTTTACTGAAAGTTCTCTCAAGTACAGTTAATTTAACAGAATGAATCCAATAAAACGAGCCTAAGCTTTTCAGAACATTCAGCTGGGGGGGGGGGATCAATCTATTTTTAAGAAGACTTGAAATACAGTATCTTTTCAGTATTGTTATATACACATAAAAAGAATCGGCAACCGATATCTTGAAGCAATTTAGCTAGGATCATGTCACAGTATTCCAGCAGTCTTGCACAATGTTCATGCATCCTTCTTTGCAGTATTTCTTTTTATTACTTATCATTATGTACCAACATACATATCTATCTGTATTTTACCTTTATCATTTTTGAATGCATTTTAACTATATTGAAAATTCACATGATATTCATCCACACATGATTCACATCCAAATTACAATTTTTTTCCACTCAAGGTGACTAGCCACAAAAAGACTCGAGATTTAGGCACTAAAATCGATATTTTTGCTTGGTGAATTACTGCGTTGTACGCATGTCTCAATATTTAATCATTGTTTCAGCTTTAAATATATTTGCATTTTCAGATTGTTTGCAGTATTATATCAATTCATTAGTATTAGTTGATATATGCCAAGTCATCCGCTTATGTCATTTTCAGTGATAGTTAGCCCCTTTCCTTGTCATTGATTTCAGGGTAAAATAAAATTTATTTTTTACATCCTGAACATATCGATTCAAACTATTAGGCTACTAATTAATCAATGCCAGTAAAATCCAACTTCACTGCAACGAAATATGAAGAGTTTGTAAAAAATTTACACCACACGACAACAGAAGACGTATCCTACGTCTACGCCATATTCAAATTTGCATCTTTCTGTATCCTACCTTTGACTTCCCGTTATTCATCAGCAATAGTGAGCTTCAAGTCAGTCTAGGTTTACCAAATTATCTCAAGTCGCAAGACGTCTAGATTCACGTGCTAATAAAAATTGTTATAGAATTTGGTTACTTGACTTTGACCGTAGTAGTATATATTTACGCTTTGACAAATAAAAACGACATAATACTTTTTTTCTTACACATGCCTTTTTGTTAGGGCGCCTAGAATTAAGATTTATAGAAAAGAATAATACATAATTGAGAGGACCGAACGAATTGCCAAAACCTGGAAAGACTATGCGTAAGATTTTTAATTTTTTGTTCTGCGAGTTTTCGAGATTGTAGTTTTACGAACTTTTATATGAATGAAGCTTTGATAAAACCCACTTTTGCGCAGATAATGTTTCGTAAGATGGAACTTTTGTGCAAATGGGATTTTTCCATAATAAAGTGAGAAAATATTATTCTAAAAAATACATTTTACAGTTTAAACGTCCTAAATTAGAGTTTTATCGTATAAGTCTCAGCCAGCGCAAGTGCATACAATGTTACATATATAATTTAATATAGGATAACCCATACCCTCGCTGCTTATTTCTCAGAATATACCAATAGTACCGTAAATATATACCACAGATATAGTACAGAGAGAGAGAGAGAGATTTTATTTCACAAATAATGTCAACACAATGAAACATTTGAAGCAACAGAAACAAAATATAATAATTCACTAATAATTAGTTGTTATTACTTGTGAGGGTCAGTATTACAAGACCGGTTAGGTTACCGAGGCTCCTGGAAGCATTGGCGATGAAATTTGGATAAAAATAGAGATAAAACCATCTACCATAGCTCATTCGGGACTAATTTTTGATTAAAGCTCTTCGGAAGACATAGTGACAACGAAAGGATATAGTGACAACTAAATTATTTTATTTGCAACTAATGTTTGGAAACACAACTCTAGACTGACAAAAAATACGTGAAACGGGAAAACGAGCTGTTTACAACCACGCTTGAATATCCGTCTGGTCTCAGCGAAAGAAATGTCTGAGCAACATCACAAATTGGGATTGTTGCGTCATCGTTGACTTGTTCCTGATTGGCCACTGTAGAAAGAAAAAGAAAGAAATAAACAAGGAATTCGATACTCGGGGGAGGAGGGGGAAACATCCATCGTCAAACAATTCAATATATGTCAAAGGTCGGGTCAAGGTCGATGGTATTCCATGATGGTAAAACATTCGAAAAGATCAGAAAATCAACTTTGAAGTACAAACGAGCAAACTGCCTGTTCAGTCAACTTTGTTTCGCAAAATCATAACTTGCTAGCGTTGAACTCACATGTCCGATTAAAATGGTCAGTTTAGGGAATACGACACTGTGCGGTAATAAACACCTCTAAGCATTGTGTGATATTTTTAGTGTAGTTACTTTGCCTACCAAGTTATGAAGTAGGGATAGGGTTTAATTTGAATAAGATCGATGTGATTAATCATAGTTGAGTTACACGGCAGACCTACCTATTACTTTATATATCCAGGTATTGGCTGTTTGGTCAACTCTACTTGTCTATTCTGCTATTGCTGTAGGCCTATTGAAAAATGGTTAATTACTGCGACAGGCGGTGTTACTGTTAGGAATCGTAAAGACAATTAAGTACAGTACCGGTACCGTAAAAGCGCCTAACTTCGGACAAAATTACAATATTTTCGTCAATAACTCGGCCATTTATTGTCCAAACGGTGCCAAAATTGCTCGGTAAAACATTCGTGCGGTAATTTACATTCCCTGCAAATTTCGGTTCAATTGGACTATTTTTACTATTAAAATAATCGATATTTCTCGCCATCTGACCGTTATCCTTCACTGCCCTAACTTCGGACAGTCATTTTCTTCACTGCGTAACCGCGACGCACAGAGAGAAAGAGAGTTCCGATGCGGATGACGTAATCACGTCGTTGCGTGAAGATAAGACGCTCGATCGTCGTCGTAACGTAACATTGACGTCACGACGAAAATGCATTATTTGAAACTTCCGTCGTCCTATGTTTACATCTTTCGTTCGTTATTTTCGATACTTCAGATGAGTATAATAACACGTTAGTCATTTTAATCAGGAAATGCATACGTAAATATATCTGATGCAAACCGTTTCAATCCACAATGAAGTATTATAACGGGCTTCTATCGAAGTCTTTGAAGTATTAATATTCTCGACGGATAGCTTTTTTTTATTCTGCGCGGTTATCTTTATAAATGATAATTTATATCAAACACACGGTAAATCCGATTGTAAAGTTTAATTTAAAATTCAACTTAATCTTGTAAACATGTAGGTCCCGTTTATTTGTTGGAGATTAAATTTATTTTTTATTTCGAGGGAATAAAATTCACCCAGGCCGTATTCAATAACTGTCATTTCGACTACTAATCATAAAAATATGGTTAGGTCAGTGCACTGTGCCATATGGACGTTGGAATTATCATAGTTTTATATATTCGATTTTTAACGTCATCGATTAAGTGTGACATGTATTTTCATTAATGTAATTTTGGCATATATTCATACATGACCGAACAAAATACAAAAATATTACATTGGAACGCCGTCTTTATCTTGACGGAAATTGTCATATTGGCTCCGTTGTGTCTGGCGTCAAAATTCATTTCCGCGACGCAGTGTGACGTCGTGTCGGAAGTGAGCGAAAAATAATCTACGTGAGGTTGACGTAATTTTGACGCTGCGTGAAATCTTAATATTCTTAAGGAATTTATAATTCAGAATTTTAGGTTTTATTTAAATCTCGTACGACATCTTGCGATCACTCAAATAAATTATATACATTGTTGTCGCCCTCTACCGAATGATGGTATTTTGACGATGATAGCTTCAGTAGGAGCGACGCTCTGCGCCGTTGAATGCCGGGCAGTCAATTTTCGGCAAAATTTCCGTTTTTTTACCAAAAAAAGAATTATGCAACATTAAAAAAGACGAGAATAGATGTAGATATAACAGCGCAACCTATAAAATTTAAAATTAGCAATATACGGCGCGTTTTAGCCAAGATATGGCCGTTCAAATATTTTGTCCGAAGTTAGGAACTGTCCGAAGTTAGGCGCTTTTACGGTACCGGTATATGATTAGTCAAGTTTATCTTAACTTGATAGTTATATCTCTATTAAGACAAGTGCTTATCACTGATCTATGACTGTATGACAGTTTTCAGGAATTCTGTCATTGCCGACAACAGATCCCATTGGCTGCCCTAATAATTAATCACTGTCAGACTGTACCATACCGTACTATGTGATAAGCAGTTGGAATGCAATTTCTAATTGAGGAAACAAAAAATATCATGGAAAGTAACCAGACAAATTAAACAGTGATTTCCAATTCATCAGACATAGGTATCATAAAACAAAGTTCACTTTAATAAGAATTACTTGTTATGGCATCAAAAGTTGTTGGTGCATCTATCAGAGCTGTGAAGAAAAGGAAATTGATTCCTACCAAGCAAGCAATCGTATTGGTGAGTCGAAAAATATAAATTGAAAATCAATAATTTAATGGAATTTGCAGTACTAAGAATACATGAAATATGTTATAGCAAAGAGAATCATTTCTGTTTACTATATTTTGGTTTTTTTTAAAAAGCTATATTTGAGCAGTATGTAGTAGACATTGCAAGACCTTCATTTATTATGGTATTTTATATTTAGACGCAAGCAGCGGTAAGAAGAGTGAAAGAAATATTACAACATGAACCCGATGTGGTATGTCATGTATTATACTATATTAGTCATGCTCATATCATTATAGCAATATTTGAATAGCAAATTTTCAGTTGTACATGGTAGTCACTAGTGCTTGTAAGTGTATATTCCTATTGAGAAATCAATCTTATATGAAAATATAGGTCCATAAAAATGTGTTCAATTATTGTTGGTAATTCGTTTACAGCTTGGTTTGAAGATTGGAGTGAAGCAAAGGGGGTGCAATGGAATGTCATACACATTAGAATATGTCAACAAGAAAGAAAAATTTGACGAAGAAGTTGAGCAAGATGGTGAGAAATGTCTTTCAACAATGACCAGGGTTTTTAATTAGGTGTTGTACGTATGTGTGTTCATTCGTCTCAATACGTTGTGTTAATGAGACCTTACACAACTGTAATTTATGAGACTTATAGTACCACTGACAAAATATGAAGATAGTCTGACTGCTACATCCAAAATTTCATTAAATAAACAATATATATAAAACAATACATTGAACAGTTACTTCATTTTTTGTATTTATGGATACAAACTCAAACTTATTGATACTATACTTGGGTCATTTCCAATATTTATAATCTTACAGTGAATTGAAAAATTCTTGACGAGAGGATTGCTGGACTCTTTGCCGTCATAGGTGTTGGCTCCCCCCACCATCAAGTCCATGCATCTGGAACAACTAACTGGCTACTAATCCCATACTCGACATGGACTGGTAACCGGACAAGAGGTCGTGGTTCGCCATATGATTAAGTCATGTTATCGGCTTTCCTCCACTCCTGAATAAATATGTAAATCCTACCCTAAAATTGTTTGATTAAAAAAATATTTAATATGCCGATAGAAGACTATTGCAGCTTCTTGATATATGAATGGAAATGATAAATTAATCCATTTCCAAGTCTTCCTCAAATCACTCATCAGGAAATGAAACACTTTCAAATTTGGTTTATTTATGTTTAATGTCCTAAGTTAGTGTTTTCGTGAAAGTATTGGATCAGTTTTGAATGTTGTTGTGTATTGTCAGAAATTTGCAGTTGGTAATTGACAATATTTATATTTACAGGTGTGAAGATATTGATTGATTCAAAAGCACAGATGACAATTCTCGGAACAGAAATGGATTTTGTTGAAGATAAACTTTCTAGTGAATTTGTATTTAATAATCCCAACATAAAAGGAACTTGTGGGTGTGGGGAAAGTTTTAATTTATGACCCTGTGTTTGAAGTTACTTTTCTTTTTTTTCTAAATTCTGTTTCAAATCGTTATAATATAAATATTTTTACAAGGGCTAGAAATGACATTTATCATTTGTTATTTAGGGTCTGATATTTTAGTTTTTCAAGAGTGTAAGCGTAAAGTGAAGACTGCCGCAAACAACTTTAATAACTGAGAGCTGTATAATATAATGAAATTTAAAATTATGGGATATGACATCATAACAAACTATTGTCAGGATCTGAAATGTTAATTTTTGAAATTGCCAAGATAATGTTCCGCTTTGGGAGCTTCGTGATTATTGTTGAAACGGAAGTATATCAGCATTTAGAAGACATTAGCATAAAAGACAATTAAAATGTTTATAGCGTAGTAACTGAAGTCAATATTGAATGTGAGCAAGGGGGTTGGGATGATACAGACCCTAATTTTGTTTTATATTCTGTTTGTCCATATTTCCATTTCTAACATCAGTCGATAATGCTTATGTGCAAACCTTCAAAAAGCTTGGTGATTAATTTATCCTGACAGCCACATGTCATACTCTGCTGTACTGGTATATATATGTACGCTCATGTTAACAAACGTGTTTTAGTCCTAATTCATGTTATGTGTATTTTCCAGACATGTAGTTTTGGCTTTCAAATGTTGAATATATTGAAAGGAATTATTCTTGGTATGTGTCCACTTAAAAGCAAGTCCATTCAATGTACAAAATTCAACACACTTACGTAGAACTGTTTCTTCAATATACAATCTTTGACTGAAAATGCTGTGCCCACTCCATTTAAGATGTGATTACTTATGTTCCTACTTTGTAGTACTGTGTATAGCAGATTATGTAAAATAAATTTTCTATAAATACTGATATCTGCAAGTAATTTACAATCTGGACAATCAGATCAAGTAAGGAGGGTAAAGAACTTGAGGCTGGCATGATCTATTGAAATATACATGATTCTCGTAATACTAATAAAGTTCAGGTGAAGACACACATTGTTGTATCTTGATGCCACTTCTTGCACAAAACAAGAACAGCTCTCCAAACCAAAGTATTATTTACCACACCGCTAGTGTATGGAAATCATCCGTAAAGCATGTAAATACTGTTCTAGGCTTGTGAGTTGCGATGCAGTGGTATGGGTTGCTACTGTAGTCTGCCTGAGCTAGCTGGTCTTATGACCAGGGCCATATACGGTTTTGCTCGGTGAGGAGCAACTGGGTTATTATGCCAATCGCCATAGTTTGTTCCACCCTTCACTAACCAACTGATTTCTCCATCATCTAAGAAATAAAACTTAAATTTCTCATGCTGTGTATTTGACAATATACAATTCATGAAATAGCAATATACATTTCATTATCAGTGAAGTACAGTGAGTGGTCGAGCCAGATTACAGATACATACATTGTGTGGGTGCTACCATGGTTCAGGAAATTTAGTATAATTTTAATCAGACTGGGAATAATAACGGTCACGAAACCTAGCCAGTAGTATTTATTACAATTTCTTGTTGAACTGATGTGATTTTTATCAAATATGTGGTTGACACACCTGGAATTTTGATGTCGTTATTTGTGCAATGCTTGAGGGCAAAACAGATCAATATCTGTAGATCAATTGCCACAGGTGTTTGGATAAGTATAAACCATAAAAAAATTATTATGAGAAAAATACGTAAATTGCTATAATGCGTTTGTTTACCTTGTTGACAAGAAATTTCCAGTTTCAGATATAATATAAGTTGTAATACACAATTATTTAAGACATAACGTTAGGTTAATTTATGTTCAAAATTTTTAGTCACATATATGCCAGACATACTTATGCAGAGTTCACCAATAAAACCTATGCAAGAAATATAAACAGCGCTATTGGGCTATTTTTCTGCATGCCTTATTAAAAATGATTCAATTACTCTGTTATAAGAGTTGGAAACCGGATAGTACTGTAATTCAATTGCGATCATGTATGTCAACATAAAAAGTAGCAAAAATTAAAAAATATATTTTTTAAGTGACAACGAAAAAAAATTCGGAACTAGTTTGTAAACTGCTGCTTCAAAAAGATCCATGTTTTATGGGGTCATATTCACATTTTGCTCAATAGTTTTGGATTATATAGATATAACAGCTGTCAATCATGTTTCTAGACAGTTCGAATGTGATATTATAAATATGAATGCTTTGAACAAAACAGTATATATGAAAGGAAAAAAGTGTATATGAAAACTATACAAAACCAAAAAGTAAATGTGAGCATGACTACCATACAAACATAGATCTTTAATAAAAAGTTAAAATGCAGCAAATGTAAAGTCTCGTCTTTTTACAGAAATAAAAATAATCTAAAAAAATCTCATAATATAGTTGGTGCTGTGTGTGCATGATATGAAAAACGGAAGAACTACATATATTGGCAAACAAGCAAAACCTTACAGAATAGTAAAAAACTACATCTTTACAAAAAAAAAAAGAATGGCAGTATGTGAATCGAGCTCGAACCTTTTGGCAAATTTTGAACATGTATTGACTATTGATGTGCACAAAATTACTACCAATACACTTTTAAATTTTAATAGTATATACATTTGTTGAAAATAACAACTTCAATTCAATATGGTCAAATTTCATTCATTCTTCACACTACGTCTATATAAATTGCTATTGGTGATTAAACAACACCGACACATTTGAAAAAAGTTTCAAACAAGCACCTTATGTGTGAGAGTAAGGAACACCTTCATGAAGAATAAAAAACTATGTATAAAAATATTTTCACAATCAATAAAGAATATTTGTTTAAGAAGAAAAAGCACTGCAGCATCCATAGTTAATGATCATGTTACAATTACTAACATCTTTATAGTGATTGAAAATATGTGAAATTTTTGTCAGCAATGAAAAATAAGTTTTTCAAATCCAAATTGTCTCTGAAATTTATCTGACAAAACCCGATCAACTTTGATGTAAATTGCAAAAGTACTCAACTTTCAATGATATGTTGACAATGTTGCAGACTCACCCTTCCGTTTCCATAAAGAGGTTTTCAATGAGATTTTTGAAGTAGACATCTGGTTATTATAGCAAAAAGCAGCAGTTAAGATCATAGCCTTTAGTCTTGCGTCTTCATATCAAAACAAACTCTATACTTCATGAAGCTGCTTTTGTTTCAGTTATTTGATTATCATACTTTCTCCACTCCTGAAGACGTAGCTTTGTCATGATTACTATTTACAATTGGCGTAGTTGACTTAAATTCATTGTTGTTATCCGGGGACGTGGAAACCACTTGACTCAGTGGAACTTTTTGTTCTTCTTGATTTAATGCATCTTGTTGTTGCTTTTTTCTTCGAATTGCCATTTTATAAGCAATGAAGGCAATAAAACACAAAACTGCAGCACCGCATATTGCAATTAAAATAAATTTCCAAGCATCGTCTTTCGGTGGATCATTATGAGATTTTAATGTAACTGCTGGAGATTTTGTGGACTTCACAGGATCATCTTTTGGTGAATCACTATGAGATTTCAATGTAACTGTCGGAGATTTAGTAGACTTCACAGGTTCATCTTTCGGTGTATCATTATGAAATATTGGTGTAATAGCTGGAGATTTAGTAGATGTCACAGAGGAATCCAAGGGTATATCAGGGTCTAAAGCCTCTAAACAATCAACCATTTGGCCATGAGAATCTTCAAACCAGAAGGCACATGAGCAATTGTCTTGCACACAATGTGCATTTTTATGTGTAGGGCACTCCACCATAAGCATTTGACACATAGGTGTCATACAGGGTGTACATGATGGTTTTTCATTTTTGTCACTATTTTCATATAAATCTGGAAGCAGAAATGATGGTGGCTTATCGCCATCTGTTTCTAAGTTTATGTCATCATCAATAAAATCCAAATCAGGGAGTTCCTTATAAACAGGAAAGGTTGAATTGCAGCAAAAACCACCAATGCATTCTTGTGATCCTTCACAACTTGATTCACAAGTTACTACACCACCAATATCATCAAAAACTGGATTTACGTCTTTGCAAACTTTGCTGGAGTCTATACAATCAGGAAGGTCAATAAGACAAAGCTCGGACCCACAGCTCACTTTCTTTAAGTAGCATAACTCATTTACAGAGCATGGAAAATTTGTGCAAGGTATATCAATGCATCCAGGGCAATCTTCACCTCTATTAGCATGGTACATACATGACATAAGCAGAAATAGATACTGATTTGACACTGCCATAGTGTATTTTCACATTTCGATTAATTCTCTGATATATTCTAAAGATAACATAAAATAATTCTTAATATAGAAAAGCTGATATGTACGCTATTGTAATATAAACCAGATAAATGAACGAGTAACATATCGCAAGTATCTTCAAGTCTAATAAACTAAATGTATTTATCTTGCATAATAACAATAATTTTACTAGATACGAATGTATAAATTGTATAGCATCTAATTGAAACAAAGTCGATGATTGTTTTAAAAATATGATCTTAATAAAAGCATTAACTTACATGTTACCTGGCATATTTTATATTTATACATGAAGTTTGCTCCCAGTAAGGTCTAGAACTCTTACTGTTATCAAAAAAGATAAGCAATGGACAAACAGTAGAGCAGAAAGCAACATTGATGCCTGAAAAGCTGTATTAGCAAACTATACATATTTAGATTCCACTCAACTTTAGTATAAATTTGACTATTGCTATGGCAGCAAGAAATCGCCATACTGATTCCGTAAAACTGAAAATCAGGCTCCTCATAGCAGTCATATGTTATGAGGTACCGTAGGCTATTCTGTGTGTCATTTTATAGTCAAAGCTTTTTGGTTTTCAGAAATAGTTGTTTTGAATTTGTTTGTAATATAAACACAACAAATCATGTATAACCGTTTATATTTTTTAATTTTAAACCAATCAAAAACTTGTCTAGTTGACAAATGAGCCTGAAATTTCAGAGGTGCCAAATATATAAATACAGAAATAAAATAAATGCAATTATAAACTCGTAATTCAGTAATTTATAACTTATGGTACTGATGTTCCTTCAGTCTTTACAATTGTACAAACAATTGTGCTAAATTATTGAGAAAAAATAATAGCGAATAAAAATTTATAGCGAAATATCACAAATCAATATTTCATCTCTACCATGGACTTTTTTATGAAAACTATATTTAAATCCCAGCCAGGTTATTAGAGTTCGGGAATTTTAAATTTATTACTTTTCTTTTGGCCTTTCGTATTTCTGTATTTATAGATGTCCAATTTATTGAACTTATGAGATAATAACAACACCGATATTTCAGTACGGTATTTAACTTAATTAAACTCAAACATCTGAACATTTCATGAAGTTCAATCTAATTAATATTGTAATAGCTGAACCGCGCTGAAGTTGGAGTGGCGGTGTGGCTCAACGGGCTAAGCGTTAGGAATACGATCGCCACCGCACCTCTAATTACTCTGCTTGGGTTCGCAGGTTCGAATCCCATGCAGGGATGGTTATGTGCGAGAGGATTGCTGGACTCCTCGCCGTCGTTGGGTGGTTCACGTAACCGCTGGTCCTATTCTAATCGACTGAAAAAAAAAATAGGATTTACATATTTATCCCGATGAAACGGCTTAATCATATGGCGAATCACGGCCTCTCGTCCGGTTACCAGTCCAGGTCGGGTATGGGATTAGTTAGCCAGGTATTCGTTTTCGGAATCATGGACTTGATCATGATGGAGGAAGCCGTAAACGACCAGCGGTTACGTGAACCACCCTACGGCGAGGAGGAGTCCACGTCCAGCAATTCTCTCGCACACAATGACTAAAAAGTGCTCAATTTACCGATTTCGTGCTATTGCTGTATTAGCAGATTATTCAGTTAGTTTAGTGACATCCCTGCGCTGACCGGTAATAATAATAGGTACCGTACGATACCGGTACCCCAGACTGGATTCCATGGCAGGTGCACGCCCGAGGGCGCTAGCGCTGCGCAAAAATGCACGTGAGCGAATTCAATTTTGCACGCCGAAAATTTGCAATTGCTCACCAATGTAAATCGGTTTAAATGGTTTTAAAATCAATAATCCAGTAATATAAAGATGCCAAAATATTATAACTCCACAATTGTCGACAAATACTAGTTTGCAAGATTTGGTCTAATCGGAAAATTGCGAAGCAAAAAAGACCATATCGTGTTGAATGATAGGAATCTTGTGAGAATAGTTATGGACGAAAAGATCGCCTTCGCACCAACGCTGGCCAATTACGGCTCTGATTCAGCGTATTTTTCATACAATAATTTTAAAAATAATGTTTGGGTCAAACGTCCATTTTGCTTTAATTTGACGTATTTTTTATCCATTAGGTAATTCTACGTAAAAACACTCCCAAAATTAATGACAAAGTATGTCCATTTTGCTCTGGGTCGACGTATTTTTTATCCGATAATTTTACGCGGATGTACTGAACAGTACGGGTATCCAAAGTCCACTAACAAAATTAGCAACAAACTGTAGAAATAATGTTTGGGGTCAGAGGTCAAACGTCCATTTTTGCTCTGATTCAACGTTTTTTTATCCGATACGGGTAATTTTACGCGAATGTATTGAGAGGTACCGTATCTAATGTCAAAGTCAGTTGCACGCGGGCGCAGTTGTTTTGCACGCCGTGAGCTATAATTGCACGCCAGGAATTCTTATTTGCACGCGGGAATTTCTGGTTGCACGCCCGATTTCTCGTTCAAAAAGGCCATGAAATCCAGACTGGCCGGTACCGTACCGGTACCGTTGTAACTAACGTTACACAGTTACGTTCTGTATCTATTCGCTAACTAACCGGTACCAATACGGTATTACATACAGTGCTAATGCAGTTCAACCGATCCTGCTTAATTAAGGTACCATACAGCCACCCCTTCTACCCAACATAAAACGAAACAGCTAAACGACTAAAAGGCCAGTAAACAAGATGAAAGCGGAAAAACGTAGAGAAAGTAAACACCAGTTTTACTGTTGCCAGATTGGTGCTCCAGAAATTACGATTCACGAAATTACGATTCACGTTACAATTTACATAAACATAAAAAGCAAGTTTATTCACATAGAATTAATCGACTCAATAATTACTGGTTACTAAGTAGGGCTAAACGGTATGTTAGTCGTTGGGCTAAACTGAGTAGGTTACTAAATTGAAAAGCGGCAATACAAAATACTATTGAAATCGCAAAATGTCGGGTACCGTACCAGGACATTTTTTGTTAGGATTCTTTGCTTTACTGCTTCCACATTGGTACGTAGAGTACTGGAGAGCCGTAAGTGTTGTACGAACAGCTCAGGTTTGTCGAATTCACAAAAATACGAATCAAAACAAAATACGAGAATATCGGTCAGAGACCGAGGACTTATTGATCGAAAGTTATTGCTCCATAGTGACACTGTGTGTCCCATCACTAATTAATCAATAACTCGCTTATTATACAACATTTATCCAAAATCAATAGGCTTTTGTTCCGAGATATGATGAATGCACATGCAAAATTTGGTGCAGATTCAACCTCGCTTTCGTGAAATATCGTCGGTATCTAACAGACAAACAAAGAGATAAAAACCTAACAACATAGGCTACTTAACCGGGCACTTTACCACGCATTTTTGTGTCCACGAATTGTCATGATATTTTAGTATTGCTTTTATAATTTAATTCCGTCAACACGACCGCAGATTGAAATGATCACAATTAAATTGATTAATGATTAATAATAAAGCAAGGCGATGATTACGTATTCTTGTTTTACTATAATACTTTAATATATTTCAATAAGTATCAAATCAAGTTGTATAGTGATTAGTTACCACTACACATAAATTGTTTGAATTTTAGGAAAAATTAACTTTGTTCTTGTAATTTTAAATTAAAAATGGGGGTAAACTCATGAGGGTTATTACTATATTAAATTTATATTATTACTATATAGATATTTAAAAAAGTTCATTTAAATTGCGATATTTGGACCGCAACTATCCCCGTATCTAACAGTTTCAACTAATTAATTAATAAACGTAATATAAACCTGTTAATTTTTCTATCCGCAATCAAGACATATTAGTTCATTTATTTGGGATCACAACTGCATATAAAACCAGCAAAACGTTTTATCTAAAATATAGTATAGTAAATAACAAAATACGGCTGTAAGCAATTTTGTCACTGCTAGACGGCAGTAGAGAACGTTTTAAAATCTAAATAACCACATGCATTTCATTGAGCGCAACCTTCCTTAATTTCACTCCAAATCAATGAGTATTGTAATTATTAACACTATGTAATTGAATATTATGTAAATGAACAATGTTAAATTATCTTACCGGTACTCTATCTAATTATACTGAGCACGGACGTCACATTCGGTAAAAATCACGTAGCCCGACGTGGTTTCATTTTACAAGAAAGTGTTTATGGATGTTTCCGGATGTTTCCCCTGCGTATCGGCTTCCTTGTTTACTTCCGTAACATTGGCAAGATGTAAAAATTGACCTCATAATCAACGATTTAGCAGCCATAGTCACCCACTTATCACTCAGACCTCAGACCAATCACAAATGTCATTGCTCAGACAGATGTTCAGGCGTGGTCGTAAACATTACCTCGTTTTCGATCTCTTTTCGTTAGTTTTCATTGTGATTCGGAAATTTGATTATAAATCGAATAATTCAATGATCACTCTGTCCTCCTAAGAGTTTTAATTTAATTGCAGTAATAAAAGATTAGTGTAGTAATAACTGTGATAGACTAGGCCAAAATTCTTTACCGGTACTTTTATTAAAAAACATATTGTTGTATGCGATGAATCATAATGATGGTTTCAAACACATACCCCATTTTACAAGCACGAAATCGCGAAACCACTCTTGGCAAAACCTCCCATCTTGTATACATTCTGTACGTTTTAAACTTTATCTGAGGTTTTGTTTGATCTCCTGATTTCATAACCAGTTTTTGTTTATTTTTTTTTACCAATCATTTTATTGTTATGCTGATTATGGAGTCGAAATAAACTTATACTTATATACTTTTACAATACACTCTTAAAATAAGCCCCTACAATTTTGCAATGGTAAAGTATGAGAGGACTTTTCGGGGGTCAAAGGTCGGGGAAATTTCCATTGTTTGCTCAATTAGATAATTGTTTATTTCCCCAGCTCGCACTGACAGTGTGGTAAGAGTAGAGCGATCGGCAACTTTCAGGAATGATGCGTCGGACTACATTACAGAATGTGGTTAGACACAGTCGGCGGGCCGGTCAGCATCTCGTCGCGGGCCGGACCCGGCCCGCGGACCGTATGTTGCCCAACCCTAAATTTTGGATCGTTTTGTTATTATTATGTTGTTCTTGTTGTCTATTATCGATAATCACTCTAATTTCTAAATTACAGCGCCACATCTTCAATAAAAAAAATATCAAATCCGATGAAGTGTTTCAGAGTGCCCGCGTCTTTGATTAAAAATCAAAATACACACACAATCCGTGCCCGTTTAAATAAAGTAAGACCGGTAAAGCATGCATGACTGTTTTCAGGGTATCAGGGTATTATCAGGATGTTGTGATATTTGTGAACATAAGCTACAAAAAATTTGTTTCGTAATCCAGAATAGGATTGCTTTTTTGGAAATCCATTTGCAAATTCTATTCAGAAGTCGTAAATCTGATGTAAAACCCAAAAACTACCTTTGTGACAAGAGTAGCCGAAGCAGTATTTGATATCGGCTTGGCAGTATGGCATCATATTCATCGTTAGGAATAGAGATTCATTTTATTACCGCCGTGCATGAAATATTGTACCGACACAGATAATCTAGAAAAATGGTAAAAAAAGAGACATACAATATTTCCGCAATTGACTCTGGGTCGGGGGAATACGCTTGCCATCACATCTCTGATTAATTCGTGTGGGTTTGTAGGTTAGATAATTATGTGCAAGATGTTCACGTCCCCCGCTGCATCTGAAACAAATAACTGGCTAACTAACTCCGTACCTGACATGGACTTGTAACCGGACGAGGTCGTGGATTGTCATACGATAAGGCCACCTAATGTGATTTTCTCAACCCCGGGACAAATATGTAAATCGTAAACAGGGTCAAAACTTTTTTTTACTTCAACTGTCTCAGTAGAGGACGTAGACCCAGCATGCCACAAATACTGTATGTAACTGTGACATAAACAATAACAGTAATGCAAAATTGAGTTTATACCATTATTTTGCAACCCACATAAATTATGAAAAGCAACTCAAAACTTCTGAGAGCCGATGACAAATATACTGAAATCTGTTGGCCAAATATTAGACATACAAAAGAATGAAACCAACGTTTTCCAACTAGTAAATTACTGTGACGCGGCCTAAAAAATAAAGTAAACATTATCCACATAGAAATACAAGAGAGCAACGCTCAAATATATGGACACGTGGACTAGAGCGAAGCAGGGTTTACCTTTGACGTTACCGGTACCGTACCCTCAAAAAGTTCCGGGTTTTCAGTCGCAAGAATTTTCACAGTCAGCCGTCACGCTTGGCGGATTAAACACCGTGTTCCCATAATTAAAAATTAATACAGCACAATTTTGGATGAAATATTAGATCTCATAGGATTCAGATTCAGATTCAGATAATTTATTTTCGTCGTGCAAGAAACATTATGAACAACACAAGCATAGTAAATCAAGGCAAAAGAAAACAACAGACACATAATGTTTCGACTGCAATTAACGAGGAGCCGCGAAAGACTATCAAGTCATCGTGTCAGCGACACCATTAAAGCTGAATGACGTCAAAAAAACGTCAAATGATTAAGGTTGAGTTATATATGATCAGGGCAAAAATTTGGAAAACGTAAATCGAATCGAGAGAGTAAGCCAAATGAGAAAAGTTTAAATAAAAAGTATGAATGGAATCAAGAGAGTCGGGGAAGTAATGATTAAAAATTAATTAATTTAATTCATAGAAATTAATTAATATTCATAAATAATTAATTCATATTAATTAATTAATTCATATTAATTAATTAATTCATAGAAAATTCAGGAATAAATGAAAGTAATAGCCTTCTGGCAAAAAAAATCAATCTTGAACCACTGGGACCTTTCCCCGACTTTTGACCCCCGGATAATTCTTCCTAAACTTTACCATTGCAAAATTTTCGGGGCTATTTTAAGAGTGCTTTTGCGAGTTGGCGCCTGTAAAATGGGGTAAGTGTTACAAACCATCATTATGATTCATCACATACAACAATCTTTTTTTTAAAAGTACCGATGAAGAATTTCAGGCTAGTCTATCACAGCTATTTCTACACTAATTTTTATTACTGCAATCAAATTAAAACTCCTAGGAAGACAGAGTGATCATTGAATTATCTGATTTATATTTAAGTTTTCGAAGCACAACTGAAAACTAACGAATAGAGTTCAAAAACGCGAAAACGAGACAATGTTTACAACCACACTTGAAAATCTGTCTGAGTGAGAAAAGTGTCTGAGCGGATGCGAAAAGGGGTCATTGTTACGTCACTTTTTGCATCTTGCTGATTGGCCAATGTCTCGAAGTAAACAAGGAAAACGATGCTCGGGGAAAGGTCCATTGGTCCAGTATTCGAAGAGAAAAGCGATTTTTTTAATGATAATGACGAAAGAAAATAACAATAACAAAAAAATTTTGAAACGATCGTTATGGCCACTAAACGTGTCCAATTAACTGTCCATTTAGTATTATTATGAAAACTATTTTAATATTCAATAAATTCTACCGTTTTATCATGCTTGTGGATATCTCCTTATTTTTAAAGCCCCTACTCCTTCATTCTTTACGCGTAACGATTTTCAATTGGATCAATTTACCTATTGAACATCTTTAGAAACAAAAGTGGCCAGCATGCAAGATGCAATTACAAGTCCTTGCTTTCGAAAACAAATAACTAAATAATCCCATACCCGACATGGAATGTTAACCGGACGAGAGGCCGCGGTTCGCCATATGGTTAAGCCGTCCTATTTTCCTCTTCCTCGGGATAAATATTTAAATCCTATCCTATCCAAATCAGTCCGAAATAACGTTAGCTCCTAAACACTCCGACTTAGCAAGGTGGGAATTTTATATCAGAGCCATTATATAATGGCTCTGTTTGTATCATTGATGCTCTGCTGCGCCCCTCGCGGTCTAACAACGCGAATACGATTCGCACGTTCTTTTACGCCGAGACGTCAAGATGGTGAGTTCTGTGTGTCTGTGATGGTTAATATCAAGTTGGTTTAGATGTGAATTTGATTATAGTATGTAAAGTGAACAGATTATCAAAATGGAAAAATTATCGCACAGTAGTGGTCTATGTTTATACATTATCACACTTACTATGTAGGTCCAAATTTCTCCTTTTTCCGGTGTTTGCAATGTCACGAATCTGACTGTGACACGACTTCAGCTGTACTAAAAACTGGAAGCCGAGCTTCAATCTCGCCAGATTTATTGTATTACGTTGCTCTTGATTTAAACTTGGGTAGGTGGGTATGAGAATATTTAACAAACCGAATGTGCATTGTTTTACTATGATACCTGAATACAATAATAGGAATTTTATGATTATTATACACTTATAGTTATAATTGTCTTTTTAGCCTCCAAAAAAGGATCAGAAGGGAGGGAAGCCAACGCAAAAATCTGCGAAGCCAAGTGGATCGGGCAAGGCTAAGAAGAAGAAGTGGTCCAAAGGAAAAGTTCGTGATAAGTTGAACAACTTGGTTTTGTTTGATAAAGCAACTTATGACAAGCTGTATAAAGAGGTAAAAAGTGGAAACTTTTCAATAAATATTGAACAATTTCGTTTCACAGTTTCATGGCTAACTAAGAATAATTTTGTACTTGTGCTGATGCTTGAATGATCCCCAACAAAATATTTGGGTTAATTTAAAATATTCAGTAAATGTCGCGGCGGTGTGGCTCATCGTGCTAAGCGTTAGGAATACGCTCGCCACTGCACCTCTGATCACTTTGCGTGGGTTGGTTCGCAGGTTCGAATCCCATGCTGGGATGGTTATGTGCGAGAGGATTGCTGGACTCCTCGCTGTCGTAAGGTGGTTCGTGAAACCGCTGGTCAGTTATGGCTTCCTCCACCATCGAGTCCATGCTTCCGGAAAACTGATCCCATACTCGACATGGAATGGTAACCGGAAGAGATTCCATGATTGGCCATATGGTTAAGCCGTCTTATCGGCTTTCCTCTCTCCCAGGATATATATATATGAAAATCTTATCCTATGCTAATGGCATCTTAAAATAATGGACTGCATTGGATTCCCTGTTAGTGAAGCCTGAATATAGGAATAGCAATAATATAGATATTTTGTAATTACTGAAAACCATGGAACAGGAATTTCTCCTTGAAGGAAAATCTGCGGAAGTGGTTCATAACACCCATTCCTTGAGTTATATGTCGCTCTTTTCAGTAAAATTCTTTAAAATAAAATTCTGTTTTTGCAATATCAAGTTTAAAGATATGACCTGAGATCAGCATTGGTAATATATCTGAGTGTGTCTTCTAATTCAGTGAACTCAACTTCCCCTGGGTCTTAATCACAAAATTTGTTTCAATTCTTCTCAAAGATCTAATATATGATAATAATTTTGTAGGTTCCAAGTTACAAATTGATCACACCTGCAGTGGTTTCGGAAAGATTGAAAATAAGAGGATCTTTAGCAAGAGCAGCTCTAAAAGAACTTTTGCAAAAAGGTATTCTACTTCCACTATTATTAATTTTCAAAGAAGTGAATAGTAAATTTGTTTTTTATATCTATGGTTGTTTTTTTGTACCCATCTTTATATAAACCCAAATATTTTCATTTGATAAGTTTATGCGCCAGGAGAATGTTTTTCGAAAGGGATTAGAAATTTGTTCGGTTTCTGTCATTCTTAGTGGTGGCAGTGCGTGGGTATGATAAAAATTGATTTACATCTGAATACAAGTTAACTTCTTATACTCATACTCATGTAAAGAGACTTTTATGGAAAACAAATTGTTATGCCTTTGATACACCTTGCCCCTTAGTCACAAAGACTAATCTATTTGATTAATAATTCATTCCTGCCTTATTCTGACTTGTTTGTTTATTGTGGCAATACTCAGCACTAAAGTTTTTTTGTATATCGTATCTGTTGTATTGGTGATCTATACTTCCGAAACCCTCCAGTCTCCTCCAAGCAGACTGAAATACTATTTCAGTTACCCTCACATGATGTTGCATAAATTTTATTGCATAGGAGAAATATAATAGACATCTTTGCATTCAAAGACTCTATATCATTAGAGTCATTTAAATGAAAACACTTTACTCGGATTCACCTTTCTCCGGCAGAGACTTGTGTTGGTGGTGTAACTCTGCTCAAAATACATCACTATTTTAGTTTGACTTTATAAATGACGTTGATTTATTAATGGAAGATTCAAATCTCAGTAGCCATGTTACAAATAATTATCCATTTCACTGTTGTCTACGAAATAAACTGGATTAGACACCAATGTTTTAACTCTTCAAAAGACCACTTCAAAAATCAAGTCTATAAAGAGTCATGAGAAATGGTCATGCAGCAGTGATGCCCAATTTGAATATTCTGTCATTAAATCTGTTGTCCCAGGGCCCTTTTGTTATTTTAAAATAAAATACCTCTACCTCAAAGCAGCAACGCTGTAGGCAACTAACATGTCAAATCTGTCTGTCCAGTCCACAGCTGTGAATAAAATGGAATTATCGATCACTTCCAGAAGGCCCCAGTATCACTTGCCCTGCCTGTTTGTTTAAAAGCAATTTGTCAAATCACCAATTGTTTATTACCATAAACTGATAACAGTATGAATATTGGGGAATCAGTAAAATAAATGGACAATTTAATTAATAGATATCTTTTTCTGGGCACTAATAATTAGAAAGTTCAGTGTTAAAAACATTCTTTACATCTTTCAGGTCTTATTAAACAAGTTGTGCAACATCGGGCTCAGTTGATCTATACAAGAAGTACTACTGGAGAACCGGCATAGGATGGGATTCATTCAAGATCATTGCATCTGTTTTAAGTTATAAAATAAATGTAATTGGAAAATGCCTAATGCCTATTCCAGCTGGCAGGCCAAAGACAATTTGTATCTTTTCACTATACTAAGTGGATTTCAGAACTATTTGCAGGATTAGTGATAGTGTTTCTGTAGTGAAGCATATTTCGATATAGTAGGATAGTAGGGGAAGACGTTGGAATCGTTTGTGAAATATGTTCTAATTTTCGCACAATATTACCTGGTGAGATGAGGCAATAGGTGCTTGTGACGCAGTTGATATACAGCATTTACCAATTACCGTAATATATTTCAGGAGATGCTCCAGTCAAATAGTTCACATGTTTAGTCGGCTGCGCTTTAATTAAAAACCTGTCGCGATATTGTTACAACTTTGATGAAAAACGTCCAGGTGCTTGTGACGCAGTTGATATACAGCATTTACCAATTACCGTAATATATTTCAGGAGATGCTCCAGTCAAATAGTTCACATGTTTAGTCGGCTGCGCTTTAATTCAAAACCTGTCGCGATATTGTTACAACTTTGATGAAAAACGTCCCTTCATCATGCGTGTGCCGTAGATATTCATCATTGAGAAAGCACTAACTTCAAACTGTAGCAATCAATGGTTCACCATTCATGTGGCATACACACTGCGACTGGAGCCACTGGCAATTTACTCTCTTGATCGAATTGCAACTATGGCCTCTGCTTTCGTGACCTTTGCGCTCTTTTTTCTTACGAAAGTTTTTTTGCCTGTCAGTTAAATCAGCGACGAGTTAGCATACATTCAATGTAAAAAGGTAGGCGCCTGTTTCTCAGCGAAATTGTGCTTCAAACTTCGTTGCTCTGATAATGTTATTAACTTCATGAGTTTTTGACTTCTTTCGAATTTGCTTAGAGCAAAATTGCATGGAAAAAAGTGTTACTCGCGGACATTGAGTATATTCAGATAACATTATCGTTGTGTAAAAAAATTCAGTTCCAGGCGAGGACGTAGTTATCTATTAGTTGTCATTCTATCTACATGTGGTGCTCCTATATCGTCTTTTCTACTTGTTATTTTGCCATGGGTAAAGTGGTATGTCTAAGCATGCTTGGTATAGGTAGCCTACAGTAGAAACTCTACCTACGAACGACTCTGAATACGAAAAATCCAACCTAACGAAAATTCTTTATCTTAAAATTTTGCTTCCGCTAACGTAAAACTTTGTACATACGAAAACATAAAAAAACGCATGTAATGATATTTGTCTATTTTAGGTTGATAGTGCAGTGCTTGAAACGGGGATGTTCAAGTTGAATTTAATTTTTGCATATTTCGACCTCTAAATATCGTTTTTCGTGTTTATAAGAATACCGAATATGGCGCACATATCCTAGCGCCGCCGTTCACGTTTTCATTCAAAATATTTTACAATTATTACATTTTTTATCGTAATCGAAGTCAACCGATTTCAATTAGCGCCGACTTGAAGTGCTCATAAGTTATAACACGTCTATATATATAACACGATGTTTTTGATTTGAAATATTTTACAATTATTATCGTATATTTCAATTTAGTAGAGATAGTTTGTGCGGCCTCGGCAATAAATCTAAGAGCAAATTGTGTCGTAATGAATTGTTTTCATCCTCGGTTTCGATAGTGACAGAACATACCAGAAAATGTTTTCATTTCTTACAATTTCGATCGTGTAAAATAGCTCTCAAATATTATTTAGTATCTATCGAGGAGGTTATCGTTAATCCCAGCGTCGTTGATGACAATATCGTTCAGTTTAAGTTGGCGGTAAGCAAAAATATAATCATAACATCCGACATGAAATATTTAAATCAGCGCCGACTCAAAAAATAAAACACGATTTCCGGTCTTGAATCTCCATCAATGTCGGATAGAAATTTGAGAATTGGGTTCACTCATTTGAATATGATGATGGGCGCGTAATAACATTTGGGTTTTTCTGAATCAACGAATGGTTTAGCGAGCAATATAAAGATTAAAGTCGTGTTATCTGCCATGTCAGGCGCCCAGCATTTATCTGCCATCCCACTGTCCCGTTTGTTTCCGGCTGGTACGTACAATGTGTCTCACTCAATTTAAGTTGCCAGCGAAATTCAGTCCGAAGACGAATAAAAAACGAATGAGCAAAGCGAAAAAAATAAAATAAAAAAGAGTAAATTATGATTTTGAATTTGATGTGTTTGTGTTCGTTTTCTTACATTGCGTTCTCTCTCAGCTGTGAACTTTTTCTGCCTCCTCTTACCTCCTCCGACCGCCCCCCCCCCCCCTCTCAACGGCCTTCGCATAGCTCTTTCTTCTTTTCATGTGTACCTTTTTATTTATTATGCAGTAATCTTGTGTATTTGTTACGTTTTTTTCAAACCAATAATATAAACGAGAATATCGGTCAGAGACCGAAGACTTATCGATCGAAAGTTAGGGGATCCCCCAAAACAGCGCTCTTACTCCATAGTTACACCTTGTGTCCCATCACTAATTAATTATTAACTCGCTAATTATACGACATAATTCATCCAAAATCAATAGGCTTCTGGTACGACATATAATGAATGCACATGTAGATTTAATCTCGCTTTCGTGAGATATCGCGTACATCTAACCAATGACTTTAAACAACATGATAGGCAACTCTGACGTCACTCCATAAGACTACAGGCGAAAGATTGTATTTCATGATACGCTCCAATGCACATATTTCTCGTCGCCTTTCGCGTCCGTTTTCCGCTCGCTTTTGCTACTCGGCGTCTTTTTTCCGTGTAGTACCTGTCTTTTTGCGCCTGTAACGAAACAAAATAATCTCTATATCTAAGAAGTTTTGCTCACTTAGAAAGCTGGAATGGCAGGCAAGCTGTAAAGAGCAATTCTGGACATCATAGACGTTTATTTTTATCAGAGAAGATTACAAACGCGATAGCGGAAAGATTTGTGTGGAACATTTTGCAGATAATGACAAAGTTCAAAGTTAGTAATTTTAATGTTTGCGCTTAATCATTGAAATTTCATTTAAAGAGGCTGTCATACAAAACTGTGCTGTGATACAATTCCATAACACAAAGTTTGCACCTATCGAACTTGCTTTTGTAGGTGAATTTATTAGACATATTACATATTCAGTTAATCGTAGGTTACATTGCTGGTACATAATGCATCGTAGATAGGTTTGTTTAAATTTAGGAATTTAGCTCATAGCCCACTAATTACTGCTGAATTCAACTTGCAGCCTTACCGACCACCGGACGATGCTCATTTAGTTTGGCTCGAGCAAGTCTTCTTGAAATGCTTGTGTGGATGGAAACTACCTATATTTTTTGCCTTCCTCCGATTTTAGACAAATTTATTATGAGGGATTTCGCATATAATTCTCATTGATTGTTGGCTGTTTATAATTTCTATTGATTGTGAATTCTGATTATAACAAATAGTTAAAATTTTTTTTATCTAATTTACTGGCACCTTTCTCTTGTCAATACTCCAAGCTGAGGTAATAAACAAGACAATACATTTATGTCATCTGAAAGCAAAATATGCACACTAATTAATAGTTTGGCACATTGAGATAATACATCATGACAGAAAATACAAGGTAAAGATATGTATGACCATCACATGGTAATTAAAATTAAAAAAAAAATTAAAAGGGGCTGTGGAGTATGAAAAGTTCAAGACAAAGATAAAAACAAATGTTCATAGCTCATGAACTCTCAATTTTGCCTCCATTGCTTTGTGAAGGCCAATATATTTCGAGTGGCTGAATTGGTTTACCTTTATGATAGCAACGATTTTGTATTTAATATAGCGAGATTATTTCACTTTAATTGAAGTGATATTATTTCCCAAAGCAATGCTTGAATCGTCTAGAATAGATCATTGGTGTCAAACTTAAGGGTTTTCGAGAGCCGCATTGCATTTTGGAAATTGTAAAAAGAGCCGCAAACAGTTTTTGATAATGTATACTTAAAAAGATATTTTTAAGATAGTTGTAGTTTGTGACATATATTGTGATGCAACTAAACAGTTGGATTAAGTTTCATTATTTTCTTCAATTTCAAATGCAATTACATATTAATATTTGCATTCCACTATTATTGCAACAATTGCAAGTTACTGTATTTATTATAAAAAATCATAAAATTCTATGTACAACCATCAAAATCATTTTTGAACAAGCTTTGAATAAGGAAAGAATAATACATACACTAAAAATAACTTAATCTAAATATATGAACCTAAAATCAACAAAAATACTACAGTACAAACTCAATGTTTTAATAATTACATTTGTCCTGACGTTTGGCATCTTTTTTGTGTCACCAGCATACTAAGGACAGGCTGAAATGATTTTATAGTACCAACTCTAACTAACGAGGCCACATGATCATGGGTTAATCTGGATCTTTGTGAATGTCTAATTAATTCCAGTAATGCAAACAAGTTACTTTTATCATTTCATGTATAGATCAGTAAAAAAACAAATGACAGATTTTTTCGACAAGACATTTCGCACCACATTGCGTGGCATAGGATTGCTTGAATTATTATTGATATTGATTTTTAGTAACTAAGTCGTTGTATAATTATATTAATATACAAACACATGGAAATTTTCTGTTCGAAGTTGGTCTTCGAATTTGTCATATTGACTGCTGAGCTTATTGTGTTTGTTCATTGTATTGACGGAAATATGACAAATTAAACAGGGTGCTTCAGAATTTTGTGAAAAGCAGTTTGTTACAACTCCCATTTTCTTCGAAAATGCCACCTTCTTCATGTACTTTGCGTTTAATTTAATCACTCACGTATTTTATTCAAGTATCCTTTTGCAAGCTTGATGTGTATTCTTAATTGGGTCAAAATGTGGACATCATAAATTGTTTTGTGTGTGAATAATCAATTTCACTTTAAAAGGTTTGAAAAATCTATTACATTTAGATAAAAAAAACTTCCAAAATACTATTACAATTATTGTTAAGCATTCGAGGGCCGCACTGGAAGTTCTCTGGGGCCGCGAGTTTGAGATCCCTGGTCTAGATTGAAGTTGTCCAAAAAATATATGATAGTATTTTATCATGAATGATGATTATACCCCTTCCGGAATTTCTTCTATAGTACTACCAAAAGTTGATGAACCAAATATAACACAGGTGCAGTGAGTTACCCGTAATCCTCATTTTCCAAAGCTGTTTTAAGTATGTCTGGCGTGTTTTGTGCCTTTTTACAAATAAGACCGAGTATGCAATTTTACGCTTTGGAATTTTTAGTTATTTTCCTCAAGCCCTGCAGGATGTGGGGGCCATACGCAACTCTACCGGAGGGTCAAATGACTTTGCATGCCTCCATAGGTTGTTTTTCTATTGCAGAGTACTCTAATTATATTTCTTGGAATCACACTGCCACTGATATGTCGCCAGACTTCTGATATCTCTCCTTCTGCTATAGTTGTCCTGTGAATAAATAATAGGAAATTGAGATTAGACGAATAGTTGAAAGTTTTGCTTTATGTCGGCTTAATTTCTTGATTGATATACTTACTATTTCTGCTATTGACTCTTGTGCTGCAGGAGTCTCACAATGCTTAGACAGGTTTGTCCACAACTTTCACATCTGAAGAAAGAGAGGAGATTTATTAATTTTCGTTAAGAATAAATAAAGCAGTCTATATCATTTAGAATGGAAAAGCTAATAAATCCAATATCTCATGTTTTATGTAAAAAATATTTCACTGAATTTGGTAAATAAATCAACTAATAAAAGGGTTTAGTCAGGAAATTACAAGCACTCGTGGCTCAAGATACTGGAGAGATCAGACTATACAATATAGACCGGTATGAGTGAAATGTTAGGTGAACTTGTTAACACTTTGATTCAATACGCAATTAAAAGTGAATGCGCAATAGTATGTTACAATGAGCAGCAATCAACAATGAGTATATATCCTCACTGATTAAAAAAATCTAACTGGAGGTGCATGAACTATTTGAAATCATAAGGGGTAAGTAAATATGTAATTTCGGCAAATGGGCAACTACGTACCGTACTGAATTAATAACTTCGTAGTATTTGACAAAGGCTGGCTTTCCCACATGTACTTAACAGTGCGATGCCCGGGTGTGATATACAACAATAGTATTTACCTTACCTTTTTCCGATTTCTTTTTACCCTAACTTTCCAAAATATCATTAAAATCGACAACAACTGTCAAAGCAGTCACGAACACCATTCGTGCTACGCCTTGAAAGCAGCACACATCCGCTCGTTTTCGTCTCGTCAAGTATGTGCATTGGAGCGTGCTATCGAATACGATCTTCGGACAAAAATGCCGGAGTTGCGCATCATGTTGTTAAATGTCATTGATCTAACAGACAAACAGACAAATACCTATCAACATACTTAGCGATTAAAATCGATAAGTAATAATACAAATGTTATGTCCGAGTATTGTGCTGCCCGGAACGGATTAGGGCATTTACAGGTAAAAATGCGTCCCTACTTACGGAATTTTTTACCTAGGAAGTGGCCTCCAAAACGAGTTATTTCTTAGGTTTCTACTGTATAACCAGCAACTTCAAGATTCGGCTTCATCCGAGTTTTCACCTTATGGCCTTATCAGTCGTATCGTTACCACCCAGTCATATACTGAGAACTTTGAGTCTTTGTTTTGTATATACGTGTATGTTCATTTTCTGGTTTGACAAAATCAATAAATTCTCTTTCCTACCACCATCGCGATATTCTGGCACTCTGCGGACTGAGTGTATACGTAAGCTCGTAATGAAATCATCTTATGACACCAAGATTTGTCTGATTACATATATTTGTACGATTAAGCATTTGTGTCAAAAAAATTCAAATAGCCTGTTTAAAAATGACAATCGTATGCATGGTTATTGAAAAATAAAACAAAAAATGAAATTGTGAGTTAGATAACAGTAAATTGATATTGTCCCAAAACGAGTGTTGCTTGAGATTGTCGCATTTAATAACGGATTGAAGTTTGGGGATATGATGGTATTAGTAAACCTTCTAGTTGTTTTACACTACTAATCCTGAAATTGACGACTGGAATTATATTATTACAAGAAAAATAGCTGTACAGAAAATTCAAGATGTTAAAGGTATAGCGGAATATGAAATATATAACGCACAAATTAAGTGTGCCTGCGGACGTATCCACGTTTTTAAACCTCTCTGGTGGTATTTGTGATAGCCTAATGATTACACAATTCAACGAATGAATAACTGGGCTTTCATTTTAAATTTATAGAGGAATTTTAGTTTAGAAGCTAAAAAACGAAAAAAATTCTGAAAATGCTAGGATGGACTTGGTGTTAAAGTACTTCACCGTGCTTTTTAATGACGGGGGCTTAAATATTTAAAACGAGTGCTGACTATCAATATTTTTTCCAGTCTGCACAGACAAGAGTGAAGAAAAATACTATAAATTTACGCATTATAAATATTGGACTGTAAGGTATGAAAAAAATATAGGGAAAAAATGGCAGTCTACATTTCAGATCGATAACTACTAAAAAGCTATCGGAATTTCTCCGGTTAGGCTGAGCTTATTTAAGTCATTACACCGTGACCACAAAGCTTGAACTGAACTGAAAGTGTTGATATCTTTCATGGAAAAATATCACAGAATAAGTTGAAGAATTCAAAATTTGCAGGATATGTTGCAATAATTGTTGTAACACATTCACTGGAAGGTCATTCATTGTCTTAAAGTCTTTTCTCCTAATCCCATTATAAATTTCCACTGCTATCCATAGTCCTTAACGGTATACCTGTGAATGTATACAAAAATGTTGTATGATTAAAGCATTTCTAGGTCAAACCGAACATCCTATTACACAAAATTCTTATGAGGCAACGTACTGTTACTCTTGTTACAATAGCACTAGCAATAGTCCGCAACATGTGAGATACTTTTAGCTAACTTACGCTCTTTTTGAACACTTCCTCGGGCTTCACTGACGTAAGGAACACTTCCAGATCTATGCTTTGTTTTTGATCCGTCACTTGAAGTAACAATCGAATTAGATCGACCGCCACCAAGACGAGTCAGTCCTGTCGCTGATAGGAAGCTCTGCATTCTCTTGTGGTTTTTGATTTGCCTGGATTAACGAAATCGAAATATTAGAAATATGATAATAAGACGTAGTGCGGCAAAGTAATCTTGAAAAAAGAAATTTCTAAATATCTACTTCTACTGGTTTGTCAGCAATGGAAGGAATGACGGGTTACTCATTAATTTTAAATGAACAGGAAATGGATGTATGACTCGTTTTGCTGAATTCTTGCTGTTTTTGAGCAAAATTGCTTTTCTAGCATTTCATGAACATTACCATAGTAATATTCAGCTATGTCTAGCCAATCATGAAATATATTTTCTCATTTGAAAAACACGAGACGATACCACCGAGGGTTAAATAGGACGCAATACAGTGCGAGGGGTGGCACAGATCACTCCCAATGGTATCGCTATGCTTGGACGCCCCTAATTGTAACATTCTAACATCCCAGTGTAAAACGTACTTCATTCTTTTTTGGAAAGTTCCGAGGAAGTTGTACAGATACGGATTGAAAGCTGAGTTAAGATAAGCAAGTAATGATGTTGCGATCGCCAATCTTGAACATATGTTATCCTGCAAATGCAAAATATATATATATATATAAATGAATAGCTAAATATGAATGGATAATATATGAACGCGGACCAATAGAATAGTGAAACTACTTCCATATGTTTCTTCCAATTTGTTGGCGTCAACAAGTAACCGTACTTCGCCACTGCATGGGCCACCAATGTAATGACATGATTCAACAGCAAGTTACAATTGACCAGAACCGTCACAATTGTGATCGCATAAACAAAGAAGTGCATGCAAATTAAAGTTTCGTAGGTTTTTAGTCGTTTCCATTGGAAGAGAATTTTCTGTGTGAGTATCGTTTTTGCCTTTTAACTCCGTAACACAAATCGCATACAGAAATGTCAGCTCCCGAAGAGTCACGAATCGAAACTGACTCACAAAAAAGGATGCACGATTGTTACGCAGGGTCAGATCTGAATGATGGAACAGCCAAGCAAAATTTGGAGTACATAAAAAACAATAGAATTTGAAAACGCATTATGAATGTTTTACGATATGTTCATGGTATATGTTCTTCTATCGATACAAAAATTAAAGTGTGTTCTTGAGCATACTCTTGTGATTATAACTGTAATATTCAAGGGCTTGAATCCAAGTAACACAGGTTTCAATTGCTCACAGAATATATTATATTGCATGAAAGTAAATAGAAATACAACATACACGTCCGTCACTCACAAAGAGTAGTTCTATCACGTTCTATCGTCATAGACCAAATATAAGACATAGAATATATCTAGCAGTATTTTATGGACATTACAACAACAAAATACAGTCAACCGACGCTGCATAATAGATCAACCTCATCGCCATTGCAAATGGTCCTCAGTCCTCACACGCAGCCTTCGTTACACTGCTCTTTCCAAGACTTTGTGCGATTAGATCTGTTTGTTTCAGTTCACGCTAATAGTCGCGAATTACCAAGTTTAAGATTGAACGTCCGGTAAACGATAAAGCCCCTCTACCTACCATGGCCAATAAACCGGTAATTGCTGCACATTCATTGCACAAACCTAAGCAAATGTACACGAAATATAGCACTAATGGGAACACACGAAGGCAAAACTTACATCTTGAATTGTTATTCCTTCAATTTTCGCTAAGTGTACGGAATGAAAAGGAAGCCAGCACAGAATGAAGAGCAAGACTAAAACTGCGCACATCACCGTCACCCTGACTTTTTCTCGGTAAGTACGGCCTGTTGACGCAGAGGATGACTTTCTTCGATTTGTTCTCCAGATCTTTTTCGTACTATCCTTGCCACCTGAGCGTGTAGATTCTGTATTGGAGCTTCGACGACCACCGTCTGTAACGTTTGTTTTCATCAACCGAACAACGATCAGGGTGTAACAGAGAGAAATGACCTGAATAATACATTGAATATCTATTAAAATAAGAGAACCTTGAACGCAGGTAGGCTACAGCGTTACATAACCCTACTTATAATGCATTACTGATTTACAGTGCTTTAATCATAAAAGTATAAAGTTAAGTCATGAAACGGTTTGTTGTTGCGTAGTTGAGACCATATGTTATAATATTTTTATTTACGTGTGTGACTCACCAGTAATGGTAGTAAAAACATGACCACAAAGTTGAAATATATGAACACAAACCATCCCTTTCTTTCAGTGTCATAAATACACCCGTTTCGGAAGAATGTTTCGTTTGCGCCAGAAGTGCTTCTGCATTGTGAAAATGAAAAAATGGATTGGATTGTGATTACGGTAGATGGATGTTTCCTCTGCTCTTTACGCCAGAAATATTATTTTTATAAATTGACATTGAAAGATTCTTGATGCCTAATTTGAGAATGAATTGGCGTTTATAAACTAGTTTACATGTCCACAGCCATCATTTTCATTCAAATATTCAGCTACATGCCAATTAAAAGTTCTAACTCTAAGACTTTGCTCGCAGCTTTTCCGAGAATAATTTTTTATTACTGCAACTAATTTAATTCTCACAATACAACATAACGAATGAGGGGTTTGATATATACGTAGATTTCGGAAACTCAACTACAATTTAACAAAAAGTTATCAAAACCACGAAAACGAGCCAATGTTTAGAACCATGTTTAAAAATCGATCTGGGTCAAAAAAGTGGCAAAGTGCAAAATTGTTACATCATCTTCAAATTATTTTTCATTGGTCATTATAACGGAAAGGGAAAAGGAAGTTAATTCTCGAGAAAACATTCATATCCCCATTTGTAGCAGAACAAAGGGCGACTATATTGGTTGTCCACATACCTTCAAAATCAAATATAAAATATTATTTTGCAATTCAGTCGAAATACAATGCAAAGTTCACGACCTTCATTCTAATCTATAGTATACCGAAAAGACAAAGTAAGTATAATTCTTACGGTTCAGGAAGTATTTCATCAAATGGTACTGTGCCAGTGCTTCCAAAGTCTATATCTGATGTCAAACCGCTGAATAAATCACCACTTCCTAGTTCAAACCAGTCATATCCACTTCCACTTCCCGAAGTTACAGGTTTATTAGTCATACATGATTCGCCGTGAACATCATCAAACACATCCTCATAACACTCTTGTGTAAGGTTTTGCATATGCTTATGACACCATTCGTCACGGTCGATTGGAAATTGCAATCTGGAATATTCGATCAATCAATCAATTTTATTTGGTCACTCTGATACGAACAAAACACAAAACAACGACAAAGGGACAAACAAAATACAGAGGACCTCGAGGACGGGCATAACTTAATAAAAATGTTACATACGTACAAGTACGTGCCCGTCCCCCAAAAACAGGCAAAACACAATAAAACAAAAACAGGATGTGACATCGGGTAATATTTTATATAAAAAAATACAAACAGAAAAGTTTATAATCTCAGATAAAAATAAAATTTATCTACTGAAATCCTTTTAATTCAAACTTTAAAATTCAGTATAGTTTTTAGGTGAATTTGAATCGCCTGATTTGGGTTGATGTTAAAATTTCATACATAAGGGTTTTGTATAACGCAACAAATCACAATATATATGGCATTAGGTAAAATGAAAATGAAAAACTCACGTGCAGAAACATGTGGGTTTGATTCCGACGGTGTCGCTGTACATCATCACGGGTATGCACATAGCCAGGGCTATTGCCCAAGTCAGCGCAGTTATAAAGTAGGAGTATGCACGTGATCGCAGGCGTTGGACACGAGAAGACAGGGCGTGGCACACGGCAAGATATCTGTCAATTGCCATTATCTGAAATATATAGTTAGCAAATATATGATAACAGATAACAACGGAAGAAAACACAAAAATACACGATTTATCAAGCAGCGAGAATCCGCTAAAGTAGATGCTCCAGGCTTCGTGTGGGTTACATTTCAATATGTTTGGTAGCGCTGAATGTGTGGAAACTATAATAATTCTCCACAAATAACATAGAACTAACTGGGCTTTGGAAACCTAATGCACACGACATTAGTTTGGAGACTAAATGCACTATCCATGTAGCCTAATTTGTTTGATCACAATACCTCGTTTAATTGAATATACATATATATGTGTGAACTTGAAACAATTGTATAAAGTTAAGATGTTCCAAGGAGTAATTTCTCACCATCAGGAACAAAATAGAAGCATAGTAATTGAAGAACAATATTGTCTGTAGTGCTCGACACATTCCAACCGGATATATCCATCTTCCGTGAATTTGCTCAGAAATTTTGAACGGTAAAGTTTGTAGAAAAAGAAAATCAGCTATGGCAAGTTGGAGAACGTACCTTTTAAAAATATGATTAAGAGGCTTATTGATTTTTGTAAGAAATGTTTTTCTTTACGTAATAATTTAGTTGTAGAATCCTACTTCCAAGAATGCACTTCGCAATTGCATGTCACCTTGCTATTCCATTTGATTGCATTTTATAATCGTAGTCAAACTCATAATCTTTAAATTTTATAATACATACTTCCAATACAGTTATATATAATTCAATAATGCTTATTGACCGCAACTTTTAGCTATTTTAGCTAAATTTTTTTTTTACTATAAATTTACAATTATCTGGCATGCGCAGAGTTGTGAGTAGTTGCGAGAATTGAGTGAATTAGCTTGTGAAACGAAGGCGTCTGATCTGCCTTATCTGCAAACTGAACTATGTCCAATTTTCTATATTAATGCTTAACCGTATCCAAGAATCACACAAATAATTGAGCTGACTTACCAGTGAGTAAGTTTTCGAAATTCACTCAAAAACAAAATGACGAATATCACCAACAGGTTCCCCAGCACTCCGCTCACATATATCAGAACTCTGAAGGCAACTACAAATGTGTCTTCTGGACTCAAAACCGACTGAGCTCCCGCACTAGAAGGTAGGAGAGTTGTTGTTGTGGTTGAAGCGTTCGACATCGTAAGAATCGTTTGTGATTTATATTATTAATAAGTTGAATATCAAGTTTGTCTGAACAAAATTTTCACACGCATTTAGGATTTTTTTTTGAATGTAGGTGTGGTAGGCTTTTTGCTGCATTTATTTTTTTTAAAGTAAAAACGAATTTGCAGTTAGCCGTTGTTTCTTTTCATTTTCATAGATTAATATAGTGATATTAAAATGCACGCGCCTGTGAATTTCACATTAAACTTTTTTTTTTTCATTTTGTTAAAAAAGATTTTCACAGATAAGAATCTACTGAAATCATCTGTTTTTTTTGCACCTTTATCCTGAAAACGGGTGTATACAAGCAGCCAGCGATACGCAAAGAATTTGTTCCTGTTGAAAACCTGGAAGCTTATTGGTTTGACATTTTGCTTTAACCTTTCTGCATTAACCTCTGAGCCATTGCCTCGAACTATCGGGATTTGATGAAACGATGAGATACATTTTTGAAATTAACTAATGTGTGGGACCAATACAACAATCAGAATAGATTCCATTACATTTTACATTGATGTGCATTTACATTAGGGTGGACATTTAAAACGCATCAATTATAATTGTCGATTAACTATTTTGTGCTTTAAACAAATTTTGAAAAAGTCAGACAGGATCTCGATATCTACATGTCTATGAAACTGAATATGCGTAATACCTCAATTGCAATCTACATAATATATACTACACAATATTCGCAAATCAGACGGCAAGATGAACCTAATACCTCTTTCTTATTTAACTTGGAGACCTAAATGAATGTAGTTGCGTCGTCTGGAAATACTTTTGGTCAAAATAGATGTATTCGTGCATGTATGGATGTGCATTGTCTTGGAGAAATAACACGACGTTTTAGTCAGAACACGTTTAGACTTAGTTGTACACTGTCGTCTAATCTTTAAACAATCACCTCCTGGGGAAGATATGGCCACGGCTAATTCTCACTTTCACGTCTGTAATCATACATAGAGCATACGCGAACGGAATAATGCATTGTAGAAACTTAATGTAGCGGATATTACGTCATATCATGGGACTTGTATCCTTGCTGAAAGAAAATGAGAAACTTGACAATAGAAACATTGGCTTTATTTATTTTTTTTATTGAGTATAACGTGGAGTCAATAAGTTGCATATTAGCGTGAATGAAAAATAACTTGCTCTGCAACTTATTTGATATTACAATGGTTCCTTTCGTACAATGACAATTTTCCTAAATTCGCATTATGATTGTTTTTGTGGTTTAAACTTTCACCTATATTTGTTTGGACAAAGAAATCCTACTTTACTGACCGTTGACCGAAAGTGACATTTCATATTGATGAAGTATATTCATACTTCGTATAGAGCAGTGGTTCTTAACATTTGCCAATTTGTCAAACACCTGCGCTAGTATGCAAGCTTTAGCCGAACCCAATTTTACTCGCCCATAATCCAGATTACTCAACTGCATTTAATCGTAGTACAATGTTATATCAGTTTATTTTCTGTTCTACTCGAAGAAAAATCGAAATCTGAGGCTTTGTTTCGAAAGTAGCAATTTTCACGTCATTTCCGCATGTAATCCCGTTTCGATCTTCCTTTTGACTTCTATCAAGATATAAAATACGTGCTCATTTATAGCTAGCTATAGTTATGATTCATACAGTATACAGTTATAACGGGTGAAAATCAATTAGTTGTAAGATGTCGAAGATAATAACATGCGTGAAATTTCTGAGCTTCTCTTATATAAGTGAGTGAGGCCGACCATTTATGTATCTCAGTTCTGATAACTCTAATGAACCAATGAACTCTTGCTATGCTATATCTGGGTAAGTAGGTCAAAAGATTGTGCCTTGTTAAATGGGATAATTTGAATGAAAAAAAAATGCCCTACCATATCTGCAGTAAAATTTCGTATATTAGGTCTTTTTGAAAATTTCCAAGATACTGAGTAAACAAACAGACAACGTACAATGCGCGAAGAAGCAAGCAAATATGTAACGTTGATAATTTTACTTGCGTTAAACTGAATAATATGCCTACATGCTTTAGGGGCATTTTTCAATATAATCGTTCAGAATCCCCAAAATTTCAAAGGCGTTTTCTATGCGCGAAGGATAGAGAAACTATATGTGTACTATGATGAAAGATTCGAAGATTCGACGCTAAAACATCGCCGTTTTCATTATTTGCATCGTAAGGCTAGTCCAGATCGCAAATAGTTAATTTACCAGTTTAGCAAAGGTGGGGAAGCCGCAACCAAACTATGTGAACAATTCCACGACGGTAATGGTCCAACAATTCTCTTTCGCATGGTTATCTTTGACAAACTTCGAATTCGACAAGCCATTGGTGGTAAACAGCGGACGGTGTTCAGTGTATACCTACCGCTTGGCATCACTTAGTAAAGAAATAAACGTCATACTTTTGTTGAAATAATTAGAATCCGCAATATCTAATCTGATTTGGTACATATCCATTAAAAAGTTAGGAAATTGTATATTCGATTCTCCAAATAAAAAACAAGCTCAAAAGTCAATAGTCAACCTCAAATGACAAGGTCAAACATGTTGGCCACTACTGCCCACTAGCGGCAACACAAGATACACGTTTTTATTTTTCGTGAATTTGATTTGACGTTTGGCAAATTTTTGTTATCATTGCCATAAAAAATATTATTATATTCAAAACTACGATGACAATTGTACAGATTAATACTTTTCTACTTTTCAGAATTTTTCCTGAGCGCAACCTCAGTCAATGCATAATGTGGGCAATATTCAACCTCAATCATGTCGAAGAATCTATTCCCAATTGCCGCAGAATTTGCCCTCGAGGAATGTTAAATCCCAGAGACAATACTCTTCTGTTTCTGCAGCGATCTAAACGTTTTGTTGTAAAGGTCGCAAACATCAAGTAGCGTAATATCTAATCCACCGATTTATTTTTTATTTGGTTTCGTATTTTTTATCTGTTTTTTAGATAAAAACGTTGCTGGAGAGATATTTATAGAAACATTTGATAACGAGCATTTTCAATTTTGTGTAAATTCCAGATGAACTTTATATTGAACATAGAAACAAAAGCTAGTTCATCTACGGTCTTTGTTGAACAAATAGCATATATTTATATATATATGCTATGGAAAGTTGTAGTGGGGATTCTTGATTTCTATTGGTTACGAAATTGGACCGTTCATGCTATAGTACACATGTTGTTTGCATATTTTAACAATATATATAATGAATCCACATTGGTAGACGTACAAAAGGCTTGAAAAGCCAGCAGATCAAATTATTTTTTTCGACTAAATTTAGCGGTCAATTCCCAGCTTTATGTCCTAGAGGCATGTTACGTTTAGAACACTAACTGCATAAAAATGTTACGCATGTATATGATTCATGTTTTGTCCCGAGAATTTTGATGTCAAATTACATTGTAATTGCTGTTATAAAGCCCAACATCAATAGTTTCATCTAGTTTCTTTCTAAAATTGTTCACAGGCTTCATAGAAAGTCGTTTCAATGCGATAATAAATTTTATATTATGTCAGGTTATCTTGATATTCCGTGAATTCTTTCACCCCGTAATTCACAAAATGGGGTTAAGCCACCTCATCTGTTAGAGTCCACTATGTATTTATACTTCGAGGACTTAGTTTAATCAATATGAACAGATCTTACGTAATGTTCCGAAATCCTAAATGAAACACAAATGAAACACAAATTTCTACGAAAAACAAATTATATAATCCCAATGCTCGATTATTACCTAGAAACGTTGTATATGTACCGATACAGAAGGTACTTTAAAAAGCTAAGTAAACAACCTGTCGACGGATTATTCATAAATCGAAAAGGCTTTTGAACTTTTACACGATGGTTCTTTCTGATGCTCAGTTTCCTAAATTCAAGCTGTTCTAATTAATTCGTGTTACCGTTCCCGTCTCGATACACGTTGAATTTATTTAAGTTGAACTTGAAATCATGTACAAGAATGTCTAAAACTGCTATATAGACTGTATGTGTGTGCGTGTCTCGTTTTTTATTGGGTGTGGTATCTAAACGATAGGTTTTAGTGGCCTAAAAGTGGTTGAATATTATATATTCAAGCAAAGCGATAAAGCAAAAAATTGCACCTAAAATCATGTAAGCTAGGAATTTGCCTCATGCTAAGTAGCATCAGTGTATGTACACGCCTGATTAATATGTATACACCTGATTAATCCGAGAGGGTGATTTACATGCTAATAAAAAAATAATAAAATCCTTTGAGTAAAAAAAGATGAGTGTGCACCCGAATAAAATAGCTCAAAAACTCTAACATTTAACATTCAGAAAACGTTTTTTCGGTAAAATATTGCCAGAGATAAAGCCAAATTTTATGATTGAGATTGTAATAGCACATAATTATCACTTGTTGGAACATATATCGTCAAGAGGCGTCAAATACTTACACAGGGAACACTGGAATTTCGCTCAGCAACGCACGATGCCCAGTTGAAAACAGCTAGTCATTTGACTGACTAGGGACACATAGGGAGTGTACGCTTTAGCCAGACGTTTCTCTTCCTGTCTTCGGTGAGTTAACTTAGTCAGTTCTTGTGTTGAGCGCGGTCGGGGTTTGCACATCTGCGCAGATGAGGTCGCGGGTGTCAAATATGGTCCCAAGAAGAAAATTTATTGGATGTTGGTTCAGCGCCAAGAAGAAAAAGAAAGTCAACTTGGAAAAACTTAGAGCCATAGTCGAGTAAGTACTGAAATAGGTTTAAATTTCATTTTAGAGAGTCCTACATAAACTTAAAACATGGACATACTGTATACGAACATATAACGTGGTCTTCTGGTCTAGTTATCTGTAAAGTAACTCAAAACATATCGGTATATTGTGGTATCTGTAATATTGGAACTCCGATATGTTTTTACTTTCCAAAATTTCTCACATTCTAGGGCGTGGTTGTGTAGTACTGTCTGACTGTCTTTGGATTCGCAGAGACAAAATTGTAAACAAAGATAGTTTATAATACCAAACATTTTCTTGTTTTATTACAAGCTCTATTGTGCGGTAATGACAATATTCATTCTATATACAGATATAAGTATAACTTCAGAACTTATTTATTGGAAAAATTTTATGCAATACTATGGAGCTTGATCTAAGTGCAACTTGGGTCTAGTGTAGTTTCGTACCACAAGTCTGCAAGTACTTCTAGGGGGCTTGGCATGACCATTTTTGCATATGTGTTTCCTAACCCCCACCTGACTACGTCATCCAAAACCGACTTCACTACGATGTGACAATCACGTCATATAGCTTGCCAAAGCATACCTACAATCGCCCGAAATCGCGCAATTGCGCCGGCAATAACGAACTCACTAACGCCAGCGATCTCTCTATTATCGGGATCGTTACGACAAGAAAACGAGAAAAATAGCTTGCTCGACTTCGGTTAATCGTCTGCGCGTTTTGGACGACCATCCCTAAATTTGGGCGGGCTTCGTTATGTCACTGTGATTTCGTAGTAACGTAATTTTCGGATGAAGCAGTCAGGTGAGGGTTAGAAATTACATATGAAAAAATTGTTGCGCCACGCCCACTAGAAGTTATTGTGGTACAAAAGTACGCGACCCTGTAATTTAATATGATTTAACTTCATACTTGTATCCCCAAAAAATAATAAACAGACTAAGGGGGAGGTAAAACTATTTCTCGTTATTAGCTAGTAGAGAATGCTTGATGAAGTTAGTGCTTTAACGTAAACTGAAGGCAAACTTCAATCAGATTATTCATTTCAGATCATTTGGCTTTTCTCTCCCCCCAGGATAAATATGTAAATCCTATAATATCATAACTTGACGAACTGCCAGAGAGACTTGACTTAGGACTCTGAGATGCTTTTGAGTCCGTAAACTACCAAGAAAAAAAACGGAGTAAAATGATTTACCATGACAAATTTTAAAAATAGGCTATTCTAGATTTTTGTAGCAATATTTCAAAATATGCTTAGAAAATTATCGATCTGTCAATCTATGATTAAATCTTAGTTTGGCATTCAAAATAAGGTTACGGTAGTTTTGGGCGAGATGAAAGTCTTTGTGTCAGTGTGAATCATAACTATCTATTTCACTGTTGTTCACAAAACCTTTTACGACTCCGACTCGACTCATGACTCGAAACAGCGGTAATTTGACTTGACTTGGGATTTTTGTGACTCAACTCTCGACTTGAGACCCCAAAATTGACCGGGCTTCCGACAGATATTATGAGCTTAAGTTGAGATTACTCAAGTGAATTCACTTCTTCTCGATTCACAATGTTATGCTTTGAATATTGTTGAACGATATGCAATTGTTTAAACGAAACATTTTAATTGGTGTTATTTCTTTGCAGGAGCCATGGAGCTATACTGAAAGAAGTGAGTTTTCTGTTTTATGCTATTGCAAATATTTTTCATAATATTTTTTAGGTATTAAAAGCAAGGCTCAGTACAAGCAGGCTTTGATATTTTTTCCTACCCAATTTATTAAACCTTGGGGTATGTGGGGAACATGGAGCTTGAACCGTTTCATTACCCCATGAGAAAAAGGTACATCTCATTTATTTTGTATCCCATTAACAAATTATCTTCTTGTTGGTGGAATAGCCTAACAGTTAAAGTGTTGACTTATGTGCTGCCATCGAAAAATACACATCTCTGGTTCAGATCGCATGCCCACCACCTCACTTAGGGTGTATAACAGTATAACAAAAGTATTCAGGAATATTGTTTGATATTTGAAATCTCGAATATCACCTATGAAGAAAAATATGAAATTTTATATAATAAAATCATTTTTCTGTGAATTCCTATTCAGATTGATTTCTCGAAAACAATGAAAGCCCAAGAACCTTTTGATGCAATTATTCATAAGATGACAGATCGTATGATTGAAGCCATGAGTGGAAATAAAAGAGCTGAAAAAAACATAAAAGATGTTGAGGTTTGTCTATGAATAATGAACTGTATATCATCGCATATAAGCCGACCCCCTAAATGTGACCTTAACCCTATCCATGCGATTTTTATTTTTTATTAAATAATCGTATTTGCTACGCCGATTTTATGCATTTGTACCCCCACAACTAATCGATCGACTAACGAAAAACTAATGATCCTCTGCTGCCCACTGACGGCTCGTTGGAAAGCTTATTTAAAGAGCTTGCAATTGGCGATAAAAAAAAAAAGTGGTGGTCTGAGTCACAAACCGGATAGAAAAAAGGCATTTTTTTCTTCTTGGGAGTTGAAACTTCAAACCGTGATAAAAAATAGAAATATTCGCTAAATCCTTTACTGTTACCGCTTCGTGGTTGGCAAACAATAGCATAATATTGCTGTAGCAATTTCGTGATCTAACTCAAAATACTTTGGTAGATGAAATGGATAATATGTCTTCTATTACCACCCAAAAAACACCGAAATTTGCATAAATTTCAAAAACACTTCCTCGATCCGCCTCAAATAAAATTCCCGTCGTAAACGAAAGCGAGATTTACCGTCGCTAATGTAAATCTCGAAGAAGACTTCTTATCAATAAACTAAAACCCGGAAAAACTAGACCAACAGTTTGCGACCGATTGCTAAATAAAACAGTGGAGTACATCAACGTACCCGCCGCAATCTAGCGACTTTTGTCGTGGGTACGTATACGTGCCCACCGCACGGAAAGGGTTAAAATGGTGAATTTATAAATATTCACATATAAGCCGACCCTGCCAATCGCATGCTCTTATTGTGAGAACTCAGGATGGTTTGAGTTGTAGCTATTGGGATTAAGTTAGCACAATGCCATTCCATTTGAGTGCGATCAGAGTTATGCGTGTATAAGCCGACCCCTCAGTTTGGCAACTTATTTTTTTGAATTTTAAATTCGGCCTATATGTAAGGATAAACGGTAAAGTCAAGTGATTCATCAGCAATTTACAGTATATTGTCATCATGTTCATGAGAACGGTGGCAGAGTGGTTAAAACGTTAATAATAATAATAACCATAATGACATCTTAGGTTAAAATCTATATTTTGTCCCACGCCTACCATCAGACCCAGGATGTAATAAATCGGATAGAATAAAATGCTGCTGCAGTATCATGATTGAAATTGGGGATACCTTGGGTAGCTAGAAAAGTCACCAATGAGCAATTCTTTTTATAACCATTTTTCCACAAGTGATACAGTTGCTTTGAATATTCAATTAATGAATACCATTATTATTTGTTATCGTCGTTGATTTGTTAATAATTCAAGTGATTAATCAACTCTTTTTATTCACCTCTTACATAACAAATTATGCATTAATGTGTTCATATTATATATATCGTCTTACTGGCAGATGAATCATAGAACAGTTATTAAAATTAATGTCATATCCTTTATATTTGTTTTTCAGAATTATTTGGAAAATCATCCTAACACTGTGGTTGTCGATCCACTTCCGAGCATAAGAAAATTATTGGATCGACATGAAACTTACAAACTTATTAAAGGCACTAAGCTATGTCTTAATGGTAATTAAGAAATTTTATTAGAAATTTATGGTGTTGGGTAGAAGTCCCGGATCCCCGGGTCTGCAAGTCAGGTCACAGGTCATTTGAGTCAAGTTTCGGTTTGAATTTGAGTCAGTCCTGAATTAAAAAATCACTGACGGTTGGTTGAGTATGAGTCCCGAGTAAGTTTATCAAATTACTCCACTCATGTGCAACTCCACTCGTATTGAATTAATGACTCGATCCTCCCCAGCTCCTCATATGGCTTTTGAGTAGTTTTAGACGGTGCATAATTTTTAAATTGTATATCGTACTATTTAGGAACAGTTAGAATTGTTAGGAAACTTTTATTAAGATATTTATTTGAAGGTTGTTTATGTTCAAATATATATTAATGTATTATACATTAAACCAGTGGTTCTTAACTTTTTGGTGGAGCAAAACCCCATTGAAACATTCCAGTGACTGGAGAAACCCCTGTGCAGCAATAGTTTAGTATCTTTCGTTGTGTGTATAATTCATATAATTCATTGAATTATAAATATATATAAAAGCAAACCTAATACTATCAAAACTAAATGATCTTTAAAGTGTGGCAAGTTTAATAATAGTGGCAAACCTAATAGGTATTTGATTATATTTGAACATTATAAATATGTAAATATAAACTCTCGGACTTGCGGAAACTTTGGTATGAACCACCGCATTATGCAAACCAGCAAACTTGTATAAATTATATAACTGCTGTAGCCGAATTGCAGATTCAGGTATAAATTTTTGATCATGCAAGACAATAATCGATGTACGAATTGATTTAAAATTGCATATTATGATATTTTTGAATCAACTGGATTCAAGTTGGAAACAATTTTCATTTTTTCATGATGAATAGTGGTTGATAGAACTCTTACGGTTATTTGGGTATATAAATATTATGTTAAAATAAAATTTTACACCTATAATACAAATATAAAGATATAAACAAACCTGACTGGTCATAAAGTTATTATCGATAGTATATATACCATATATCAAAGTATTAGGGTGTGACTGACATTGTTGTCCTTCTAATGTCAACAATTTGACATTTATTGTTTTCTTTCCACCATATATCCATCATCTTCTATATGCACTATAAAATCTTGCTAACTGGATATTGCTGAACGGTTGGTGCAAACAAATTTGTTGAATTTTCCATATTAATTCTGAATATGATTTAATCCTCAAGTTTAGAACTTTTTAATTTTTTATAATAAGGTTTTTATAGAGTAATAAATAAAGTAAAAGATAAATTGAGTGAAAGAACTTTTCTGATGTGCCTCATGCAATTAATAGTAGACATACAAAGGTGTATCAACTTAAGTAGAATGTGTAACTTGTTTTGCATGTTTTTATTCCAGTGTATGGTGTATTTTTTCAGTGGAAAATTAGTATTGTTACATCATAGAAAGACAACATTCTTGATAAATTAATCCTAGTACTAGTAGTAGTACTCATATACACTTTTTATTTGAATTGTGTGGGCGTAAATCATCAGGCGTCGTTCTAGAGAAGGATATGGGCGTGGTTATCATATTTAGAATTTATTATTCTCTGGTTTTTGGTATTTCGAAATTTAGATTGTAACAGTGTAACATCACAATTCTTTATTAGCGTCTGCAGCTTCTGACTTTTTGGTTGTTGGTCAGATTACCTACCTTTCTTCTTTCCCTTGGCTTTGCTATGAGAAATTTTTTTTGTTAAATGTGAAATTATTGGAAGATAATTTTTTTTTGTTCCAGTTACATTACACATTCCAACATTTGCTTACATTACTTCGAGAAATGAAGCTGATATTTTGGAGCAAATGAGAGCAAATAATGTTGAATTTCCTTTTGGTGAGTACGATCTTTGGTCGCCATGGTACAATATATCTGTATCTGTGGAGCCTCTATAGAGTTTGAGAAGCTATATATTTTGTACTGAACATGGCTCTGTATGAGCAGTCACTCATATATATTTGGACCTGCTGTTAAAAGTACCGGAATTACGCTCAACTTGCTTATGTAGTATATGACGGGTTGATGGACAAGGATTTGAATACCAGTTATATAACCTTGGCAATGTAATTAAAGTTAGTATATTATTAACCACTAGATCATCAGTTATCACGCAAACCTGAAATTAAATAAAATTTTCATTTTTGGTTATTTTATTGTAGTTCATGGTTTAGTAGTATTCGTGTGCTTTTTCATGTGGCTTTGCAGAATTACCTCATCTTTTGTTTTGTTCACCATTTCATTATATACTATGTTTATTTAATTCTGTCATATGTGTGTTAAGGAGAATATCATAATGTAATCTGGTTAGAATTCATTCAGTTGATTCGCATGTATATAAATAGTGATTGAAATAATATTACTTTTTGGCTATTACATGTTTTTTCCTATTTCATTATTTACACTTTCTAAGAAGAAAATTTTCACAATTTTTACAGTATGCAAGAAAAGTGTGGCACATGGATCAGCATCGCATAAGGTAGGGTTGTACCTCTTCAAATGTTTTTTTTTTATATTTTTTTCTTATCGGTATGTCACGTTATTGGCTGAAAATATGTGTGTGTATCGTGTATGTATTTTTGCAATTTGGCTCGCCAGCTTTTTATGCACGGCTAATAGAGTAGTAATAGTACAAAATGGTATATGATGATAGGTCTATATATTATGAGCTCTGTGATTGTTTAGGTATTAGTAACCATAGAATTGCTTGTATGTTGCTTCAATTTTCCACTGTATTTTCGAGTTTAAATTGAGTTTAAATATGAGCTAAATTATTTATAAGCATATTGATAATCCTATTCCTATAATTCTGACAATACCCATTTTTATTATCAACGTTAATTTACCATTTCTTTTTAGTAAATTTATTCATTCATAAATACACTCCTTACTGTTTATCCAAGTATTCATTACATTGAGAACACACCTTATTATTTTATTTCCCTTGACGACATGGGTTAGCTGAGGTGCACAATAAATATTTGCTTCAACATATGAATAATGGAGATATGTGCGTCTCATAGAAAGTCAAGCTCCGTAACATACGACGCCCTTTTTTACCGGCCAATTCTTTTAGTATTTAGTTTGTAATAGTTTCATTGAAGAGTGAAATTTGATAATTGAAAATCATTGCTTACTGTAAACGTGCTAGGAAGGGTAATGTTACTTCTCCCCATTCCATCATGCTCACAAATCACATAATTTTCTATTATTTGAAATCTTTGATTGAAAAAAACAAATGCTTGAAGCATGTATTTCAAAATGATGCTCCTATTATTATTAAATTGTATGATATAAAGTTTCAAAAGCAACATAACTTATTGCAAAACATAAAACGTATTTGACAATTTTGGAAGTTTAATTTAATTCCAGTTTAGTTTTAAGGCAAATATTTCCTTTGGAAGTGTTTTATTATGTCACTGATTTGATAGAAAAAATTGTCCTACTTAAATTATAAGAATTCAATGTGGTACCATCTACTAAACTTTTCCGGCTCCGACACATTTATGCATTGTGAAATTGTATTGTGAACACAAACAACCCTATTATGACTGATATAGCCAGTCATACTTTTTGTTCAATGTCAAATACAACAGGTTGGATTCAACAGAATTCACTCTAAACTATTTTGTCATGCATGAGGGCGTCTCGAGGTACAGTTTGGGACCCATTGATCAACAGTACTACCTAGATTAATTTGAGCAGTTCTGTATAATTGCAAATGCAGGCCAATATTATACTCATTTCTAAGAAGATTACCCAAAGTTCCAAACAATGACAGTATTATTTGAAGTCCTTATGGTTGTGTGTGTGATTGCTTCGTTAGACATTTGATTTAGATTGATTCATTTGAATTGGAAGTCCATAATTGGAATTACTTTTGTGCAGACTTATCCCCATTATTGTGATTACATCTATCACTCTTATTATTTCAATGGTTCAATACTATTACTAGTAATGTGATTAGTTGTCTTTATAATGAATAGTAGATGCTGATATAAAATTCTTCATACATAACTCACAATTTGAAATTTATTTTTGTATACTGATACTGATGAGTGATAAAATTTCACACATGTAACAACAGCAGGAGCTGTGGTTGATACCTCTTTCTTACTAAAAAGGCAGTGTCTTATTGACAGTCTTCTTCCTCTTTCATAGAAACTTTTTTTGCACATGAAAAATTGAAAAAAAAAAATTGTCAAAAAATGTTATTAACATAAATTGTGTCACTAATAATCAGCACAACACCAGAACCTCTACTTCATACCGGAATCAAAAATTTGCTGAATTCTCTCAGTACCAAGACATGAATCGCCAAGTGAGAAAAAAATAATCATTCTCCTGTCTTAACATTTCATTCTTGTGGTGTTTCATCTGAAATGCATAACGCATAATGGATGCTCATTGCCTGCTTACTTGGCATTCAAATTTTTTTGTTTGTTTGTTACGAATTCTGTAGTGTTGTCTAGAATTCGATTCGTAGTTATGGTGTAGTGCGGATTATATGCGGCCTGGTGAAATTAGAAGTGGTATAATGGCTTTTGGCTATATAATCGGATACATATTTTTATTATATGATTAAATTAATATTAGTATGTATGTTTATTCGTGCTCAGTTGATGTAACATTTACGTTTATTCACACAAACTTTTTCATCATTTTTTGTTTATCATAAAATTTTTACTAAATTATTTTCAACGTCAATGTGTGCATGAATGCATGAATTGGAGACATTTGGAGAAATTAAAAAGACATTGTTCAATAAAATATTTATTTACGCTAATTGCCAGCATAATTGTCATGTCTGGAGTCTGGAATGTTGCGAAATTTTTTTCAAATATATATAAAGTATATTTTATTTTGATTGTTTCGAAAACAAAGTCATTATCTGGTATCGTGGTTAGAAGTGTTCATGTCTGAATAATTTTGGCATTTTACAATTTTGACTTGTGATGTATTTCAGTTATAAATAATAATGACGCAGTTTTTTTCGCATCAAATCAGTACACAATGCAAAATTCAATGGCAAAAATCGTTATTTCACTGGGGCAAAGATCACAGCGAAGTGATAATTTTGATTACTAAAAAAAAGTAGTATTAAATTTCAATTTTTTTCAAACAAAATTTTTTATATACCCCTAATTATGGCATTTTTTAGTAATATGGGGAATAGTGTAACAGACTTTCACAATTGTTAAGTTCTACCTTCTAATATTCTAGTTCATGCTATGTAATATAAGGTAAATGGCATGAAGTAAAGGGTAATTTAATGTAAGTACCGGTAGATTGTAAACAAGAGTATGTGGGTGTTAATATGAAGTGTCACAGGTAAATATTGAATTATAAACAAAGTAATAGTCACATGCTTTTGTATTCTATTATTAACATGTGACTGTAATGTTGAACTGAAAAGTGGCAACTATATGCAGAATTTAGCACAAGTAAAATTGGAAACATCGCTATGCAATATAACAGACTGCTTTTCAGGCCAGTTTAGCACACAAAATTGACGTGCTCTGTATGCATATATATCTAAGCAACTCATCATATTGGTACCGCTTTAAACTAATCACATTTCTCTTCATTAATGAATTACATGTAAATTTGGGTTGTTTAATGAAAAGACATATGCAATAACCTGGTCAAAAAGCACCTATTTTGGCTGTTGATGTGAATCCCTAATTCAAAAGCCTTTTTGTTTTGCATATTGCATAGTGATTGATAAACCAAAAGAATTAACATTAACAATAATCGTTCAATAATTTAAAGTGATCAATAACTCCACGAAAGGTTCAATTTATAAATCATAACATCGTAGTGCATTGTACAGTAGGTTCTCATTTAACATAGGAACAAATTTGAATTTTTTATCAGGTGTTATTTTTTAATATGAAGTCCATACATCTGAAACAAATAACTGGTCAACCATACCAATACCCGAACATGGATTGGTAGGTAGACAAGAGGCTGTTGTTAGCCTTAGCCATATAATGTACGGTAGCTGTCTAATGGCTTTCCTCTTACGGGATGAATAATAAAATCTTATTCTATATTAAAATATGTTTGACCTGAGTTTCTGAGAACTACTGGTAATTGTAATTCAAGAATACCACATAGCGGTTTTTGGAGTACACTCAGGGGCATAGTCAAATTTTTAAAGGGGGCGTTCTGAAACTTCTAATTGCTAAGTTAGACCACAGCAGCCAGCGGGTCTGGTCTAAAATGTGGGTGTTTTTTTTACATTTTAAAGGGTGGAAAGGGTTCCGGTCTGCAACCCCCCTTGGGTACGCCGCCCGTGTGTGCATTCATCTTTTGTTCACTTTTTGTTTTGGTGTGTCCATGTATCGCCAATCATTATTTCTCCAAGTCTCTTGCTATTCCATTTCTTGACACTGAGTCTTTTTCATTACTTCATCATTTTAATTTGTTATATTTCAAGTAGGTGATGTAAAATTTCTTATTCTGGATCTCAATTGTGTGCATAAATTAAATTATGGCTGTAAATTCGGCTGTTCTTTGTATCAAAGGTTTCACTTCACATGACAAAAAAACATTATCAGTTGGTGCTGTGTACTTCATTAATAATATTTATATAGGTTTGTGTATGACTGGACTACATCGGAATACTTATATAAAATCAAAGTGAATTGTTAAAAATAATAACTCATACAAACCGAGAGTGTAATAATTTGTATCCTATGCTGAATAGGGGATATCTGGTTCTAGATAATGATTTATCATCAAATATACATCAAAATTTTACATTACAGTAAAAAGATTAAACAATAATCATGAAATAATATCAAAAGACTGCAAGGTCGAACAACACCTAAACAAAATTTCTATCAGGATAAGACACTCTGGCATTTTTGAATAGGTTTTCTACTGTGCTCAAGTGTAAATTTAATTGTGTTCAAAAATACCACTATTGCAATATATTACATGATCTTACTTTTTTTAAACTTTGTGTCAAGCCTGATTATGTTCCATGCATACAAAATAAAGTTCGAAATGAGTAACTGATTAACTTTTCACATGTTCGACATGGACTGATAACCTAACTAAATAAGCAATTCCAGCAGGTTTTCTTACTCAGTATAAAACAAAGATTCTAGTCTTTATATTTACAATTTGATCAAATATACCTAATAGGCTCATTGCAATATTACCTTACGTTACGGAATACTATTTGTGGGGGGCTATATGCACTAAATGAGTAAATATTATTACATTTAGTGACTAGATGTTTGGCATAACTTGTTAGTGATTTATCATTAACCTATGCGCTTGTGGTGATCAGGTCCTAACCAAATTCTTATCAGTGAAAGATATTATTTTTTGTAATAGGCTTGAACTATTACTAAATGACCAGCATCTTGAAAATTCTACAGGATCGTTTGCCCCTGACCCCAATGATTGTACATATTTTATTGTTAGAATAAAAATCAGTGGTTCCACACCTTTTTCAGTGCATTCTTTTGCCCATTTTCTTTTTCTTTTTTCACCATGCTTTGCATAAAATCTCAGATCGGATACTTAGGTATCGATATCTCACTCTGATTTGTGCCGGGCTTAAATATGTTATAATATGTGTATAAATAGGCATTATAGGGCCTTCCAGAAGTGTGTGTACCCATACATATGGAGGTAACTAATTTTGTTCGCCTACTTTACATCAAGTTGTGTAAAGGGACGGAAACCTATGGGCAGGGGGATATATCCACTTGGCTGACACAGACCGTCCCCGAACTCACAATAGAACCAAAATAAGGGAAATTGCAACAAAATTATGGCCTAACCCTAACCTGGTACACACGCTTCAGGAGTACCCATTATAGTGATACTAGTTGATAATGAATAATATTAATGCTACAACCAAATACAAACTTAGAATCCTTCCCCTGTTGGGAAATCCTAGGTAATAATTTAATCTGTCCAGCCCTAAAAGTCCAGTAGTACAGTATTTAAACATAAAAGCCAAGAAACATAATTTTATATATCTGATATTTGTATGGTTCAACTGAGTGCATTGCAGTGAGGCGTGAAAGTTGCATTAGTCGATTGATGTGAGGTTTTGTATAAAGTTAGTCATATTACAATTATATCCTATTGATTCAATTACAAACCATTCGTTCATTTTTTCCTCCACAATATAAGATACATTTCCATTTTATTTCCCTATTTTCATTTTGTGCCGAAGCATGTCTGCCTGATGGGGTGAATATATTACTATACATTTTCATTGCATGTTTCTTTGAAGTGATGTATGCGTTAGTTTTTGATACTTTTCAGCTTGAAATGCTTATTCTACACAATTGTTATATGAATTTGACTGCAGTATCAATAATACAAAATTGCTTTAAATTAGAAATCTGAGACCAGACAGAGCGTTGAGTCTGGTCAGCTCTGATTACTCAGTGGCATTTTCAATATAATGAATGAACCTCACTAATTCAATTTTCTGGTTTCTCAGATGTCAATCATATTCAACAAAGAAGGACTGAAAGATGTTGATCCACCGTGTGTTGCGCAAACTTTTATTAATCACGGAGCTCTTCTTTATAAGGTTGGTTGATTTTCTCTTTTTTTTTTTATAGCATTTCTCACAGATCATCCTTCTCGACAAAGAACACAAAATGAAAACTTGTAAGTGCTTCATAAGTGCTTCAATATCGTCTCTTAGTAGTCATCATTGAGCTTCCAAATTATTTTGTGTAACATATATACATTTTTAGGATTACGGTAGTAGGAGGACCTTAAACATTTTTTGGTATGGGACGTCATGGGCCCATGGGCAGTTTTACTATATGTGGTTCTTGTTGCTGTTGTGAAAAAATTGCTTTTCTTTGCCTGAAATAAAAACAATTGATTTCAGTTTTTCAGTAATTGAAGATTGAAGTTTTTAGAAGGATATTACTTTTATTTTTCTTCAAATTATTACAGAATCTTATTTCACCAAAAATTTCGCTGTTTTTATAATTTATCGACCGAATGTCATATGCCATTCAGTACAATTACTTTAACATTTGACTCTAATTTTGGTATCCATAATATATGAGCATTGACTTGTTTTGCTGGAAATTAAATACTGTGAAAATCATGAAAAAATTAAGTTTTTTTACTTTTGGCGGTAAAAGTCACCTGACTTTTTTAATACAAAGATTCCACTCAAAATTTCATTCTTCTTCTTAAATGTATCTTTATAGATTTTGACTGAGTGTAATCAAACACTTTTGATGGAGCCTATTGTCTCACAGGAGAAGCTTTGTGTTTTCTTCTGGCCGTGCGTCACAAATTTTAGTGATTAGAATATAACAATAGGCAGCAATTGATAACTATGTGAAATATGATCTCACTTATAAACAGGGGTATCCATGTCAACTGGAATCAGGATTAACTATATTCAATATTTTATATATTTTATTTTAGGATTGATTTAGGGTTATTTTGTTTATGAAAATCCAAAATATAAAATCAATTAACTATCTTTGTATTTTAAATTTCCAGCATTTCCAAAATAAAGAAATTGAATATATGTTGTTGAATTCTTGATTATTTAATAATCGTTATATGAATCTAATATTTTATAGTGCAACTGGGTATAGCAGATTATTCGATTTTAGTTTTTCATTTCAGTCAAAATCTCAACTTTTAGAGAAAAATTGGTTCTATGTAATTTTTCCAATTTGGAAGATGTCAATGTCCGCTTGGTCCAAATTCGACTTCAATGTTTCATAATTTCCTGTTACGACTACCGGTATATTATATCTATGAATAGAGTATTCACATTTTATGACAATATAAAATTATAATAACAATGGCATTTGTATGACTATGTATTGATACCATTTACTTCTTAAATACTGTAATGAAGTAACCTTTGCATAGTGATTTTTGTGTAAATCATGTCTGGCATTGGATTAGTTAGCCAGTTATTTGTTTTCGGAAGCATGGACTTGATGGTGGAGGAAGCCATAACTGACCAGCTGTTACGTGAACCACCCTAGGACGATGAGGAGTTCAGCAATCCTCTTCCACATAATTATCTTCACATGGGATTCGAACCTACGAACCCATGCAGGGTATTCAGAGGTGTGGTATTTCTAACGCTTAGCACGATGCGCCACATTGCCAAGCCATTCCTTCAAAAAGACGTCTTTTAACTATTTTCGTTAAAAAACTCTTTATTTTTGTAGATTTATGTAATTGCTGACAAATATCATGTTGTACAACGACCTTCACTCAGGGATTTTTCAAAAGATAGTCTAAAAGGTTGGTTGTAATTGACTTGTAAATTATTTAGTGTAATGAACATTTTCTTTCTTCGGTTTGCATATATTTGTTTGTGAAAATGACATAGAATGAAAAATTTTCGTTCTTAGATTTTGTAGAAAATACTGGCAAGCACATTTGAATACAAATCAAAAATTAATCACAATAAATCATTAATCAGATGGGGTGACGTCATTTACGCATCTGCCAGGGATAACAAAACAAAATTAGATTTAGAAAAAATAATTTAAAATGCCCAAATTCTGAATTTCGTTAAAAAATTATTATTTTCGAATTCTAGAAACACAGAGAACCAATGAATTATTTTAACTTTTCTGCATTTCCAAATTCATTAAATATGCATTGACTTATATTTGTTCCTTGGTTTAACATGTCACATTTTAGAATGTTTTGAATCTTCCATTTTCAAAAATATTATTCCAGAATGCACTTGGAATAGTAGACTAATCGGTTTTGCCCAACTCATAATAAGTGCTATCAGGATATTCGAATCCAAAAATAGAGGTGTTCATGTTTATTTCTACGATGTTATCATGTTTTGCTAACTGTATTCTTTCTTCCAGATCACAAAACCATATTTTTCAATTCTCACGATATATCAAGCGGAGATTCTTCAAGATCTAAGTTGACCACTGTAAGTTATTAAAAAAGACTCTCTAAAAATTCTAATTATAGAAAATTTGAGCCAGTTTCAGAATTGATTTATAATAAAAAATTTATAGAAATAATTAATATTAATGCCTTTTGAACAACCTATGTTTATTTCAGCCTGATATTCTGTGTTACATTTAGAATAGAGTTTTCCTATTTATCTTTGGGAAGAGGAAAATCAATAAGGCAGCCTAATTATATGCCCAACCACAGCCTCTCATCTGTTTACCAGTCAAGATTGGGTAGTCTAGTTTAAAAGTACAGCTAAGGCTGTAATAAGTATTTTATTCACATGGGTAATACATGATAAGGGTGGCACAAAAAACATCTATCATTGCATGAATCAGGAAAATAATTTGATTGAATATCTACTATACAGATACCAATTGTTACTTTTTTGCATATTGCATTTGCTCTAAACAAGGCCCTGTACTAAGAGTCAGTCACTGATATCTAATGATAGATGTAAGAATCTACAATTTTTGGAATGGTGGGAATCGATGGTGGTGGACCGGGATTTGAAATCAGGATGTGTTATCTGCAATGCGAGCACAGTTACATCTAACCTTTAACCTCTAGGCCCTCTCACCCATATAATCTCTATTTCAGCCTGATGAGGAAGATGTCCAAATAGCCCCACCTCTAGAAACTTCTGCAATTGATGCTATGACCAAAGAATTACACAATGAATTGCATATGACAATGTATGGTGTCGATATTATTGCAAGTATAGAAACTGGGAAGCAGTATATAATTGATGTTAATGTGTTTCCAGGTACGGTAATTTTCATGTTTATTCAAAAATGGAATTTTTTTTTTTTTAAATACTTCAATTCAAAATCGAGGCTGAAACCTTGTGTAGTTGGAGTTTTGAATATTTGTCATGGTGGAATGGAAGTTTTAAATTCTTGGGAGTCAAAATTTCTGGAGTCTTAATTTCAATAGCGATGAAAGAAGTCGTAATTTTCCACAAAAACCTAAAAAGCTAAGTTTACAAATTTTTATCTAACATACTATTATAGAAGGCTTGGTTACGGCAAAGTTTTTGTTATCAGTAGTTGATTTTTTTGGTATTTGTGCCCAAGTCAATTTGCATGGCGTTGGAGATCAAATCATCAAATACCATTGAACACATAGCCAATTTGTAGATTTATATAATGTGATTCACCTATTTTTTCCAGGATACGATGGTGTGCCTGATTTTCTTGATACTCTTATGAATCACGTTATGAAGAAACTTGAGCCACAAACGAACGGAATATCAGCAAGAAAACAGAATGGCTCTGCAAAAACCGCTCTGATTAAACCTCTCATGAAAACAAGGTCAAATAATAACGATACGAACTGTCACGAAGAACCACCGTTAAAAAAATCTTCTCGAAACGGTGTAATTTCTGCCAAAAATAAGCAAGCGAGGTAAAAACAGCATTGTGTCACAGCTTGTCTATCTATGCTAATTTAAATAAAGTGGCCTGCAGTTATGGATATCTAGAACTATTTAAAGTGAATGTTTTTATATTTTAAGTACAACTTATCTGTATAACTATTACCTTGGTTTGGGCTAGTTCAAGTACCGCCTGGTAATTGAGATTTTTTTCGTTGGTTGATTCGTCTATCTTTTTTAATAATAAATTGGTTATTTTTTAGTGATAAATTTGTTGCTTTGTTTTATTTTAATTCGGCTGTTTTTATTTTACAATACACCACACCACTCTCTCTTATTGGCTAGTAAAATACTTCATTTCAATTTTATCCTAAATTAAATTGTTTGTTATTTTTGAAACATCATGAGTAACCATTCATTCTACATTCAAAGTCTCCATTTTTGTTTTAACGAACTTATATTGTTTTATCCATATTCATATGGTCCTATTATTCTTATTAAATTTTAAATCAATTTTCATAGGTACTTCTGTTTGGTTTTAATTCTCTATATTGTATTATATTGTAAAGTTAGCTAATACACAGATAACACATGCACATTGTATTTAAAATTGCTTGCAACAAAGTGTTTGTTTGTGCTGAAATGTTAGTTTTATTAATACAACCCAACATTTCATTTCTCTTGGCTTTCATTTTTATTCCAGTAGAAGGAAGGCATGATTTTGTAGAGAACTATGCAATTAGCTAGTGAATTGAATGTTTCATTTATCTGGTTAAAGTTCTAGTGAAGTTTCGCGTCTAATTAACTATATGGATGGTTCCCAATCTTTTTCGATATATGCCTCCCAATCTCTATGTGCTAAATATCTGGATCCTTCGCTAGTGTTATCTGTAACCCACACTATGGCGCTTTTATGTTCTGAGTTCTTTATAGTGTGTGCATGAATATATATCACAATAATACTAATTAAACAATATCCGTAGAACTACAGTGAATTCAAAATTCTTGTTTTTTTATTTTCTCCATGGTAACAACAAAGCTACCTCCATGACGAATTGGAATGTTGAACTATGTAGTCACAATCTTTTCGTATTCATTACGACAGAGTCGTGCGTATAAGACAGTCTGATTATGTGGCAAACGCACAGCCTCTTAGTCAATTCGCTCCGGATATATGGACTAGCTTGAAGAAAAAAGTGTTAGGCCACCTGTTCACCAACACATAATTAATTCCAATGTATTAACTTGCAAAAAAGATTCATTGATCCTTTGAAAATCATAAAAGTTATTCATATCTCAATATGTTGCGCTGATACTAAGAATTTCTAGAACGAAATAGATTTTCTCGATCAGGAAGTTAACCTCCGGACATCAAGCAATTAATGCAGGACACTTTACATCAAGCATAGTCCTAGTCAAGTTTATTTTTTCCATCCAGTAAAAAATAACATACCAAATTGACAAAAAATAAAATTAAACACAAATTTTTACTGGGGAAGGGGAGCTGCGGAGAACCAAGATTAGTTTATCGAGCAGAAACACCCAAGGTTCAATATTTAATTAACTTTCTAAGGTCGAAAATTAAGTCTTTACAACACTGTTATTATAGTTGAATATGGCTTTGATAGCTGACCCACTAATAGCATCCACTAGACATGAAAGTTACATGAGACTACCATATATGTTACATGGCGACATCTATAAGCAAACCCACCAGATAACTTATAACGATTCCCCGATTGGGCAAGCAATCGATGCAAAATTCTGATATGCGGAAACACGACTTCTTTTGTTTGTAATTGCTAGGGAGTGCAATTGCAGCGCCCCAAGAGTTGAGACTCATAAAGATTGTTCTTCCTCTCCATTTCTTAGTAGCGTGGAGTGTAATTTAAGGAGCTGATGTCGATCAGTCATGCAACGGTAGCTCTCTTTACAACCTAGAGTAAATTGAAATTTTTGTGGACTCAAAATTTGTGAATTGTTTCACGAAGATAGTTGGAAAACTGAGCACTTTTGAACTAAAGGAAAAAATACCTGGAGATTTCTGATCTATTTATTGAGCATGTTATTTTGTAGAGTGTAGACAAGGCTACACACAAACACTTTTGCGATCTTTTAATGAACAACTTTACTTCCATTCATTTTTATTTTAAAAGCTCCATAATCCACACAAATTGTTTTTGGAGAGCGAACAAAACATTTTGTATGCCGAAAATACCATTACAAAAGCATCACTAGACACTTCCTTATTATGATACTGATGGAAAAAGTAGTAAAGCGCTATGGTTTGATAAATATTCTGCCAGACTGATTCTCTGAAAAACCTAGCCTTTGAATTCACTTTGCGGAATAAAATCCTGATAGTCCTCCCCAAACAATCTTATAGAGGACTCAAGTGTTGATTTTGGAAACTTTAATTGCCTGCACATTTGAAGATTTGTAAATAAAAAATATCTGTTCTGATTAACGTTTTTCAGAAGAGTAATTAGACCCAAATTAAAGCTTTTCAACTCAAAAGATTATATATAATAAATTCATATTCAGAAAAATGCACAACAATAAGGCTTCATACACACTGGATGGCATTACTATTCTCATGTAATGTCGTATTGTAAAATGCATTGGATCGTTGTAAAATGTGTAAAACTAGATAGCAAACCGAAAAAAAAAAACGTTATAAGTAATACACTAGTCACTTGACGAAAATTTAGCTGTAACTCGGCTAAAGCACTAAAAGAGTCTCTCTAATATTTTCCGAAAATAGATGTTCCCAGTTCAAGTTTGTTGATGAAGAAATTGAACGATTTCATCTCTTGATAAAATATTCTCTCTGGAATGTTGTTGACTTTCATGAACTTTGACACCTTCTTCCCAACTCCAATACCAGCGACTTGAAGCACACATTCTACAAAATTAAGGCAGTGTATCCATCAACACATTTAACCAATGAAAATTTCTTCTGAGAACTGTACTTGACATAGCAAGTGTAGACTCTAGCAGAGATGAATTTAAAGTATACAAAATAAGAATGAAGTGGGGTTAAAACTAGGGATGGGCCGGGATTCGGATCTAGACTCGGATTCGATTTCGAGTCCAAGTCATTTTTACCAAGTCCATAATCAATTCTGTTTTTACTAATTTACGCCTATGTTTGTACTTTTGCCTCTATAAATCCCACTACATATCTTAACTAGTTAAAATTCAAGGTTAGATCTGTAACAATATCCCTCGTGTGCATTATAAACACTCCTAATAAAACGACGACAGATATACAGATAATATAACGCAAGTTGAAAACTATTGATTGCTTATAACAATGATGTTGCGCCAGTCGCCTTCAAACTATCTATCCTTTTTGGTATACATGGGGTACACAATAAAAGATGTGTTATTGCAATATTTCTAAGTTTTTGATTAGCGTAAAAATGAAACATGCTATGGATCAACCCAGTGGGGAATCTCATCAATACCTCTTTTAAATCGAGTTTATTGCATGCAATCCGTTCGCTAAAAAGGCAATGAAAAGCATGGAGAGTTTTAAAACGTTTACTTGAACTACTAAATTGCAAGCAGATGTACCACATTGTATTGACGACGAGTGGCATTTCTCTACCATATGCGCACATGACATAAAATTTACGGCTAGAAATATCTGGAATTATGGGAGAGCATTGTAGTCAAAGACTTTGATTTTTCATATTGACATGTAATAATTTCTGAATAGCCGCCCAGAATTGACGCAAGGTGCGCTGGAAATCTTGTTCACAGCCGAGGCACACATTGACCCACGTTTACGTTTGTATTATGGCCGCCAACAAAGAGAAAAAATATATATTTTCAAAATGATTCAACAGCTATCTGCGGAACCATTAGGCAAAAAATATGAGCTACGACGTATGTTTGTGAGCGCACGATGCTGTAGCATGGTCAAAAACATGTTTTTTTGCTTTTCCATTATGACATCACGGACTCGGCAGATTCGATTCGAGTCCTTGACCTATTACTCGGATTCGTCGAATCTCTGTAATGCCGGACTCGTCCCATCCCTAGTTAAAACGTAACCTAGAAAGCCTATAAGATGGCTCAATCATAGCAAACAAAGGCTATTCGTCCGGTTACCAGCCCATGTCAGGTATGAGAATAGGTAATCAGGCATTTATTTCAGATGCATTTGATTTGATGATGGAGGAAGCCAAAACCGGCCGGCCATTAGGCAAACCAACGAAACAGAGTCTAGTAGTCCTCTTTCAGTGTAATCAAGAGGTGCAATGTTAAATTTAAAAATGAACATTATTTTTGCTGTTTTAACTTACTCATATGTTGCACAGAAATCAGGCGGACATTCGAACGACGATGTTCGATCATTTGAATTGAAGAAATATTTTCGATTTCGTGACTTACTGAATGCCATTGTCCATGGATCTACATTTAAACAAATGTTACAACATAAAAGGAATTAAACAAATTGGTTTACCAAAACACAATTCAAAGATGGCATTGAAATTGGGAAATTAATGGTGAATTTGTTTAAAAAGAAGCTGCTATTCACACTATATTGATAACTGTTAGTATGAACCGTATTTCTTCAGGGCTGTGGAATCGGAGAAAATTTTCAATCGACTCGAACTTCAATTAAAATGATTTCGACTTCAGCTTTAGAAAAATACTTTGGTGTATGAAAGATTCATTTAATATACCGTTGAGAATGCTCAGTAAACTTGGTTATTTTTCAACTCTCTGCAGAAAATTTAGCGTTCACGTAGTATGTGGAACAAGATGGCGTACACCTAACCATAGTATGTGTTAGGGTTAGGCCATAATTTTATTCCAATTTTCCTTATTTTAGTTATATTACGAGTTCGGGGACTAGCCACTCCTGTAGTATTTGTACCTGAAATTATGGCCTAACCCAAACCTGATACACTTACTACATCCCGGTGTCCGCCATCTTGTTGCGCATACTATGGTAGTAGCGAAATTTTTTTCTACATTTATCACCATCAAAATACAGACTCCGTCGCCGGGGAATTCAGAATTTTGTCTCAAACTTAGGGGGGTTTGAAAATAAGACTCCGACTAATGTCATAACATGCCTAAACTCCCGACTTCCCATCTCTGGTATTCTACAGTATTGACTGCTATTTTACTAATGATTTATATCTAGTTTGGTAAAATGAAAAGATATATATGACGAACCTTTGGTGATTTTTGTGAAGCAAAGTCCTGATGGTACAAACCAACTATCAGTGTTTTCAATATCACAACATAACCTGGGTTCAATCCCAAATCCTTTCACTTTTTTCATACTCAAGCTAGAATGTAAAAAATGAGAACATAAAAGATGATAATATATGGAACTATACTACCGGATTGGCCACCATTGGTGGATAGTCTTTGAAATGGCATCACAACACTGTTTTGAGTACATACCGTATATGCTCGTTTTACCGCCTGATCTTAATTAAGTTAAACAGCCGCCTGTGTGAACAGAACATAAGGGCCGGTGCTTGAATACCCGCCCGATGTAAAAGCTGATTTTTCAGTGGTAGAGAACAATAGGAAATAAGAAGCGCTTTTGTCGAATTTTAGGCGCTGGTAGATAACACTCACGCCTTACGTCCAGGCGTCAAATTACATAACAGATAGTATTGATTACGTAACCCCGTGGTTCTCAAACTGGGCATCGCGACGCCCAAGTGCGTTGTTTCAATATTGATAGGCCGTCACAATTTTACTTTAAAAATAACAAGCGCCCATGCTTGAATAAGGGCTGGTTCGAATAAGGGCCCGGTTAGTGCAAAACGAGCAAATACGGTATGTGTGTTGTCAGCAACAATTTTCTAATTGAAGTTGTGTAAAAAAAACAGTCGATTTAATTCTGATAACTTTGTGCTAGTGGGCCACCAATAGCCCTATAGTTTAAGGGGCCATGCACCAAAAATGGTTTGGAAACCCTGAACTTATAGCATATATTTTAGTTAATTCTTGAATTCATGTTAAATAGTTGATTATCTAGGAATACTTACCATTTGAAGACTTCTTCGATATGTTCACTTCTATAAACTTGTTTTGCTCTTACAATATTCATATTTGGAATTGAAGGTTTTGAAATGGCAGTTACAAACAATCGAACGTCATTCATTCTGAAATCATAATCAAGAATACTCATTATTCAGTTGTATTAAAGCATAACCAGTCGTAAGAAAAACTTTCTGGTTTTCATCAGTACAGCGATATGGAATCAGAGGAATTTAATGAGTGAGTTTACTCAAGACAACCACTCTAAGGTCCCCCGAGTACATGAACTCGATAACAAAAACTTTGGAGCATTCTTTAATATACTAGGATGGAATTTATCCCAGGGGAGCGGAAAGTCGATAAGACAGCTCAAACATATGGCGAACCACGGCCTCTTGTCAGGTTACCAGTCCATGAAGAGTATGGGATTAGTTAGTTAGTTTTTTGTTTAAGATACATTGAATTGATGATGGTGGAAGCCGTAACCAACCAGCAATCCTTCCAGCACATGAATATTCCCCACAGGACAATAAGAGGCGAGGTGGCGAGCGAACTCCTAATGCTTAGTGCATTGCGTCACACAGCTTGTTAGGAATGCCTAGTAAAAGGCCATACCATAGCACATCATTAAATATAGAGTCTTGTACCAGTTAAAGGTAAAAAAAAAAGCACTGGTGCATGAGTCACAGCTTTTATATATTGTGCACCGAAGCCATTCTGACTCCAGACCAGCTCCTTAACAAGAATGAAGTACCTTTCAGTATAGTGTTTTCTGCTGATATCTTCTCCACTTAGAGCAATAGCATCAACAACATGTACAGCCAAGCTTTTTCTCTGGCCCTTTCCCTGAAAAGATAATGAAATGTTGGAACTAACGAACCTCATGACATATTCTGTTGTACATATCACGACACATTCGAGAGAACATTACTAATATATAATTGGGATAAGTTTTATAATATTCACATTTTATCATTGCCAATTGTGAACTGGTTTTTGTGCAGATAGACTTTCATAATGTGGTCGAATGGTCCATATGGCCATTTGTACCTTTCTCTCTCAAGGTAATATTAACATATTTTATCACTTTATGTTAAGTTCTTCGACATGAGGCAGATAAGAAGTACTTATTAGGAAATGCATTGACATTTCGCATTTGATATGCACATTGCACAGTTTGAAAGTAATTAACTAGAACAAGTATGCATGATACTCCTCAAGATGTGAAATATTTGAATAAAACAAATGCAAATCTCACTTCTCCCCTCATCTCTTGGACCATGTCAACTTCTAATATTGAATTTCTGGGTATTTGACAATTGATGTCAGGACAAGCTACCCATCTACCTGCTGTATAATGCCATTCATATATTCTCGCTCCCTGGAATACAAAATATAGATTTAGTTTTTTAAGGAATGTTGCAGCATTTTTCAGTTATTTAGAATTAAGGATTCCTCACTTAGCTTGAAAAACACCTTTTCGAATCGAAACGTGAATATTATAAAAAAACAATACCGTCCATTTTGTGTTCATTAAACAATGACAAACAATAATCTGGTGAGGAGTTTAAGCGACATGGTAGCGAAATAAAAAAAGAACTTACCCCTAAAGAGACAATGAGAGCCCTTCTTCCTGTACAAACACAGCATCTATAATCATAAACTCTGGATAAATTGCTAGCATTTTCATGATCCAACATCCTTGGCGTTTTTAAAATTTCTATTGGACTTTTCATACCTGAAATGAAGGATATCAAAATTTTTCAGAAAGACTTGAAAAATTAAGGCCGTCCATGTCCACGCATGTTTCAACTATGTTTTGAAATAGGTGCATGTCATGTAATATATCGTTTAAATATATAATCGAATCAAATTTTCACAAGACAAGTTGAAAATAGATTATTTTTTTTGATTCAAAAGCCTTTCGACACAAAAACACAAATCTATTTCTGTAATATTAACAAAGTGTCTTGTATCACATAGAAATAGTCATCTTTATCCTTGCTACAGCATCCTTTCATTATACATACGGATCCACCAGCGATAAGGGCATAGACGATGCATGGGTAGCTAGTCTCGCATAACCTTAGCTGACAGTGAAACAGGATTACTCAGATTATCTCTCGAAGTACACGAGTTCTGGCGCATTTCTTAACAACTATATAATGATAATGTCTCATTACTACACGAGGATTGGGATTCAGCAAGGTTTAGCAAATTAAGAATAATAAACAGTCAAAGTATTTAATTGAATTGTAAACGTTTCTCATAACACCTGTATAGTTTGATTCAAGAATGCTATTTCTTTGATTCATTTCAAAAAGTGATGTTATAGAAGACAAAACAGACCTTGAGTAAATTTTTCATAGCATTCTCTAATATTAATTCGAGAGGTGCAGCACGAATTTCATCTGGAATTTGCCACAGTTGTAAACATTCTTTTCTTATTTGTGCTTGAGACATTTCTTTCAAACTTCTGCAAAAAAAAATAATCTAAATTTTTTAATCCAATAACATGAATTGCAGCTTTTTATGTGAATGCACCACTTTTTATGGGCCAAGCACGGTGTGCACATTTACAAAAACATATATATTATTGATCAAGAAATTGCGAGTGAACATAGATAGATCATTAAGAACTAAATGTGAACCTATTGTGGTTATGACAAGTCTGTAAATACTAGTCAATGGCACTTGTCGGCAGCTTATTGGAGGGGGAATTTTATAAATGACAAACCGTAAATAAACAAAATTATCGCAATTAAAGAAATTCATCCTCACCTGTCTTTCGCAAACGCATGTAGCTTCGCCAGTGCTCTGCTTTGTGCGTCAGCAATTCTAATAAAGGAATGATGAATGTAAATGCGTGTATGACTATAGCCGGTTAATTGAGTATTAACACATTTCATATCACGTGGCATTGGGTTAAAAATGAGTAGAGAAATGATATGGTTGATGAAGAAATGACGAGCTTTGCACCGTTTATCAGTACTATAGAATTTAATTTGAATATATAGGATAGTATTGTATCCCGGAGACAGGGAAGCCGATAAGGCGGCTTAATCACGGCTCAATTACCAGTCCATGTCGAGTATGGGATTAGATATCCAGTCATTTGTTTCAGATACATGGACTTGATGATGTAGCTGTAACCCGACCAGCAGTTCATGAACCACCCTACGGCGACGATGAGTCCAGCAATCCTCTTGCACATAATTATCCCCCACAGGATTCGAACGGCAAACCCACACAGGGTAATCAGAGGTGCAGTGGCGCGAGCGTATTTCTAACATTAGCACTAACTTAGTTATGTAAAACAAGTGCTATGTTGTTAAAAAGCTTAAAAAGCAAGTGATTAGCCTCCAATTTGTTGGTTGAAGCATTAGACTTGACTGTGTTAGTTTTGCAGGTTACACATATCGGGTGCCACCTCACCCAGGGTGTCATTGAGTTGACAATGCCAAAACAGAAAAATTCCGATCCGTCTGAAAAATAGTAGTCCCTACATAACATTAGATATCAGTGGGTAATTGTACAAGATCTTGTTTGGGGCAAAAGGCATGAATAAGCATTGTATTAATAACAATATCTACCAATGTTACCTTTCATTAGATTGTTTAACATATTCACAGAATCCAGTGTCTTCCATTAACAAGTCCAGAGGAACGACTGAATTAACATCGTAATCTGTTCCTTTCATTTCATTTAATGTTTGATTGATGGACAAAAGAAAATCTCCGATAAGTCTTTGTTCATCTTTGTAGCCTCTACATACAACATATCTGAAACAATTAAAAAAAATTTCAGTCATCAAACTCAGTTGTGAATTTTAGTGGAAAAGCATGATCAAACATTAGTCCCAAAAAAGTTTTAAAGTTTTGGTTAAATGTTTTGAATTAAAATGATGTTTCTGAAACATATAGACTAGTTTATGAGTGCCAACTCTCGAAAACAATCTCAAAATAAGTATAAAAAATATTTAGAATTGTTAAATATAGGAAGGATATATAGTAAGATTTTTCTGGGATCAATTTTCAGGGAAACATCCTTTATGCCCAACAATTAACAACAATGCCCAACCAATATCTACTCTATCTACCTTTCAGAATTTGCAGGTCTACTTGTTATTGGTTTGAATATCGTTACATCTTCAAAAGCTCTTCTAAGAAGGTAAACAAGACCAACAGAAAACTGTGTGAATAGGTCAAACGTTTTGCAAATAAAACTGCCTCCCATACCAACGATACTCAATGCACATGCAAATTGACAAAGCAACAATTGCTTTGTTAAAATTTCTTGAATGTTTTCTTGGCCTTCAACTGAGAATCCCTGGAAATGAAGAAAACTCATACCAACTTCAAACTGTTTTCACTAGAGTAGTATAGGGTGTCCATAAAGTCTTAAAAAATTTTAAAATTGCAAAGGGAATTCATCGATGCCATATATTGTTGTTGTTGTTTAAATCCTGAATTTCACAAAGTCAAGATTTCAGTCTTTTGATGGGAATAGAAGTAAAAACTTCTTACAGTAAATCAAAAATTTTCAGAAGCAAATGAGCAAATGATTTGATTAAGGCCAATGGCCATCCCTGCTTAGACAATGTTACTGTTAACCAGTTATTACATGCTTCTTATACAGTTGTACAATTTTCATTTCAAATCATACAATCCACATATTTTGTGGTCGCAAACTCACCCCATCAGCCATAACAAAGTGAACACCTTTATTGTCAGTATTTTCCAAAACGAAACTTTTAAATTCTTCCAAATTATCTGTATTCATTATATCACCATCACCATTGACTCCATTCACACCTTGACAAAACAAAAACAGGTTGACAAAAACATTTATAAACAAAATATCATTGGTGAGGGCATATTAGTTGTAACAATAAATGAATCTGAATCTGATCTGAGTATGTAACCATTGGATATTGAAGATTCCGATTTTCTAAGATCCAGTCCATGTCGGGAATGGAAATACTTAACCAGTTATTTGTTTCAGATACATAGACTTGATAGAGAAAGGCATAACCGATCAATGATAATAGGAACCAACATACAATGGTGAGAACTCTAGCAATCCTTTCGCTCATAATTCTCCCTCGTACAATTAGATCATGCGTACTCATTCAGTGCAATAAGAGGTGCATCGACAAGCATATTCCTAGCGTTTAGCAAGATTCGACAACTGCCATGCTGATAATATACAAACTTCTATTACAACAAAAAGGAATATATTACCGTAATGAGGTTCGAATAACTCTGGATCAGCAGCAAAAAAATTTTCCAACTTGAAATCATTTTGTCCTTTCAGAGTAAAACCGAATCCCTTAGCTCTCCATTTACGTCTCCATAAAATATACTCTGAGAAGCCTCCAGGTCCGGCACAGATATCAGCAAAATATAAGATTTCGTTTGGGGCCAAATTCTGCAATTGAAAGAAGATAAAAAATTGAAAAATGTGATATTTAACAATTTGAAGCTATTTTGGTAGATTTGTGATTAATGAGAAGATAAAAGATAAAAAAAATTGTCCAAATATAAAATGTTTCTGTGATATACAATTAAAACTCAAAACCCTGAATTAGATAAGAATATTTTTATTCTATAAATTTACTATAGTATTCTAGAGGAACTTTTATACTGTCTTCTTATATGATTTAACAACTTTTGGTATCTAATCATAATGCAAAGCAATATTCATCAAACTATCGTATTTCAATAACAAGTTTTAAAATCTAACATAGTCATTTCCGCCTTTTTCTCGAGTTCTCGATATATATTAGCTTATAATACCTTTGGTGATGTGAACATGTAATCAAACACTTGATCTATGTTAGCGATCTTCATTGCTGCTCGATTTAGGAAAATTGCACCACGGATTTGTTCGTACGGATTACTCCTTGTTCTAGCATGCCGCAATTCTGTTCCTTCCAAATCATCAAAAACTGTCTATAATAAAAAGCGAGAACACACGAATATAATTTTTGAATAGGAATGCATATATTAGATCAGGAAAAATAACAGGTTCCATTGAAAAAAACAGGATTTTGGTTTAGATTATGATAAAATATACCAAAGATAATTACTGTAAATATGTTGAATCAAAACATCCCTATTGGCGAGTGTGTGAGCAGAAATTCGGTATTTTAATAAACATTATTGAAAACGATATTTAAAGGTCGTGATATTAAAATATATTTAACTATTCGTTGAATTTTGACAACCATGCTTCACACAAAAAAAAACTATTCTTCTTTCAGCTTTTTTTTTAATTAATCATCAATTTAATTGACTGATTTTTAAATGCCATGATTGGGAATGTCATGACAATGGGAAAGATGTTTAATGTTCGTATATTCGAGCATTAATCAAAATTTGACATTAACTTACTTTACAAGTCAACATTTTTTTCAAAATTTCTTCATCACAGAAAAGAGTTTCATCTTCTATAGTCAGTTTTTTCTGAAATAATAAATTCAATATAACCAATTACGATAACCATTAAAATAGAAGTTTGAAATTCGCGTAAATATATTCCCATATCACATATCAGTACTGAATGATTAATATATTGGAGAGAATTGAAAAAAAAAGAATGAAAAATTATATTGACAAAATAATTTTCGATGTATCAATATTAATGGCCACTAATATTTATAGAGCTACCCTTGTGTTTCAGCATTGGGTCAACCCAATTTATTACACCCTGCATGAGAAGGTTGCCATAAGCCGACTATGTTCAGTTCAACACTCCAACTACTAGCAAAAATGGTTACAATTTTTGCAAATTGTTTTTGTTCAATATGATTCCAAAATATGAGAAATATGCAAATTCCCCAATACTCCTGATTTTAATTGACAACATCAAGACCCCCTACGCCAATCTGATCGATCCAACAAATTTGAAAAATTTATAACAGAGAAGTAATACGCAATCCTTTTGCTGACCTTTCCTTCACTGGTCCATTCACATAATTCATCATAATCTGGTAATGGTTCTGTGCATTTTGGCATCCAATCAACAGTTTCTGTGATAGTTGGTGGTTGACCATCATCCCATTCTACAACAACTTCTTTTTCCATAGACTGTAAAAATTATGTTACAATAATTTGATAGAATACTAAGAGATCAATTTTTAAAATGACATTTTGTTCAGACAATGAATCATTTAGCTAGCTCTTTGTTCATGTAGGTGTTGTCGATGTAAAAAAAAACGCTACTACTTTAATTTTTACAAATTTTTCTCATGTCTCTTGGGGCCCGATATTTTATCCAGAATTTCTGCTAGAATCTTGAATCCATGAACATAACTCTCTTAAGAAATTTATTGAAATTCTTTTAAAATTTGTCTGTCAAGATTTTGCTGACATAGAATGGAGTAGGAATAATTATGGAGCACGGAGTAATCACAGTAGGATTTTTTCAAGATAAAACTCGAGAGTATGATAATTACCATTATTCTCAATCCCAATCCTCTTCGACCTCTTTGTTTTGATGCTTCCACAGGTTCAATAATTCCCTGTTGTTTTGATCCCAACCCTGATCCTGCTCTGTATCCCATCTTTGTCATCATACGACTTGCAAAGTTGCTGTATTGACCCTGATAAAAAATTTAACGCAATGTTGTCAATTGAGTCAGAATTTGGTATGTTTTTAATGAAATTTGAGTCAGATCTGAAATCGGAATTTCAAACTCCACAGGGTCAGGAGAAAACGAAACCTTGGTATCAACAAATGAAGACATTTTTGTTCATATTGTGAGACTTGATTAGCTAAAAATGCTAATTTTTCCAAATAAAACTATTCTAAATTTTAGCCTACCTAGAATTCAAAATATTGAGTACAATCAATTTTGAATCGATTATAACATTCGATTCATTTTGGACATTTCTTATTTTACCTTTTCAGAGAAATACGCCTTCTTTCCTTCTCCATCACTGCTTCGTCTAGAATCTTGACTCGAGGAAGAACTAGAACCATCATCTTCTACATTAAAACAGATACGATTGATGCAAGAAAACTATAAATTTCTGAGTATATTGAAGAATTCAAGTGTATCGAACTCTATTAAGTGATAGCTTTCGTTTCTTTTTCTTATTTAACTTTGGACATAGATCGATCTCTGAGTATCTCACACAATCTCGCATAGATTCATCCCTGAATGAGTTTGCATAAAGAAATTTTTTTTTTAGGAAGAATAGTATTTAGAAAAAATATGACAGATGACATTCAATTTATCAAAGATCTTAGAAAGATTTCAATATTGTCATACTAAAACATTATAAAATCTTAAATATTACATTATACAAACTTAACAAAAAATGTATAGTCTATATTTCAATATTGATAAATGGTTATCATTATTCTTGTATATCAATATTACCTTTAAATTTCTTCTTTACATTTGAAACATCCCCATGTTTAGACGATGATTCTCGGTCACTCGGCCAAGATCGTTTTGACATTTTCAACTATTCAAATATATTGCCAAATTATTTATAACATTTGAAGTACATTAATTCTGGTATAAATGATGAATTTCAACCTAACTATCACTTATCATCTGGGGCTGTGGGGTGAGTCAGTTTAATCCTACTCTTCCTTTATGTTGTCATGCCTTTGATCTAGCGACTCTGTAAAATACAAAAGTACTGTAGCTGGAGTAATGGCAGAATGGTGTCATGCTGTGCACAAACAGGCAAATAAATTTCTATAATGTTTCTCCCGAATAAAGTCAGACTTTATTAAATGGTAAACTCTTACGTTGTAGTTTATACCTAATAGAAATTTTAGCAATACCTAATGCAGTAATGGCGGTATTCAATTCTACATCATCAATATAAATAATTTCAGTATTACAGTATTATCAATGCTGTAATATCACTGTACCTACAGACCTATATGACTGTATGAAGACATTTTCTTCAGTCAAATTTTATTTTCATTCTGCAATTGTACTACAGTTTTAGTCTTATACATTTTAAGATACTATATACTGCTATATGCTGTACAAACAGCTCAACTCTGGTCGGCCTTCCCCACCCAATTCCAGAATTTAGTATACGAGTATTGGGTTTGAATTCGAGGGCTTTACCGTGTAGCATTTACAAAATTAGACATAAACAAAAACAATTTCGCCTTGTTTTATCTTTTCCGTCTTTTTTCCTGTCACATTTGTTGCAGTCCGCACAGCCTTCTCAATTATGCAGTTCAATCCAAGATTCTGCACCGGGGGAATACCCAAGGAACAGGATGGCGTCATCGCCGAGAAGACGTGACGTCATGGTGACCAAATGACTTGCCTGGTATTTTTATTTTTATGTGCGTGCCATTTTACAATAGAATTCTTTGCGAAAATCATACTGTATTCAGAAAACTATACTGCATATAACGGTTAATTAAAAGTTGGAGCAAAAGTTCACCAAATATATATTTTTTGAGTGGAGGGGGGGGGGGGGCTGTGATCGTCAACCGGTACCATAGCCAATATAGTTACAATTGTTTTTCGATTTTGTCATTCTTTTAGGTGAAATTAGTGATAATCCGGATTAATTTGGACTTTGGAGTACAACCGTAGTAGTATATATTTACGGTACGTACAACATAGATACCCGTGCTTCCCCGAAAATAAGACAGTGTCTTATTTAACTTTTACTTTGAAAAATAACACTAGGGCTTATTTTGGGAGAATGTCTTTTATTTTCAATTATCGAAAACAAAATTACAAAGTATAGAATTACGGGATTCCCAAATATCCAAAACACGATATACATATAATAATTATAATTAACACGTTTTTATTTAAAATAACTGCTGAACATAGATTATTAATCGTTTAAAGAGAGTAGGAAAGATTTCGTGGTATCGACTAGGTCGAAAAAATGGTCCTAAAGAGTTACTTAAGGGGAGGGCGTATATTAAAATCATTTCAAAAATTTAGGCTAGGTCTTATTTTTGGGGAAACACGGTAGATGTAGCATACTCTTAGATGGGTACACCCGTAGTATGTGTACCAGGTTAGGCTATAATTTTATTCCGATTTCCTCATTTTAGTCGTAATTCAAGTTCGGGGATTGTCTGTGTTAGCCAAGTGAATATAACCCCTGCCAACAGGCTTCCGTCGTCCCTTCACACAACTTTATGTAAGGTAGGCAAATGAAATTAGCTACCTCCATATTGGTACACATACTTCCGGAGCACCGAAATGTGATTATCTGAAATAGGGCGGGCAAGATCAAATCCAACAAATATTTTATTTTTAATTAGCTTTACGCCCGTCGTTTGATGACCGCTGTTCTAGTAAATGCGCGGATAGTAAATATCAGAGTAAGTACAACCGAGCTAAGATCTTTGAAGAGACATGAAATATGTCCTGAATGTATTTGATAAACTAAACTGCTCGAACTCAAAATAATTATTTAACAATAAACAAACTAAAAAAAAAACTAAATAATTACTTCTAAAACAAAGGACCGCTAAAGTCAGTTAATAAGCAAGCAACGGTACAGAGTTGATTAACTCTTCCTAGCATACCCAGTGGTATTCTGCCTTCGAATAACTGATATTCTCTCACCCTTCTGATTGCTCGTTCTACGTGGACTCTTAAGTGAAGCAATCTTGCTGGACCGCAATGCCTCATCATATGTGAACCGCCCGTTAAAGTTAAATGGAGGAATATTTAGACCCACACCTTTCACTTCCAAGAGACTCCTGTTGGCAAATCCTTTGTCGCACATTACGGAATCCCCTTTTTCAAGCAAACTCAAAATTCCAGATCTCCGGGTTATCTCACTGTCTGATATACTACCACAAAATAACAAAAGGTATTGGACCATGGGGAGCAATACCCAATAAACATTTTAATGTTGTATGGTTTTTATAAAATGAAAAAATCTCACTTTGGAGCATGAGTGAAGATGGTGACTGACATAAAATTTCACAACAGTCAAGGACTATTCGTGTAGATCCATAACCTTGGTTTTTGAAACACTGTGGCATATTTTCATAAACCTGCTCACGAGCAGGCCAAATTGGGATAAACGCCAAGGTAAAATAAAGAAAATTAGCCCATACGATAACTATCCGAGAGACAGTGGATTGTGATATGCAAAAAACATCACTAAGATGGATCTCATCAAAGCCTCAAGCCTGTCTCAGACGACACAAAAATAAAAACAGTTCATCAGCCAGTGGAAGCGATCGCTTCTTACAAAGGTGGTCTAAAAAATCGCTACTTCCATTATAAACTTCTTCGCTTACAGCAGACCATAATGTTAAAGAGTTCGCACAGTCCAACAATATGTTGAAAAAGTCAATCAATAAACAATAAGAACTAAAGCCAGTATAATATTTAATCATGAAGCTTGACGCCTTGAAACGTTCCATACCGAATTTAGATATTGACAGCTTTGAAACTTGAGTTTTTAAATTCTCAATTTCTTTTAAAGCTTGCTCAAGTTTTTCTTCAGCTGTTTTCACTACAATGCAGTAGTTGTGATCCACTTGAGTAGGATTAGTATGATTAAAACTCAAGACTGCTGGTCCGACTGCTTGGTACAGTGGCATCATCAGTGGTTCTGAACAAATATAATGAAATTCATTAGCAAAGAAATCATATATTCATCCTGGGGAATGCAAGGATGATAAGACGGCTCAATTATATGACGAACCAGATAGCGGTGAAAAGTCATATTGTACCCAAATAAAGCTTCCAAGTATTGAATCCTCTGCATTGCATGTATATGTGTAAATCAAAAACAAAATTGTATTTTTGCGCGTTACAGTGTTGCTGAAAGTTTGTGTACTCACAAAAAGATTTGAGTCAATTTTTTCAAATGAGTTGAATCTGGACCAGGGTGGTCCAAACCCAGGCCCGCAGGCCACATGTGGCCTGCTGCTCCATTATCTGTGGCCCGCATCACATTCGGAGAGAATCAAAACATCGCATTTCGTAATGAAATTATTCAGAAAAATATTTTTACATATTGTTACATCTCTAATGGCACTGAATTGGCTAGTGTTATGGCTAGCTGTGAGGCAACTAGCAAAGGCTTCAAAGAATCAATGTATGCCCACCTAATAAAAATAGCCCATAGGTTATTAAGTTTAGCTTGACTCCCATAATCAGTACACCAGGAAGATATTGAAAAAATAAACACTTATTAGTCTACAGAACCAGAAGAGCCCTAACTAAGATTTGAAAAGAGCAAGAGTTAAATTAATTTAATTAAGTGATCCAAGAGTCTTGCTGCACACTAAGACTCTTGAATCACATAGGATAGTTATCTTCACTCTTGCTACAGCATCCTTGCATTATATGCATACCGATCCGCCGGCACAAAAGCATAGAAGAAGGATAAGTAGTTAGTCTCGCAAAACCAAATCATTAGTTAAATTATTCGTTGCTAAAACTGCAAAAGAAAGTCGTGGGCTGTGCTCACCTTAAATACACTCACATATAGCCTACAACCGCATAGATATAGCCTAATAACTAAAGTAGGAGCGAGAAGGAAAAATCAGGGACAAAAACAAAATTAAAACCAGAAGAAAAAAATATTTGCCACAATATACTGACTTACTTGAAAATGTTTACCAGGATCGCGACGCATACTGTGAATCCATGCTCTCTTCATTTTTGGGGAAAGAGTGGAACGATAAGGCTGGTGAGTAACGGCTATCGCCATTACACAACGGTACGCAGCAATGCAATTTGGAACCACCAGACGCACGAGCCGCCATTGCAAACGAAAAGACCAAACCAATCCAACGTCGCGGGGAAGCAGAAGACATGACAGTACGTTCCCGCGCACGCCCACATAAAAACAAAATGGCGACGCTCGTGGCGTTAATAATACCCTCCATTCCAGTGAATGGGCCTTGATCATGTTGATATTACGAGATACAAACAGTAAATACCGAAACACACAGCGCGTAGCATTCTCAGTCCAACAGCATTGATTGATCTTTCATCTAACAGAGCAACAAAAACACGTCCGACCCAGACGGAAGTCTGGAAAGTAGAGGCATGTTGAGCAAGTAGGGCCATTGATACCTTAACAAGTCATCAATTGTAGGACACACATTTTCGAGATATCGAGCAGATAGCCAACACTCGTCATCACAGCATTACTACAGGGCTGACGGACAACTCGACTACAGAGAGTCTGGTGATGTCCGTCCTTTCGCATTTTTTTAAAGCGGGATAAGATAATAAAATATAACCAAAAGTATATAACCATTCGAGCAATCATAAGATAAATAATCCGATATTCATTTTTCATACATCCATTCCATCAGTGTTTGATGACGAGGTGTTGATCGCATCGGCATACAACTCATCAATTTTTAGCATATTGGATTATATTATGTACAATAAAAGTAAAAAATTAAATATATTAGACATGTTCATTTTTATACATACTAAATTTATACACACTTGATTTATAGTTCAAAATACATTCCTTAGTATTTCAAATTCTCTGACAAAATTTGGTGATTTCTATTTTTTCAATGTTGAGTCTGTAAGTGATTGCAGTTTTTATTTGTTTGATAACTAGGTGCTGATTAGGGAGACTACCTTCG